TCTTCATATTTGCCGTTCGATATGAATGATGAATATTAAAATCAGTACGATTTATATACTGAAGAATATCTTGTTTGTCCAGCTTTGCAGAGCTAAAAGTAAACCTTTAGTAAATACTAGGTAGTCAATTGATAATCAGTTACTAAGTATTTACTTTTTAATTACTGCTGTCAAGGTCAGCTGCCTTCCCGCTGCATTAGTCTTATGATGAGACTGTTCAGCTGCATTAGTATAATTCCGAATAGAATCATAGACATAGACAGGAATATTTGAGCAATTTTTATTAAGCCCAGTTTTGATAACTGAAGACTTCTTATGGGTCGCTTATGCTTGAACCTTTTCATTCTTATGCTCTAAGCAGCTATTAATCAGTTAACAATCATATATTAAATACTTGATAAGTACTTACCAATCAATAAGTTACAGAGCTGATCATAGTTATTTTCTGACTGGCAATCAATTAAGCCGGCCATCCGATTCTATACATTAGAACCTTTATTTGCACTCCCAACTGCTTCTGTAATTGTACGAAAGAAATGAACTCGACAGAAGATAATAATTCTCTGTAACTGCCACAGTACTGGTCGATGCAGAGGGTCGATTTCATGGAGGTATTGACCAAGTCCTAAATAGTTAGTAAGTAGTTCCTAAGTACTTAATAAGTGATTAAATACCGGTATATTGTTTTGTATCCATATCTACTACAATCCCGTAGATGCCGTTAGAATGGATAGAATTAAACTCAACAGCTTGGCCGGTAACTTTTTGAATAAGAGTAAAAACTCTTTTAAATAAAAGGTAATAGCCTTCTGTGGTTTCCCGATCGGTAAAGACCCGTAGGAGTGTAATAACTTTTAGTAGTTAATAAGTACTTAGTAACTGCTTAATGAGTATTTACTCTTACTATGCGCTAGTAGGTAGGTTGCAAATACAATCTCATTTATTTCTTTCTGTTGAATGCGTTTATAAGATATATCAACCTCAAAAGAAGTCAATGTATTGAGAAGCTTGATCTGTTCCTTAAAGCCACATAGAATCATGGTTCCATCAGGACCATAGTGTTTCTCTTGAATGTATTCCTATAGGCAGTTAATAAGCATCTATTAAGCAGTTAGAGAGTACTTGTCTTAACAAATAGATTGGTATTGTATAAATATATTACCCCATTGAAATTTTGACCAGCTGGATAAGAAAGAAGTCGCTGTTTTTGAATAACTGCGGAGATCCGATCAGTGTTCGATAATGAAGCATAAATTTCAGCCGGTGTTGATGTATTATATTGCTGGCAGAAAGCCTCCAGCTCTGGACTTCGCAAGAATTGAGCTAGTAACCAGTTAATAAATAGCCTTAAAATGGTTAGTAACTGTGTTACCTCCTGAAGCCAGGGGGCTTGGGGAGAACGTCCCGGAGGATCAAGGGATCCTCTGCGGCAGGCATCCAGGAACATTCCTAGGGATCCTGCAGGCATTCCTGCCTGAGGCAAGCTCCAGGCAGTATATAGAGTCCCTGGATTCTCTCTCCTAGATAGCCTTTTCCTCCCTATGGGAAAATTCCTTGACTACGAGTCATAAACAAACTAGTCTCTTACTAGGCTCCTTTGTAGACCGTCACAAACTGCTTGTAAAGTACTTTACATACCTAAAGTTAGGCTAGGATTTCTCATCTGCCTAATAACCTGTTTAATTCCTTTCAATATTAACTCCGGCGGTTTATGTGGAGGAGGAGGAGGATGCTGATGGATCCCATAAGATATAAAAACAATGAAAGGACAGTTTTGAACATCAACTGGTACAAGTGCAGTAAAGGTAACATTGCACTTAGTATGTTCCAGCCTACCCGGGCCCTGAATGTGATCAAAATCTGGATGGTTTTAAGTACTTAGTGACTACTTATTAAGTACTTATTAAGTACTTACCACAATACTTGCGTCGTGATATCGGAGGTTCAATCACACCACATTCTTCCTGTGACGGTAGGATTGATTCATTAAATAATTTTTCCAGAAACTCAAGATCCATAGAGGCATGCCCTTTTACTGAGGCAAAATAATGCTTTTGTAAAAAACTTGGCGATGCATTTAAACATCTAATGTATGGATGGTAGTCACCATTTACATCCTTTAGAGCAGTTAGTAAATATCTATAAAGTACTTATCAATTACTTACAGGATATAAATGACGCCTAAACTTCGGCGTGCATGTAGGTAATGTTTCCAGACAAGTACGTCCTTGCCGAAAGAATGTCTTCTTTGATCGGTAAAGACTATAATTTCAAATACTTAGTAAGTGGTTAATAACTGGTTAAGAAGCACTTACCTATATGTATTTCGTTTCCGAATGTCATTTTCAATAAGATCAATATTCTGACGTATATTCTGTATTTCTGCCCACATTGTCTTATCTAAATGGGTATGATGCAATGTCCGAAGATTCAGCTTCAAATATTTACATATTAAAGTCCCGGAACACTTCTACATCCATTTTTTTACAGAACAATTAAGAAATAATGATTTAACACTTGACCTTGCACCACGGATACTTGATCGGGAGTATTGTATCTGATAACCAGTTAACAATCAGTTAACAATCAGTTGATAATCAGTTAACAAGTACTTACATTTTGTATTATATGTTCTGCTTCTTGCAATCGGCCACCAAGAGATACAATATAAGTATATCCGTTTGGATCGGTTCTTGGATACTCTGGCAGATCATCTGTATACTCAATAAAAAGAGTTTAAAGAGGATTTAATTTTGCATCCGTCAGTTAAATTAAAGCAGTTAATTGCTAAGTACATTAGAACTAGTTAGTAAATACTTAACAATTTGGTCAGGTTAATTACCTCAATATTATTAACATGAGAAAACACATCATCAATTTCAAAGTTGAAGGGAAAAGCCTCGGAATCCATTATAATTTGGCTAGTTTGAGTACTTAATAACTGATTAATAAGTAGTTTCGAAATGAATTGGAGTCGAACGCTCGGCAGCAAGAAATTTTTTAGAAGGTAAAAACTGACATTGAATTTCGGGGTATGTAGTACTGTATTTAAATGGTGAGGTACCGCGCTACTAGTGCCAAGGCCGGTGGGGCCGGCTTGCCACTAATTTGAAGCGGCACCTGACCTGTGTACTCTGGAAAATGCGAGATTACATAATAACTGATATTAGATAATCAGATGGGGTGCCGTTAGTAAAAAGTTGGGGTGTCCTTAGCAATTCCCAGGCTCCACGAGATCACGAGTCTTGGCCTGTTGATAATGTTTATTATCTGACGGATATCGTACGATACCCGCAGAGGCCAAAAAAATTATCATATCGTATCCGCTGCGGATAATCGATAATGAAAAGCTATCATTATCGGCAGTTGGATACGATCGATCGATAACTATCGTACGATAATGCGGATAGTGACGCAGCCTATACAACACTAGATATACAACTATGTCAAAGTGTATTCATACACCTGAAACTAAATGAATATAAAAGATAAATAATCTGGTCCACATTAATAGAAAATACTTACTTTACTCTGTGTCAAATATATATTTCTTTCTGAATATCATCAATAATTTGATAATTCTAAATTGCTTCCTTACCACTGTGACGAACTGACCAAGAACCACTATATAGAGCGATGCGCGTACCAAGTCGTTGACTTGGTATTCTGGTCTTTTTAGTAGCTCAGTCGGTAACGACCTTCTAAAACGGCCTTGGCGGGTAGAAGCGTACCTACTCACTGCCAAGCCCGTAACAACCGCTACGTACAGTTGAATAAAAAAAAATATATATACAAAGCTTTTGAGGTCATCTAATAATGAGTACAATCTCAATTTGTAATATTTCACAAACACTATCAAGCAAGACAACGAGTACGCTCGTTATAACTATACCATTCAGATTTCAGGTATAGAATCCGGTTTTATCAGCAGCACAACTGTCACCTGATCGGCTAGAACAGGTTAAATTAGCGAGGTTTATGCTCATGCCGATAATCTGCGGATATATACGATCGATAGTCGATAACGACCTATTATCGGTATCGTACGATATGCCGCAGCCTAGTTTTGTATGTACTTCTCTTATCTTCGACCAATGCGAAGTATGTATCAACAGTTTAGACATGCCCAGGACGGGAATTCACAATATCATTCGGAATGATTTACAAATCTTTTCGGCAAAGAAGATAAATATAACAGAGTTTGTATTGAGTGTTTTTCCCCGAATACTGTGTGGTTTTGGCAAGGCGCTTATGCTAAGAATCAACCATCCCCGTGTCTTGGTGGGAACCAACAACAACAACTACCTTCTGCTTACTAGGACATGAGAGAAATGCAGTGTCTATAATACCTTATATTTCCCTTGACAAACACATACGACCACAGGGTGTGGAGAACAGGGCTTCCCGTCCGCTCAGCCGTACTTAAGCCACACGCCGGCAGGTTAGTAGTTGGGTGGGTGACCACCAGCGAATCCCTGCTGTTGTATGTTTGTGTCTACTTTTTTCTTTTTTTGCCTGTTATAGCGGTTAATTATGTATAGTAGTAGGAGTAGGTAGCGTCAATCAACGTAGGTGTCACAATTGTATTGGGTTTACCAATGTTCGATCCATAATTATACCTGAATGGCCCTTCGTTGTTCTCCCTGCTATGGAATCCGTTTCGCCAAAATTCACATTCGCTCCAGAATGAGACAATAAACTACAGTCAAACCTGATCGTGACAAAGAATCATGTCTTCATCAAATGATTGACATCAAGAACACGGAACTAGGGATATGCATTCCGAGGTTGATCCACGGGCAGCTGGCCCTTCAAGTCAATACGACAGTTACTCGTACCCGTGTTGTGATATCGACAAGTAAGCCAGTCGCCTCAGTATGCCCCTATCTCGGTATACTGCTCTTAGGGTTATATAACCTGGAAAGTACCTTCAGAGGGGATTTCTTCTCGTTCTTGTCTTCTTTCCCCCTGCAAAAAAAGTGAAGTGCGAGAAACCAAACATGCTCCTATATAAACCCGGGATTGTGACGGCTATTGTCGTCGCCGGGGCATTATCTCGAGAGATCTCCGTTGAAACAGGTTCGCCAGTTACCTCTCATTGACTAACCGCCACTTGGCAATGCTAACCATGCAATGTAGCGCACGATGCGATTGATCAAGAGAACTGGGAGGCTGCAGCCGCCAAAGCCATGAATCTTATCAGCAAGTTGAACCTGACCGAGAAGGCTTCCCTGGTCACCGGAACAGCCAATGGAAACTGCATTGGAAATCTTGCGCCCATTGATCGAGTCGACTTCGGTGGTCTCCGTTTGTCTGATGGCCCACAGGGTCTGCATCTTGCAGATATGGCAAGTGTATTTCCGTTAGGGCTGACTGTCGCGGCGACATGGGACAGAGAACTGATTGCGCGGCGAGGAGCTGCCATGGGGGCCAAGTTCCGTGACAAAAGCGCCAATGTTATGCTGGGGTAAGGCTTTTATGTTCTTCAACAGAATTTGTTCCTGAGCTTACTTGATGATTTTGTTCAGTCCTTCGACAGGCCCTTTAGGACGCAGCTCGTGGGAGGGGTTTTCCCCCGATACTTACCTCTCTGGTGTTGCCATGCAGGCAACCATCCGCAGTGCTCAAGCTGTCGGTGTGCAGGCCTGTGCCAAGCACTTTATTGGAAATGAACAAGAGACTCATCGAACCAATTCTCAGGTTGATGGTGTGGATGTTGCTGCCGCTTCTGCGAATATTGATGACCGCACTCTTCATGAACTCTATCTTTGGCCATTTGCAGACGCAGTCAAAGCTGGCGTTTCATCATTCATGTGCAGCTACAACCGAGTCAACATGACATATTCCTGCGCGAATGAACCTATTCTCAACCAGATCCTAAGAGACGAGTTGGGGTTTAAAGGATATATGATGTCAGATTGGTTTTCAACACATTCCGGCGCCAAGGACATCAATGCAGGCCTTGATCTGAATATGCCCGGCTTCACTTCCTGAGTGAGACAGACTTCACACATTCATACTTTGGCCCAAGTCTGGTAGCGGGGGCTCTGAATGGCACAGTATTTGAACGTCTGAATGAAATGATCCAACGGGTTCTGACACCATACTACTATTTCCATCAGGATGTGGATTATCCTGAAATTGACGCATCTTCTTATGCCGTGACAGAAGCAACTTACGGCATTTTATCACCCAGCAGTGGTTCACCAGCGGGTCGCGATGTTCGTGGAAATCATTCTGCCCTCATTCGGGAAATGGGTTCTGCCGGCATTGTACTGCTCAAAAACCTGAACTATAGTTTACCGATCAAATCTGGCAAGGTCATCGGAGTGTTTGGTAACGATGCCCCAGATGTTTGAGTCAGGACTCCTTTACCCAAACAACAACATCGGCATGAAGACTGGAACGCCCACAGTCGGTGGAGGCTCAGGCAGTGGCCGCAATCCTTATATCGTATCACCACTTGAAGCCATCAAGGCCCGGGCGAAGACAGATGGTTCTCGAGTGGTCTACCTGACAGACAATGATATGATTACAGACGGAGAATTCAGGAGCATCTACCCTTGGCCTGATATTTACCTGGTGTTCCTCAAGGGCTGGGTCAGCGAAGGAAAGGACCGGACGACCCTGGAAGCAGATTGGAACTCGACCATGGTCGTCAAAAAGGTTGCGTCAATCTGCTCCGGACGAACTGTCGTGATCACACATGCTGGCGGTGTAAACTCAATGCCCTGGGTAGACGATGAGAATATCACAGCCATCCTCGCTGCCCATTATCCCGGACAGGAATCGGGAAATTCCATCGTGGACATCTTGTGGGGTGATGTTAATCCTTCCGGAAAGCTCCCCTATGCCATTGCCAGACGGGATTCTGACTAAAACGCTCCTATCTTGAACCTCACCGGCCCTGCAGCCATTGACTCCAATGAATGGCAGCTCAACTTCACAGAAGACTTGATGATTGACTATCGACATTTCGACAAAGAAGACATTACTCCTCTATGGGAGTTCGGTTATGGCCTCACTTATACGACATTTGATCTAGCACCAACTCTTGATATCGAATGTACCCAAGGTGCTCGACAGAAGAAACAAGTCAGTGCTTTTTCAGTCCGTTCCACAATCAATAAGACCGAGCACGCCGGTGGCCCCCTAGATCTTTGGTCTGAGCTGCTTCAAGCCACCACGACCGTAAGGAAAACTGGTAACCTGACCGTGCTACGGTGGTTCAGCTATATATTTCCTACCCCGACCATATGCCCCTAGGGACTCCGGTTCGGGTGCTTCGCGGATTCGAGAAAGTGACTATACCGGCCGGCGAATACAGTAAGGTCCAATTTTCTCTTCAGCGTCGCAACCTTAGCTACTGGGATACCACTGCATAGAATTGGAGGATACCAGGAGGTAAATTCAATATTAGTGTTGGATTTGGCTCTCGCGATCTGTGTTCGTTCTCTTTTGTCCAGCTTGTGTGAGTATTTACGCGCGTGGCTTGCTGGAGAGTTTGTGCTGATCTTTGACACATCTCTCCCTTATCTACACCTGTATAGCGGTAGTTGTATAGTTACCTAGATTTAACATGTCGCTCTTTTCAATAGAATTATAGCTTGAACCTTCCTTGATACATGATCTGATGATCATCATAATAGCTTTCTTGAATTTTTCAAACATGTGTTCTAGAATGTTGACGAATTTCGATCTCCGCTGGTGGATCCAGGTAGGGATCCACTTCAAGCGTATCTAGTATCCACTTCCTGAATTCTCAACTCGTTAACAAATCAGAGATCGCTAAATACGCGTGTTCGGCAAGTGTCCGATCCAATGACGAGCCGTTCGTTCCGCGGATAGTTGATGCTGAGGTCTCGAGTCCTCTGATTTCAGCACACCCTAATACTCAGATTTGATTCCTGGAGTATAATTGATGGTGTAGCAATACAAGAGTCACAACAATGCAGGCTTTATTTGTCTTTCTAACGGACCCATTCTTGGCTGTCCTTGAAACATTTCTCTCATACCCCTCTTCGCTGCCCATCAACCCAGAAGACATTTTTTACTATGGGTGAACCGGGCTACTATCCCTATGAACCAAGCAGCGTCGGAGCGATTCTGGCAATGTTATTATTCGGAGGAAGCGCTATAATCCATACGGTTCAAATGATGAGGATCAGGGCATGGTTTTTCACAGCCTTTCTCGTCGGTTCATATAGTAAGTATCTTTTTCGTGTGCCAGAGTGCATCTGAGTGTTCACACGGTAGAGTTAACGGATCGTCTTCTTAGTGATGACACTGGGCTACATATTCCGACTGATATCGACCCGCAAGCCTGACAGTCTCGTTGCCTACGTTTGCCAGTCAATGTTCATTATCCTCCCGCCATCCCTCTACGCCGCAACAATCTACATGACCTACGGCCGAATCATAACGTACATCGGCAAGCCCCATCTATCAACTATCGGGCCGCAGAATGTGACCAAAGTCTTCGTTAGTGGGGATGTAACTGCTTTCCTCTTGCAACTTGCAGGCGGTGGTATGCAGACCATCAACAGCACGCGCAACCTTGGGCAAAAAATTCTTCTCGTCGGTCTGTTTGTGCAGCTTATCTTCTTCGGGTTCTTTTTATATGTCTCTGGTAGCTTCCAGGTCCGCTTACGGAAGTGTGGATATGGCTGGTCCGGCGGCGGTCAGTGGCGGAGACTCCTTCATATCCTCTTCCTTGTCTCAGCTTTGGTGATTGAGCGGTGTGTCTTTCGGGTTGTTGAGTATGCTGAGGGTACTGATGGATCCGTGTACACACATGAGGTTTATGCTTATATCTTGGACGCCATTCCGATGTTCTTTGTGCAGGCTATCTTTCACTTTTGTCACCCCGGGAAAGTTCTGATTGGGAAGACGCTGGAGGATCCGGAATAAGTTGGTTTGGGAGACATGTAAATATTGTGAATCGGCGGGATTGGCTGCAAGTATGTAAATCTTGGCAATTTATGGGGGAGATATTAAAGATTCCAGTGTGGAATGACATGGTAGATGAAGCAATACACCGTGCAAGGCTCTAATAACAAGGTGCTGGCATATTATGAATTTGGTTCAGGGTATCCATGGATTCCGGTGAGGTTAATTGACTAGATCCATATAACTAGTTGGTGAGATAATGTTCGGCTGAGTCAGACGGCCAGCCTCCGCAAGGTTTCGCCTCCTTTGCCACGGCACGGATACGATGTCTTCTCCACCTTCGTCGCCGGGCTTCAAACACCTTCCTCTGATGAAGATAGGAAAAAATGGGCCACCGTCCAAGGAAGTCACACAAGAAGTCTAGAAATGGTTGCACTGAGTGCAAACGTCGCCATATCAAGGTAGGCCTCCTCCACCCCTGGAGGACTGAAACGGGGTTAATTGGCAGCTAGTGTGACGAGCGCCGCCCAGAATGTGTCAATTGTAATGTCTCAGTCCGACACTGTTCATATCAGAATCTTGTCTCCGAGGCGCGCGTTTTTGTTCCAGCGTCACTGCCAAAAAGACCGAAGCCTAGGCCGGCAGTCGAAAGTTCCCAGCAATTGATTGCTTCCCCAGCCAGTCCTACTAGGTCTGGCTCGGAGTCTGGTGACAGTGCGCCACTGAATAAGCTGCATCTAGAGCTATTCCACCATTTCGTCAGCCATACCTTAACGTTTGTCTGCCTGGATAGTCACCTATGTTCAGGCTACTCCTCTCTTGAGATGATGAAATGCGTGCTGGCTGCCCCCTTTCTCATGAATGAAATCCTGGGATTTGCTGCTCTACACTTAAGTATTGTCCGCCCTGTTCAACAGAGGTTCTACCGACAGCATGCAGCCGAGCTTCAGACTCACGCTCTGACAGCCTTCAACGACACCAATATGGATCTCACCCCCGAAACCTGTCTCCCCATGTTTCTCTTCTCCTCCCTCATGGGCCTTCATGCGCTCAGCGAAAAGCTCCTCTTCCGAAAGGGGGATTTTGAAGCGTTTCTCGAAGATTTTGTCCAGTCTTTAAGGCTGCATCGTGGAGTTCGCGCAGTGACAGGTCAATGCTGGCCTCTATTATTGAAATCACCACTTAAGACCTTACTTGAGGCTGAGGACAATGCGCTACGGACCGACGAGGGTGTATCCGGTAATGAATGTTCCGATCTTATGTCCCTCGTGGAATCTTCTGATTCAATAAACACGTCGATGCGAAATGCATACACAGAGACAATCAAGTGTCTCCAATGTGCTTTCGATGGAAGCCACCAGCATCCATTAAAGTTTGCTGCGGTCGGGCCAATCATTTCATGGCCTGTTATCATTCCTCCAGCATATATTGACCTGCTGGAAGAGCGCAGGCCCGAAGCACTTTCTATCCTCGCTTACTTCGGTGTACTGTTACACCTTCACCGGGATATGTGGATATTCGGCGATAGTGGGGCTTATATCATTACCTCCATCAGGGAATATTTAGGTCCTGAATGGGAAAGTTGGTGGCGCTGGCCGAACGAATCTGTTCAGGCCTCCTTGTGAAAACGTTTGAGTCTACGAATAGACCGTTTTCAAAGAATGAAAGTATTTAACCATTTAACAGTTTGGTTATGAAGATAACACCTGTCGTACATTGGTTTGGTAAGCAGGAAATGGTTTAAAACTAAGCACACCACATCGTCAATAAACCATTAGCACTGTAAGAGTATCATAGAAATCCTTGAAAGAGTGTTTGTTGCTGTTCCCGTGTCGACATTGCTTCAATATTTAGCGTATTCAAAATTCTCTTCAGTTCTTGGCACCCGCAAAGGCAAAAAAAAAAAAAAAAAAAAAAAAACTGTGCAGTGGTCTGTGCTGCTTGTGCTGCTCTATTCTTAGGAACACTTTCTTTCATTTCTCCCATACGACTGATATCTGGAACGGAGGCCTCGAGAAAGCTTCATAAATCCTTCTTGTGCTAGATCACCTCAAACCTTTCACCTCGGCCCTCTTCCCAAACTAAGAGTACTCGAGTGAAGAGTGATAGTAAACGCTCAGATAAACCCCTGTCTTCTGCGTATAGGCAAATGATACCCAGCAAATTAGGCGACTTGTATGCTGCAGATCGAATCCGGGGCTAAATCAGTTAGTTCTCTGACTCTCTAGTAGAAGACTTGAATGATAAGCTTACAATAAATCCTGCACAATTTCCTCATAAGATTCCCCATGACCATCAAGCCCGATGTGCTTGAAATACCGGGCGATCGCACGTACGTTGCCCTGGTCATTCATGCCGTAAACGGGGAAATAAATCTTTGTTGCCGGCGCCGCAAGACCGGCCTTCGTTTCGTAATTCCACACCAAATGACAGCCAAGTGGATGGGGATTCTCGCCAATCTGCAGTACCTTCCACAGTCCGTGCAGATATTCAAGACCTCTACCCGACTCGGGCGAATTAACCCGCCCTCCTAGTGTCCAGATCTCACGTACCTTCTCCCAGGAAATGTCCCTAGTACGGCCGTACAGCTTGTGCCGGGACTTTTCCGGAGTGACACAGTCTTGGGAGTAGACGAATCCGAAGTTGGCCCTTGCCTCAGTGGTGTCGATATACTCTTTGATCAAGCATAGGGCATCGTGCCGGTCGGAGTCTCCCATATACTCTTGAACAGATCCAATGACCAAAGAGCATAGGTCCGTGCCTGCTGCATGGCACTTCAAGCCCGGGAACGTGTATCCCTTAATGGAGATGCCATCCGGTTTAAAATCAAACCCAAAAGACACCTGAGAAAGCTCACGGATTGCCTCACTCCGAGCTTGCAGTAATTGGCACTCTCTTTCGTCCAAGGTATGCATGGGATAAAAGTGCTCGAAGAGACGACTGTCATACCCCGCAGGATTGAGCTCTTCTAAACGAGCGAGAAACTCACGAATCGGACTCAGATTATATGGGTCTTCACTCGTTCCCGAAATGGAGGTTAGAGGTTCTACCGCTACTCGAATCACTGGTTTGGCACCGCCTAGCTGCTGAAAGTTGACGCTTAACTCTAGTGGGAGTTCGTTGTGTGTCATGGCGCTGGGGAATGTTTGGGGGTATGGCCCTAGATACGGGACGACAGATGTGTAGAAGAACTTTAGATACTGCCTTTGGGATTCGTTCGTGTAGCCAGCTGAACTCATCAAACGGGCCAGTAGGGGTCCGGTCTTCTTCCACCATTCTCTTTGGCTGTCAACCGGGCAGCTTGTCTCCTTGTCCATGAACTCGAACTGGAGAGTATTTGTGTTCGACACAGTCATATTGTCGCCACTGTTCACTAAACGCTCTAACGGTCAGATAGATTACGAAGTAAATCAGATGAACGAGAAAGAAAATACCTATTCAAGATGCCTCAGGAGACACCGAACGCTCATAAATTGCTCCTAGATACTGCAAAGAAAGGACTTATTGAAGGAGAGTAAAGAGCTGGGTAGGCGCGGGAAAGATGCAGCAAGGGATATGTATAGCGGGCAAAAAAGCAAGGAGGAAGAAAATATTAACTTCCACATACGTGGCACTGCGTGGCCCCAGGAAAAAGAAAAAGAAATACCGATCTGATTGGGTGACGTCGATTCCCACAGAACTAGTATGTTGAAACGTTCTGATAGATAAAATTACGCACAGACGTATACTAGCAGGCCGTCTTTGGACATATACGCCTTGCATGTATACTAGTCAGATTGGAGATCATCGAGTGATCAAAAAGTGGGGGGTCATAAATAGTTATAATTACACATGCGCACTTGATAGTGTGTGTCTTTTGTTGAACGACTCGCCCGCAGCAACCCCAGCCTTTCAGACATTGACTGTCAATTTGTGCAGTGATCGGATTAAAAATGACGAAATCGATAGATTTGACTTCGTGGCAGCAGTTTCACACCAAAAGCCAAGGCGTTGACTTCGTTTGGGTATTCTTCACAACATACATTGGCACAAACCATGTCCGCATAGTTCCGATAGATGTATTCAAGCGATTGCTGGAGGATAACCAAGGAATTTCGATTCCAAAAGTCATCCTTCACGTTCTCCCTCGCGATAATGTGGCGGATGGTGGAACTTTGACAGGGTCATTCTATCTACGGCCTGATGCGAGATCGTTTTCACCATACTTGGATTCAAACAAGGCAATTGTCATGGCCTCGTGGACCGATGAGGACCGAGTACCCCTAGGAGAATGCGCACGCTCCAAGTTGGAGTTACTGGCACGGCTGATCGAGCAGAAGTCAAACTGCTGGGTCCTGGTCGGATTCGAGCTGGAGTTCTCTCTCCTAAAGCAACGAACACTTCCAAACGGAGAAGTCGAGTACGAAACCGTGAATATGAATCATGGATGGTGCAGCATGACTGAGGAAGATGAAACTCTCTTAGGTCTTCTAGAGGAGGCGGTCATGGCCCTGAAAAGCATGGGAATCATGGTGGAGCAGTTCCATGCGGAATTGGCCCCTGGACAATGGGAATTTGTCCTTCCGCCGGACTCGCCTCTCAAAGCGATAGACACGCTGGTTTTTGCGCGGCAGGTTATCATGAAAATTGCCAACAAGCACGGATATAGAGCGACGCTTTATCCGCGCTTATCGCCTGAACAGCCGGGGACTGGAGCCCATGTTCACATATCGCTTAATTCCGAGTCAGCCGAGTTATCAACGATAGAGTCTTTCTTCGCTGGAATCCTGGATAATTTCACTTCCATTTCTGCCTTTGCACTTCCCCAGGAAGTCAGCTACGAGCGGGTGGTTGGAGGCATCGGGAGTGGGGGTGACTATGTGTGTTGGGGATGGGAAAACCGAGAGACGATCTTGCGGCGAATTTCTAGCAACCGTTTTGAAGTGAAGATGATGGACGGGCTGGCCAATTCTTACTTGGCACTTTGTGCATTGCTTGCGGCGGGACTAGATGGTTTACTTAAAGGCTCCGTTCTGAGAGCAGGCCCTTGTCCTACTGAGCCAAATAAAATGTCGGACGAGGAACTGGCTGCTCTGGGCATCAAGAATAAGATGCCTTCTGGGTTGATGGGGAGTATCGAGAGCTTGGAGGCAAACGAAGACCTCAAGACCATCCTGGGTGATGCTATTGTGTCGACGTATCTTACGGTCAAGAGATGCGAGTTAAAGGTTGTGCAGCAGATGACTTCCGAAGAGAAACGTGCGTGGTTCATTTCGAGATTTTGAATTTAATCAGTGACGGGCAAGACGGGACTAGTTAAGGTCTACTGTTGAATAATCAGGACATTAATGGCAGGAAAACAAGATATAGGACACTTCGCTTATCTGAATTGAAACGAGTCATATTAATGGAACTCAATATGTCCAATCCAGGCAGATGATACGCGCGAGGAACCATCTAACAATAGAGAAAATTCGTATACAGGCCTTGAGAGACGGTATGAGAGTATATATGATCTCAGTCCATGTAGCCCAGGGTGGATTGAAGTTTACCATTGCACTACAAATAGTCAATCCCCTTTAGCGAAGGGCTGTGCTAGTGTAAAAACCGCGCGTCAACAAGATGGTATATGCAAGGGTGTTGAGGATCGGCTTTCCGATAGAAAATCTCAAGACAGCGCCAGAGTTTGAATTCGCTACACGTGGTATCATTCTAAGAGAACCCGCTGGCTTTTTCTTTCAGCAAGGGATTGGCATGATTTGGTCGTGACGCCTGACCGCCACCCTTTACTCCGGAGTAGTGCTAATGATCTTCCTATTAGAAGACGCGTCCAATCTGTATATGACTTGTATCATATCTAGAAGTAGAATCCAAAATTCCAACATCCCTTTCGGATGACACGCTCAGCTGAAAAACCGCAACCCCTACACGCGCTGGTAAACAGTTAATTGGGAATGCGTCATATTATGTAGGGTGTTGAAGGACGCCCGGCTGATGCAAGACAGAATGCGCCGATCATCCAGGGGACGTCGGGAAGAAAAAATAGAAAGGGCATTGACGAGATGACAGGTCACTTTCAAAACTGTTGGTGAGCTGCTTAGATACGGGTATTCTGATCGAAATGCCCTGTGTACGGAGTAGAATGTTGCCATTCTCTGGCGGCTCGGGAATCTATTGGGCCCGATCTCAAAGTAGTTTTAAAAAACAGGTTATTCTTCATGGACCTTAACTCCGAAACCAACATCTAACAGATATCCTTGAAAAGAGTTCGCTCGCCTTTCACCCCACACAAGTACCAATGTAATAGACAGTATGAGAAGGCAGGGGTTGATCCGAAGTGCCATAGCTATTTTTCACTCAAAATTTCAAAGGTGCAACGGGGTGAATTTGACGAGTACCTTCCGAAAGATCAACACCAGGGCATTGTTGGCAGGGGGTATACTGCATCTTAGCCATTGTCGGATATATTTTCCGACGCTCGGAAGCCTCGGATTGAGCCAGTTGGTCAACTCGACGTATCACATCCGCGATAGTTTCCGGCTTCACGAGTGGGTTCATCGTACACATGCGAAGGGTAGTTCGTCCGCGGATTTGCGTGGTTAGTATAGCAGCAATATTCTCCGCCAAAAGTCGCTGGGAAATAGCTTTATTCAATGTGTCCAGTGCAATTTCATCAAACCCGAGAGGTGCGTACCGAAAAACCACAGTGCTAGCAACCGTCGGAGCCGCAATAATCCAGTTCTTGTACTGACGGATGTTATAGTCTGCGGTATAGGCAAGAAAGAAACCTTTGTCGATCATTTCACCCATGTGTTGACGACCAAGGGCTTTGACCGTGAGCCAAAGAGACATGGCCCGCGCTGGGCGACTGAGCTCTGGTCCGAGATTGTAGAAGTTGGTGGTACCCTGGGGTGCCAACGTACTGCTGATGTACTCGGCATCCACGGCGAAGCTGCGTCGGAGAGAGCCAACTTGACGCGTGAATACGATCCCACAGCCATACGTCTGAAAGAGCCACTTATGTCCATCCCAAGAAACACTATCCGCGCGACCGATCCCATCCACGAGGTGGTGATGTTTGTTTGAGAGCGCAATAGAAGCTCCGTATGCGCCGTCGACATGTAGCCAGAGGCCTTCATCTCGCGCGACATCAGCCAGTGCATGGAGAAGGTCGATGCTGCCTGTATTGGTGCTCCCACAATTGGCAACAAGAAGAAAAGGTACTCGACCGGACTGGCGGTCTGTAGAAATCGCGCGTCGCAGTATGTCTACGTCCATGCGGAAATTATCGTCGGTGGGTATCTTGTGGACCTGATCCGTCATGAAGCCGATGATATGTAGCGCCTTGAGAATAGAGATATGTGTCTGGTCGGAAACGTAGATGACCGCATTTGATCGCTGCGTGGAATGGAGAATCTCATCCCGGGCTGCAACTATGGCTGTCATGTTGGCCATCGAGCCACCAGAGACAAAGCAGCCTCCAACCGTGTCCGGCAGTCCGAGCTGCGCGCCCAGCCAGTTTATCATCGCCTTTTCGACCACGCTCGGACCAGAGCTCACGTCCCAACTCACGGTATTTACGTTGTAGAGGGAAGTGAGGAGATCACCCAGACGGGCAACCGGGCTTGGACAAGCTGGTATGTAGGAGAAGCAATGTGGGTGAGTCAGGCGCATGCGGTTGTCGAAAACTGCCAACGCTTCTTGAAGAACGGATGAAAGATCCTGAGGATGATCGCCAGGCATAACATCATGTTGCCACCTTTGTATCTCCTGAGGATCCAGCTTTCGAACAATGGGGTCAGATGGATCTGGGGGATTGATTGTAAGAAGTCGAGTTAAGAAAGACTCTGCTTCCAACATAGTCTTAGATAGTTGGTCATCTGAGTTTTCTTCTGGTCCAATTGAACCCATATCGGAACCATTTGAGAAACAAATCACGAAAAATATATAATTGCCAAGGAACTTGAAAGAGGAAATGAGGTCGGGCTGGATGTGTACAAGCTGTGATGATTCAAATGACTCTCAAAGGGTTTGTTAAAGGATGAACAAACAAAATGCAGTACGGACTACACCGCAAATAAGAATGAATTAAGCCGAACCTCCAACCACGTGATGGCGAGATTGAATATTGTCGAAAATCATAATCTCCCTTTGTCTTCAAAATGCCATAACTTTCCTGCGATACGTATGAAGCAAGGGTCTGCTCAAAATACGCACGCTTCTACAAAACATAAGATCGTCCTATTTTTCCACCCGTCTACAAAAACTGTGAAGTGTATAGAGGAAAAATGAAGATCATCTACAATAACGGTGAAGCGCCATGTCGCCATCATCTTACTATTTGGCATAATCCAATGTGACCTCACTACTTTTATCTCACGTTATATACATATTTCAATGTGAGATACAACCACCATACTCGCCACTATGGGGTCAGAAAACGCGTTTTTTGACCTCCTAGGGTCCGAATTTGATGAAGACGCTCTACTTGATATAGAGTTTGACCCACAACTCGATTTTCTCATCATACCCGAGGAGCCAATCGAATCCTACGAACCAAATACGCTTTCCCTACCGCCAACTGACCGCCGATTTGTCTCAGAGCAAGAAACTATGGATATTAATCATATTATTAACGATTTCACTCGGCATCACGGCTACACCTTGACTATGAAGAATTCAAAAAAGCTCTCGTCAAGACAATTGTCCTTTCCGTGCAGCTATTAAGCGTGTCGCCCGATGTTCCAACAGTCTGTAGCGTGTGGCAGAAATATGTGGGTCTACCGAGAAGCGATTATTCAACCAAGGAATATAATAACTAGTTAACTAACTAACTAGTTTAGCGCTTCCCTAAATTTATTCCACGCTATGTACTCCGTGAAGCTGCTGGAAATAGCACTGAAGATAGGTCTACACCGCCATGTGATTTGGCGTAAGACAAGTGGCATCCCGGCGATCAATTGACCGATGGTCGCATGGGCATATGCATGTCTATGCAATAGTTCAAAATGGGATCCACATGCCTAGGTTGTTCGAGAGATCGGCGGAATCTATGAAGTGATTAGCAAGTTGTATGGACCCAGTTCTAGCATAAAATCTCAGTGGTTCCAGAAGCCTGCGATTCGACGTTCCGTCCACTAGGTATTTGCTTCGGCTTCAAAAGTCGGATCTTACGAACACAATATGGTCACAAAAGACTGGTTTCCCCTTGACTCTGCCACTGCAAATGTTCTTGTCGTGGTGGTTGGTATAATCTTTATCTTGGTTCAGGCTAGATCGAGAAAACTAAATCCATCTGGTTTGCCAGTTTTCAATGACCGCAAATGGTTCGAGTTCGGCTATGACAAAGCCAAAAAACGGTACATTGCCGATCCAGAGAGTCTCATCAGATCTGGTTTGAAAAAGGTGCGTATTGCTGTGTTCACCCAATCGATGCTAGCATTGATGCCTGAACTTGAGAGTAACGGCCTACAATAGGGTGGAGACGCGTTTTACTTGTGCACAGATACCGGTTTCCGCTTGATTCTAAGCCCCAAATATGCCGACATGATTCGAAATGATGACAGACTTGATCTGGGTCAGTTTCTAGGTAGTGTGAGTATTTTGGTTTCAATGAGCCACTGAGTGTAAGATACTAGCCTATTATGCATACTCGTAGGACTTCCTTACAGGAATACCGGGGTTTGAGCCACTCTCCAACATAGCCTTGGAATCAAAGATTATCCAGACAACTACGAAGACGAAAATAACACGTCAGACTCGTAAGTCGAAATAATGTCACGGAAAAAGTTGCATTACTAGCATTTGATTAACAATTCTGAATCTAAAGCCAAACTCGTCAGCCCACTTACCGAAGAAGCTGCTAGGGCTATGGATCGTATCTGGAGTAAAGAATCAGGTATGAAATTCTTCAAATGCCCCAATCCTTGAACACTACCGGTAGAAGTGTTTTAACTTTGAAGCAGAGTGGCACCAAGTCAACTTGAAAAATACAGCAAGTCAAATTGTGGCACAAATGGTGTCTCGAGCCTATCTTGGTAATGTCGACTTGTGTCGGAATCCAGCCTGGTTACAGCTTATGTACGACCTGTTGGAAGAATCATTCATCACCGCCCATATTTTGCGCCGCTGGCCCAGACCCTTGAGAAGTCTTGCTGCCTGGTCTATTCCGAACTATAGAACAGTTCGAGCACAGCTGAAAGAAGCCACGGAATATCTGCAGCCTCTGTTTGACGAAGAAAAACGACCTGTTTCACTCAATCACAATGATGACCCAGATGCAAATGCGATTAGCTGGCTCAAAAATGCGAGCAAAGGCCGCGCATATAACTTTGCTACATTGCTGATTACGCTTGGGTTTGCTTCACTTGATACGTCGGCGGACCTACTCGTAAAGGTTCTCTGTGACCTCTCCGACAATGCAACCTTGGTAGATGACATTCGAAATGAAATCATTGAAGTCGTTGGAAAGGAGGGATTGACCAAATCTTCTATTCAAAATCTACGCCTTCTGGACAGTGCAATGAAGGAAAGCCAAAGGATCGCACCACTCGCCTATGGTAAGTGATCCAACAATGCGAAACACAAACAAACTAATCTCATTAATTCATTGCGGTGCTATAGTCAACATGTTGCGTCTCGCAAAAGAGAAAGTAGTCCTACCCGATGGATTAATTATACCGAAGGGAACTGCACTGATGGTCTCGGCCTGCCATATGATGGACTCCTCAGTCTGGACGGATGGAGAAAAATACGACGGATACCGATTTGCCAATCTACGCAAGAGCGAGAAGGATTCCACGTATAGTCCTTACCTATTCACTTCAACGAGTCCTGATCATATGGGCTTCGGGCACGGGAAACAGGCGTGTCCTGGAAGGCACTACGCTGCCACCCTAGGCAAGATAGCACTATGCCATATTCTATTGAAGTATGACTTTGATGTGATATTACCGCCAGAAGGTCGCATAGCGATGCGTGGGCATAACATGTTAGCGAACTCAAACATCAGGATCAACCTTAGGCGACGGGAAGAAGAAATTCATTTGTGAAAGGCGAATAACCAGAGTGTATTGTATTTATGATTGAATATGAAATCTTGCATCCAATCTCATCCTCTCGCCAAACCTCATGAACACGACCGTAGCGGGTACAAAAACAAGCACTGTAAACCCCAACAGACTATTCCCCCTTCCCTGTCCTAACCGCTCGTACAGCGCCGGTGCAGAAAGCGGCAAGACCGCCCCAAGTATAGACCGAACAATAGTAGTTGCCGCGAGAGTGCTCGCCGCGAACTCCTCAAAAGAACCCGTCAAATAACTCTGTATCGCAATACACACAAAAAAGATCCCCATGTTAACTACGGCGGTTCCAGCTAGCGGGAGGACCCAATGCGTGTGCCCTTCGGCCGACCAGCCGTACCAGAACAGACCGGCAGCGATGAGGATGTTACCGGGGGAAAGAATGTTCAATCGAGTTTCTGGAATGTTGGATCCATGGACAAGGGCCTGTTTCTTGAAGTGTCGGTCGATGAACAGGCCGAAGATGCACTGGCCGAAGAGGAACCCAATCCAGGGACCGATGTATGCGAGGCCTACTTGGCCTTCGCTGAAGCCATAGCCATCCTCGAAGAAGTTGGGAAAGATAGTGAGGATGAATTACATGTACACGAAAGCCGTAGATACGTAGAATGTTGAGAGTAGCACGATGGGTGAGCGAGTGAGCATTCGGAGGGGGCGAGCAATTGCTTTCAATAAGAGGCTGCTCTTATTCTGGTTTTGGTCGCAATCGCCTATATTTTTTGAGTATCACAGGTCCGTACGTCTCTTTCAAGATGAATAGCGCTGCAACAGCTGTCAATCCTGTCTACACATACGGGAAATCAGAAGGAAATTCACAAGATACATTAAAGCACGGGCTTCTATCAACTTACCACGATCGCCTCGAGGCAAAAGGTCAATCTCCAGCCTGCCTTCTCGGCGAAATAGTCGCCCGCAATCGGCCCTACACGCAGAAGGATTAGGAAAGAAGACAATTAAGGCCAGCAAGATCATGACCGATAATGAATCCCTGTCGTACTGTTATCATTTCTAAGTTTCACACCTTTCAATCGACGAAACCTTACAAGCCAAGACCCACATCCCCAGATACTCAGCGCCATGCCTCGCTGTTCAACAGGCATCAGGTCCGTGATATATCTACCACCTAAAACAGCCGGCACACATCCCGCCATACCCGTGAGGATGCGCCCGGCGATGAGCACCCCGACATTAGGACTGAGGGCGCATATAACCGAGGACAGGACAAACAAGACGTTGGGGACGTGCATCAGGGGGCTTCGTCCGTATACCTCGCTCACCGGACATAGCAAGGGTCCGATTGTGAAGCCAGTGACATGAACGGAGATCAGAAAAGATGAGAGGGAGGCGCTGGAAAGGTTAAAGTCTTGAAGTATGTGAGAGACTGCTGCGCTGAAGATCGTTGATGCAATCGAACTATTCCAGGAAGTACATTGCGTTAGAGTCAGCAACTAGAAATGGGATATTGGGCGTACTCATTTAGCGTGGCATATGTCACCAGCGTCAAGATAGACACCTTTCGCGCTGTAAACAGTTCTGGGAGTTCCTGGAGTCACCATCCCAGTTCCAGTCACTAACATGTTCTGTATCATATTCAGCACTGGTGTCTGATGTTGGTGATGTTGGTGACATTGTGGTGGAGGATTGAACCACACCTACTAGTTATCTTGACCAGAAGGCTCCATGGAATACATGGATGGCTGTTATAAAGTATCTGAAACAAACATGCGAGCGTTCCAATCGCATTACTTGTTGTAGAAAGCCAAGCAAGGGGTTCTTAGTGAAAACAACTAAGTCCCGTTTTATCCCTTGACCAAGCTCCACATTTAAAAATATCAAGAAAGACCGGAGCCTCATTATCTGTACGAACTTCTAACTCGGGCATAAAATAAGGATAAAAGCATTCGGTCATTGAATTTAAATGCGCATGTTGGTGTGGAACCCTCCCCTTATTGAAATCCAAAGACCTAAAGCTCATGCAGCCCCTGCCTGTAACGACATGGCCAATTGCGGAGTATAGATAAATCAAGGAAATAAATCGTTTGTCAACAACATTGTCAGAAAGATTTGGAATCTGAAAAGATGTAATAGTAGTTGATTAATATTGACTATTGACCGCATACAAGCCACACGCCGGCTGGTCAGTAGTTGGGTGGGTGAACACCAGCGAGTCCCGGCTAGTGCATGTTTTTGGATCTTATTTTATTTTATTTTAATTTTAATTTCTTTCTGTCTGTCGTACATTGTTTTACATTATTCATTAAAATAACTCTCTGATTCCTCATGCAATCAGACTTTCTAGCCTATGGCAATTTCCCTTTCCCTGGCAGCACGAGATCTGAGCATACAATGTCTGTGGATTCTATCCATGTGTGGGAATTCCACCTTAACATCAGCTATTAGACATTACATATTAAGCCAGCAGCTTTCTGGAATACGCGTGAAGAGAAAACAACAAAAGTCCGCCGTTCACAGCCCCTGATCAAATACTCCCGCATGGACACGCGCAAACCTTGGATCTCGAAGTCTTTCATTAGCCTCAAATAGACCCTCGAGCGCCTGCGCACTCGTAGGATCCCAAGTCTTGTTGTCACCAATCGTCTTGGATACCTCAACTGCCCACGAATAAGCCGCTGCGACATTTATTGGGAACCGTAGCCCTTGTTGACTCTCCGCGAACAAGCAGAAGGTTAACGTAGCATCGATAGCTAACTGCCGATCCAGACGGAAGTCGTACCCGTCTCGTCGTAGCTCATTCACACGTTGGAGCAGTATCCTCGCAAAATATTCCATGTCTAAGTATCTCCCTTCTCTACCAAGCGACCGTATTGCAGTGTGCCACATCACAAACGTCTCGTGACTGTATATCCCCAGATGTTGATCAATACACCACATTATGTAGAGAATGTACTCAGGCGACTTGCCTTTGTACTGGTCATAGAATCCACCCAGGTCAGCTCTTGGGAAGCTTGCTTGATTGTAAGAGTAAGTAGCTTCTAGGCGTTCGATCTCGTTCAAACTTTTCGGATACTTCTTCACCCAGTATTCCCGACAGAAAGCATCATATGTCAAATTCAAATGTCCCCGACCATCCAAAGGTAAATCTTTGAACTGTAGAAGAATAATGCGTCGTAGGTCCATCGGGTCAAAGTAGGTTTCTACCAAATCCTCCAGTAACTTAATCATCGATTTCTGAATATACGGATAGCCGTTGGCCTGAAGAAGGCGGATAACCGCAAGAATATCTGCGAACAATCGGGGATGCATGGTGCTGCTCATGACGATAATAACAAGCCGTCGAAAAGCATTCTGTACTAACACATCCCCATTATCATTGTCTCGTTGGTTGAAATGCTTGATAGCAGCAAGTAGCGTATTGTGAAAAAGACTCAGCTCTTTGAGCTCACGCCGGGACTTTGGGGTCTCTAGCAAATAAGCCATTTTTGTCTGGTCGCCATAGATTTTTTTCATGGCCTTTATCAAAGAATTGCTGGGTGTAAAAAACTAAACTTCGAAAGCTTTTGAAAACGTTGGGCTCTTTCAATTCAATTGCGTTCACTGGAAGATAAGTGATGAATATCCTGTCCTGTAGGGATTCGTTGATTGGGCAACGATCCTTCTGCCTTCGGTCATGGTTATCGATTCTCTTGTTCTGAATAAGAACTTTATCAATCACGACTAGATATTTCCAGTAATCTTTCTGATGTCCAAGTCTGTCTAGCTTTGATTTGATGTATGCCACCTCTTCTTTGCTGAGATTTTGACGGATCCTGCGACGTCTTAAGGAAGATGGGGAGGGGTGTGTCATACTGGGGATGATTAATAAATGGGAGTCATGTACGAGTTCATTCTTACTTACGACTTAGGATCCGATCTTACTGACAGCAGCTTAAGTTGAAAAAAACGGCACTCTTCTTCGCTCAATAGGAACACTGAGTCCATGGTGAATTTGACCTAAAGTTATCACATGCATCAAGCTGTGGAGAAATTGAAGGGCGTAATTTCATCAGGGAAGGACAGTACCCCTCAGGACATTACTGTTACGGGCTTTCAGCCCCGGACACAATCTTAATGAAATCATAGACAGGTTAACCCCGGCCCTGTAAACATGGAAAGCCTCGCCGTAGGACCACTCTTTTTCTTCTTTTGGGTTCTTGACCCAGTAGCTTATCTATGCAGGCCTTGTGTTCCTATTGGAAATCCGAACTTCCAATGGCACTTTTGTTCGATACTTTCCTGGACTGATATAATATCTTCCTCGTATATGCAGCCTCATATAAACACTGTTTACATTAGGTAGGAAGAAGACTCTTCTCCCTAACCAGTCCCACAACTACATGATGAGGAACGCAGGCCTCGTCAGCATGACAGTCGCTATTGCGCTTGCTGTCTTAAAGCCCGGCTTTCGCCTATATAGAGAGAGTCACTTCCCGCGGTCTTTGCATTCTTTCATGTTCCTTTCTTCTATCTTCTACTAACCTCGCACCCATTGAATCCTCATACTTGAAAGACCTTTGTTTGCCTGTTCTTTATTCTCATCTGACTTTGTGCCTTTGGTCCTTTTTCATTCAACAGTCACTCCACTCACCCACCTCTTTCGCTGAACATGCCGAACGTCGATGGAGGAAAGCCTTCACAGACTATGTCTGTAGTACATTAACAGAGGAGATGCAAGCCTTGCTGGAAGAAAAGTAAGTCCTGCCGTTATGTATCTTCTACTCTGTGTAGACCTGACAGACTGTTACTATAGTATGGGAGCATCCTGCTACCTAGTCACCGGTGGTACTTGGGCTGGAAAATCGTCTTTCATCAAGTGTGTAACCAGCGAGGAGGTCTATGTTGGATCTACCCTCGATTCAGGTAATTGAGAAACCAACCCAAGTAACGCACAGGACCTGATGCCAAGAGAATACCAGGAACAAAGTCATTCGCTCTTGTTCCGGCCATCATTAAACAAAAACGCTGCATGTTCCTTGACATGCCTGGATTCAACACGGATGACCTGAATGACTGGGACACCTTCTTCAGACTCATGACCGCTATGGCCGTGATAAAAAGGTATGTCGTGTTTCGTGGCGTGCTATACGTGGACCCTATGGACGACCCGCGCTCTTCACCTGCTACAAGAAAGATTCTCACCTGGCTCTCTCGCTTCTGTGGGACTGATTACATGCGCAATGTTACCATTGTCACCACGAAGTGGGATCTTCTGAACGCAGATGGGATTGAGCAGAGGCTTGAGCTTGTGAAATATTGGAAAGCCCATCCGTTATACAATGATTTTGTCAACAACGGATCCGTTGTGTACCACCATGGGCTTGTGCAGGAGAACAAAAAGAACACAACATTGAGCGAGAAAACACAAGACGCGGATAGAAGGTTGCGAGCGGAAAACATGATTGCAGAGCAATACCGCGGCCCCACAACCCTTAAACTTCAGGTTGATCTTGAGATTGAGAATGGGGCATCTATCCACAGCACGGAAGCCGGAAGATAGCTGAAAAGGTTTGAGCCCCCAAGCGAGTCCTCTAGGAACTCGACACCTTCCCAAGATGATAGTGAGCCAAGCTCGACAGAACCATCCGGTAAGTTTTTCCAGTACATAGAGGGTCCTAATCTACGTTAGTAGCAACAACTAGTTTTATCTCCGTGGTTCTTGATATTGCTAATACTTGATTTCCTCTACAGGGTTTTGGAGCGGCATGCGAGCGATAGACCTCAAGCCCTGGGTTGAGCTTCTGGTAAAGGGAGACACACAATGACATCATTTATTCTTAGACTGGAATTTCTAGGCGTTTGAATGCCTGAGGCATATTGCCAAGCATTTCGCTGTTTGCCTAAGGCACCTTTTAGATCGGCAAAACCCTGGAAGACCTCATTTCTTCCTCCATCATTCAATCAATTGATCTGGTTATCCCTCCAATACTTCTCATAGATTTTAGTCACTGCGGTGCGGGAGGTTCATGTAGAACTTCTACATAATTACCAGCCAGATCGGTCAGTATCTCCAGCAATAAGTACCGAGCTCGTACCGAATATATAGCACCTGGCAACAAAACACACCCCTAGGCGACAGTCACAAAGAACCCCTTCTCCCCCTCCTTCCTTACCACACTCCCTTTCTTCAACAACTCATCTCCAACAGATAACCGCAACCTCTCCGCCGTCGCCGGACTATCCAACACCAACGGCTCCACAACCCCGTTGGCCCCCCTCGCCGCCTTCAACGCATCCCTCAACGCAAACAACACCGTCGAGCCCAAGAACAGCGGCGGCTCCCCAACCCCCTTACTCGATTGAATCGACCGTAGATTTTTCCACTCCACGTCCCTCAAGAAGCTCACATGGAATTCCTGCGGGATGTCGCTGAATCCAGGGATCTTGTAGTTCCCGGGTCCTCGGGTCGCAAGTTGACCTGTGGAACTCATCCAGAGGGATTCTTCCATGGTGAAGAGTCCTTGGCCTTGCACGAATGCTCCTTCGACTTGACCATAGTCAATGGCTGGGTTGATGGATCGTCCGACGTCCATTTTTATCGATGTGTAGAGGACTGTGTGGTCGCCTGTTAGGAGGTCGAGTTCGACTTCGGTACATGCGGCTCCCTGTATTATGCTATTGTCAGTGGTCTGAAGAGAAAGGAAACAGAGGTGCTAACACAAGAATGTGACATACCTGAGTAAAGTAGAAATACATCGGCTTGACAGTCTCCGGATCATAGTTCCCCCATTCATACCCGATCGTCGGCATTTTCCAGAACCCCGTGGCAGAGAGGCTCACGCGATCGATATATGCGGCGTGCGCGAGCGTGTGCATATCCGCGTCTTTGCCAAATTTCTCCCGATACGGCGCAAGCCGTTCGTTTAGCTGGTCGCAGGCGTGCTGCACAGCCATACCGTTTAGGTCGCTACCTGATGAAGCCGCAGTGGGTGAGGCGTTCGCGGATTGATGGGATGACGTATCAGGTGTGTATATGCTGTCGAAAGGAACGTTCAGGGCTTGTGCAGCTACCTGCGCCATTTTCGTGAACAGACCCTGACCCATTTCTGTGCCCCCGTGGTGCAGCAGGACCGAGCCGTCGGTATAGATCCTCACGGCGGCAGTAGCTTGGTTTAGATGGAGGGCTGTGGCGAAGGAGATGCCGAATTTTGTGGGGATCAAGCTGATACCGCGTTTGCGGTATTTGTGCGAGGCGTTGAACTTTGCGATCGAGGCTTTCCGGTTTGTGTAGTCGGATTCTTGAGCGAGTTGATTGAGCAGGATGGGGATGTGCCAGTCACTGTCGATGGTTTGGAGGAAGGGTGTCTTCTGTCCGGGCTTGTAGAGATTGATCTTCCGCAACTCGTCGATGTCGATGGACAGTCCTTCTGCGACGGTGGACATGTAGCTCTCCACGATGAACATTGACTGAGGACCACCGAATCCGCGGAATGCTGTATTGCTATGCGTGTTGGTCTTGCACACCCAGGCTCGGATGTGCACGTTAGGGATGTGATAACAGTTGTCGAGATGTGTGCAGCATCGGTCCATGACTGCGCCGCTCATGTCGAGTGAGTAGCCGGCGTTATTGTAGCAGTCTGCAGAGAAAGCCATCAGTCGTCCATCGTTCATCACACCCACCTTCCAGCGACACTGGATAGGATGTCGCTGGCCTGATGTCATCATGTCTTCGTCGCGATTTAGCATAGCGCGCATAGGTCGACGGGTTTTCTTGGCTGCGATGGCGAGCAGACAAGCGAGTTGTACACTTCGTGATTCTTTGCCACCGAACGCGCCGCCCATTCGCTTTACGCGAGCGTTGATGCGATGCGAGGGTGTCCCGGTAACGTGCGAGACAAACTCTTGGGTTTCCATTCTAGACGAGTTAGCAAAGAAAGCTTCGTGGGAAGGGGAATACACGTACGTGTTCTGTGTCGACGACCACACATCCATAAACCCATCCTCAGTGTGAGGAATCACCATCGCGGCATTCGTCTCCAGATAGAAATGCTCCTGTCCACCCACTCGCGTTGTGCCAGTGAACACCCGATCGCATTTCGCAAATTCATCATCCATCTTCTCCGGCAGCGTTCCCTTCCGCAACTCCTTCCCATGCTTGAAGAAGCTCTTCGCCTCGATAGCCTCATCGATCGTCAGGATAGCAGGCATATCCTCATACACCACCTTGACTGCCCGCGCAGCAGCCTGTGCCTGCAACGCCGTCTCCGCATAAACCATACCGATTGGCTGACCGTGCGAGAAAACTTCATCTTCAGCGAAGAACGGCTCGTCTCGGACGACTGATCCCCAACGATTCTTGTTCGCAGGGATGCTATGTTTATCGATGTATCCTGCTGCCAGGCCAGGTCCGAGAGCAGGGGTCCAGTCGACAGAGATGAGCTTGGCATGTGCCCGTTGGGACAGGACCATGGCACCGTACATCTCTCGGTTTTGGGGCGGCATGTCGTCGATATATTCTGCTTCGCCGGTTGTGTGTTTCAATCCTGACAGATGGGGCAATTGCTTTCCGACAATGCGTTGCTCGTAGGGGTTGAAGTCGTCCCGTGAGCCGGACGAGATCTTCCGATGGATTTCATCCATGTTTTCGGTTGTTCCCAACTGGAAGTCTGAAATCACTTCGTTCCAGAACCGGAAAAATAGACTGAGAGTTAGGGTTCGTCGGTAGGTTGCCATGCCGCCGGGGACGCCGTATGGGAGATTGAAGTCGGCTGAGAGCGCGTCGAGCGCGATATCGAGAGCTTTCTCGTCTCCCCATTTCTTGCCGATCAGACATTGCGTGGCTTGTTTGGCGAGCACGGTGGTCGGTGCCATTCCGCCGTATGCCAGTGCCGCTTCTGTGACCTTGAATTGCTTGTCGAGACGCACCCGGAACGCGGCCGTGACGATCGCAATGTCGTCGTCCTTGCGCTTTGCTTGCTTGTAGGATTTAGTCACCTCCTTCGTTCCGGGAGGAGGCAGCGGGATCCGAATTTCTGTTATGATGCTACTTGGTGGGAGAGATGTCTTGCGGTAGCCCAGGAACATGCTCTTCATTGGCAGGGCTTTCTCCCCGTCGACCGTGCGTGCTATCACTGTGGCATTCGTGGCCAATAGTAGAGGATTCATGTCAGAGATTGGTGACGCAGTGGCTATATTCCCTGCCAGGCTTGCTGCATTACGGATCTGCCGTCCGGCGAAATATCGAAGCACTTTGGCGATGGCCTCCAGGACAGATCCACGTTGACCGAGAGATGGAATGAGTCGATGGCATGCAGCTTCAATATTACTCAGACTTGCATTCCCGCCGACCACGAGCTCCGTTATCACCGAGTCCTTCTTCGTGGTTGAGATCTGTGCCAGCTCCTCGATATCTCCGACGAAGATCGACAGCGGGAACTGCGTCCCCTTGAATCGAATGTCCACTTGCACCTCACTGGCCCCACCGACCAACCGGGCAGATGGGTACTGCGAGAGTATTTGCAGCGTTTGTTGGATAGTGACCGGCCTCGCCCATACTTTTTCTTCGGAACCGTAGGTCAGTATTTCCGGCGTGAACTTCGAGAGACCAGGCGGATAGATCAACTCCGTCTTGGGTGTATATGGAATGAAGTCGAACTGCTGGATCGACGATTTCCGAGATTCAGACCCAGAATCCACGCTCGACAACTCTGTCTCCTCGCTCCGACCGGTGCTTTCATCCTCCGTCTTACTTGTCCCCGAACTCGACGAACACGGAGTACCTGGCGAGTCACGACAGCATCCCCCTGCCCGCCCGCATGACCCGGAAGACACAGGCCTCTTATCCCCTTGTAGACTTGCGGCTTCAAGCCCAGCCATAATCTCTTTCTCCGGGTCGGAGGATGCACCCTTCATTGTGAGATTCACCTTCCCGCCTAGATCCTCCTGCACGAACGTCTTTGCGGCCTGCAGAATCGGCTTGTATCCCGTACATCGACACAGGTTTCCGTCGAGGTGGCCTTTCATTTCGATTTCGTCTTCTGACAGTACGAATTGCTCGGTGGTAGGGTCGTAGGCGTTGCGGATCACGGCGTACAGGGACATGACGATGCCGGGGGTGCAGAATCCACATCTTCAATACGAGGTCAGGACGGGAGCCTTTTCTGGTATGGAACAGAGGAGAGACCGGATAGGAGTATAGACATACTGTGAACCATGCATCTTGCCCAATCTCTCTTGCAACGGATGCGGATTGTCGATGTTTCCGAGTCCTTCGATGGTGATGACATGTTTTCCGACCACTATCCTCTTCGTTAACGTCTTGTCTCCAGTAGAATGTTTTCAACACTTCAATCTTGGGAAGAGAAGAAGCAAAGAAATACTCTGTACCTCCAACTAGCGGATACAAACAGGCATTCACGGCGACATGATTAATACTCCTCGTTCGCGGGTCCTTCGTTTGCAAGACCACCGTACACGCACCGCATCCGCCCTCGCCACAGCCCAGCTTCGTACCTTTCAGACCATGTTGCGAGCGGATGAAATCGAGGAGGGTCCAGTGCGGGTTCGGATTAGACAGGGATATAGAAGTTCCGTTGAGATAGAAAGACAGGGTCGATGAGTGTTGTGATAGAAGGGAATTCATTTTGGACGACGCATTTCACCAAATTCACTAATCCCATGAACTGATTAAAATACAAATACAAATCCACAGAAAGACAAACCGAATCCCAATATCGCCAAATAAATCTCCCATCTTCCTTTCTCGTGGCAAACAGCGTTCTTTTCCCCTCATCTGCAGGTCTCGCAAAAGTGGGGGTTGGCCTTGCATTTGAGGCATTCCATCCCACTTTTCACGTTGCAGATACTGCGTCACAGGGAGGAGGTTTTCCGGTTTGGATTGGGTTCAGGAAGGGTCTGATAGGTCCAGCGAAGCAGACGTGCAGACGCAACGAGACTGTTCGGGCCTTTTACGGTTCTCTTGGGGGTTTCTACGGAAGGGGATTAGTGGCCTTGGGATGATTGCCTTCGGTGCTTCGTGTTACTTTCGGGTGGGTTAGAAAATCATAACTCTGTTAGTTAGTTAAAGTAAAGACTATTAGAGGAGAGAGTTGATGGTAATAGGTGTAAATGTAAATGTAACAGTAGATGTTAAGCTAGAAAATACAGTAGTCATACTCACACTATCTACTCCCCAAATTCACCAACACCTTCATCGCATCATGAACAACTCCCCATCGCACGCCCGCCAACTGCTGTCCCATCGCCATCACCAATCCCCTCGTCTCGTATTTCCCTCCCAGACTCGCCAGCTCATCGCCCTCGCAGCTCGTCATCGCCACGATCAGCGACGAAATGTCTGTCGTGATCCTGCACTGTCCCGGGTGTCCCAGACCCTGTCTGTCCTCCGGCTGCGCGTGGAAATGGAACGCCCAGCAGGTCAACGTCGCCAGATACAAACACCACGGGAAGTGGAACGCGTCGGTCTGTTCCCAGTCCTGTAGGGTAAGGATCGCGTCTTGAAGTAAATGCGCTGCGTGTCGCGCCGCGCTGATCGAGGAGTCGGTTTGTAGCCATCGCGGTAGGATGTGTAGGGACCTGGCACGGTCGGAGTCCGTGACGCCGCGACTGAGAATCTGCGTCGTGCCTGCGGCGATCTGAAGATCGAGCACTTCGACGTTCAGAGCAATGTGCGCGGCGCGATAGAGCGCGTGGGCGGAAGATTTGAGGGGTGTGAGACGGCCAATATCTGGGTCTGTCGGGATAGATGTTTGAGAGGGAGATTGGGAAAGACACAGCTTGCTGGATAGACAGTCTGCGTCGAAGTCGATCTTCCAGAGATCGTAGGATCGACCCATTCGACGCGTCCAGACACCGACTCGCTCCGGGGTTTCGCGGATGGTGGTTTGATCGCGGCGTTTGAGATCCGCGGATACGGACATCAACCCGTGCAGAACGAGCAGTCTCGCCTGGGGGTTCAGGTCGCGAGGTCGTGTCACTGATCCCGGGGTGATGTATCCCTTTAGCACGGAGAGAAAGTAATGAGGTTCTGGCTCTCGTGAGGCGCTCCGCATCCATTCTTCAGCCGTAGAGGCTTCCCACACCGCGCTGCTACACGGCAGGGCGGATCGAATCTCGAACGCCGACATGCACAGGGACTGCGAGAAGAGGACCGCGTGCTGCGTATCCCACATGAAACACTGCATTGCGAGACGTTTGCGTTGCTCGTCCTCTATGGCCCTTCGCCAGCTCTCGTTCAGATCGCCGGTTTCTTGCTCGATCCCGGACGCGGAGAGATCAGGTGCGCTCGCGCGGACTGTGCAGCATCCGCTGCGACGGATGAGTTTGATCAACACGCAGTGGAATAACTGGGCGGTTTCGCGCTGCTTTGGCCCCGCGCGCATTTTGCCGAAACAGTCAATTAGGAGCATTGTTTGGAGGACCCAGAGGTCGGGTGAGGGTGAGAATGCCTCGTTGCAGAAGAGCTGCGTGCGCAGGTTGCCGTGTAGACTGACGGCGAGCTGGTGGGCCTCGCGTGTGCTGTACGTTGCACCCATACACAGAATCGAGGCCATAAAGACGGGCTGGACGGTGGTCGGGTCGAAGGTGGGTTGGTGAATGAGTGGATAGACAGTGTTGAAGCGGGTAAAGAAGAGATCGCTGTAGTTTTGTAGGGAGGTCAGGCTGAGTAGAGTGTCGATTTGTGCGAGAACGACTGGATCGTGAGTTACGAGCGACAGTATTCCCTGTCTGACCTCCTCCGAGAGACGAGGAAGATGCGGCGCAGGACTTGGATCGAGCATGTTGGGACCCATCCAGTCCATGTCTAGGGGGTTAAGCGTCAGGTTGATGTCGCGGGTGCGCTCGACAAAGGAAGCTGCCTGTAAGAGGACCGACGATCCGTCTTGATCGAGCAATGTGTCTGCGTCGGGGATGTCCAGGCTGGCTGGGGGTGTGTCCAGTGCGTCCGCGAAGGTCATCATGTCAGGGCCGAGAGGGAGATCGAGTTGATGAAAGGCGTCGTCCAGGGAGGCAACGTCAAACAGCCAGTTGTAATTGTGCGTGGCAGCGAAGGGCATATTAAAATCGGTCGCTATTGAAGGTGTCAGTCAGCTCGTGCACTTCTCTCACTTATTCACTCTTCTCAACGACAGAATGCACCTGTATCTAAACCAAAGCCATCTGCCAGCCCCTGCGGCTCTAGCCCTAAGCTCCACGATCCGTCCGCCGCGTCAAATTGTCCCGGTATAGGCTCGACGAACGGCTCGAACGGACCTCCCGGCATCATCGGTGCCAGCAAGGGATCGGTCTCATCGAGAGACAGGGACGGAGGATCGCTGGCCGACGTAGGAGGCGACACGGGCGCTCCATGCGGCGGATGGTCGGTGTCATCGGACAACGAAGCCGTGGCATGCGATGGCCGTCGACCCTGTCGCTTTGCTGGTCTGGTCACGATGGATCCATCGCCGGCTCGACGAGTTCGTTTGCGAGTTTCGAGCACGCCGAGACCAGGACCGCCGGCCTCTTCGTCGCGTTTGGCGTGGCGCAGCATGTGTCGGGCTGGAGGAACCAGCGATCAGAATGGTTACCGGACAGTGGACGGGCAAGAACACCTACAGAGAAGATCAGGACGATTGAAATGCACGGAACACCGTTCGCACGTGTAGCCATTCCTCACTTGTTCGTGGTTCAAGGCATGGCGACGCAGATGTTCCGCCCGAGTGAATGTTTTCTGGCAGTTGGGCCACTGACATGCGTGAGTTTTCATGATGAAGACATTATCAGATTCAATATACACTATGAACAACAGGTCGCTCATCCCCCCGACCCAGATCGCAGGGAATGACCCTCTTATAGCCCCAACTCCAACTACGAACAGCCACGATAAGCCGTGCAACGCATCCACGAATTGGAGTTGACGGCCGATGCGGAGAAGCGCGAGTTTAGTGGCCTTAGTTTCTCGCTGATAGCGTCCAGATGACGATCGACCGGACTAATCACCTCCTATGATTGGTTTTCCCTATCAATTCGGCATTCCTGCCACTGTCTTAGTGACTGCATCCTGGCCTATAGAAAGTATCTCCAATCGGCACTGGCCTCCCCCGCTGATAATTGCCGGGTATCGACGTCTTCGCCGCGCCGTCGCATTCCCTGCGTCTGATCTCGTCGTCGGTTTTCTAGTCGCATCCAGACTGCGAGGCCCGTGGCGAAGACGATGCACACGCCGTTGCAGCAGCACGTCGATAGGAGGGTGGGGATGTATCTATTCCGTTAGAATTTTAGAGGATTTCTGTAGGTATCCGGGGAAGACTAACTTGGGCGCATATTCCGTGCGAAAGGTCGCCGCGCTTAACACCCCCGCAAGATTGCCCAGGCCTACAAAGAATCCGGTATTCGCCGCTCGGGAGTTCTCGTGCACGTTGTTGTTGTTGTGCCAGGCATGCACCAGACACGACGGGATGTACGCGCCCGCCGCCATCAGGAAGCAGGCAAAGTACGCGACGCCTTTGTTAGCAAGAACATCGATCGTCGCGAGGATAATCATCCCGATCAGTGACAATATCAGAGAAAAGACAATGTGGAATCCTCGCTCCCGGAAATAATCGGACGATTTGGCTACGCAGAGAAGGATTACCGCGCCGACGAGATTCGGCGCAACGGTCCACAGATTCGTCTTTACCGTGGAAAACCCCAGTCGTTGGACGATCAGCGGAAAGAAATTCATCGCCGTCGCGTAGGCCACCGGATACGTGAAAGTGATGATACACCAGATGGGGAACTTCCAGTCTTTCCATGTCTGGAATGCGGCCTTCAGGTCCAGTCCGGTCTCGACTTCGGACGATGTATCGCGCAGCAGACGATTCGTGGCCGCTTTGCGTTCTCGCTCGTTCAAGAACCAGGCTGTCTGGGGTCGGTCGGGGAGCCACCAGAATCCAATTATTCCCGTCAAAAGCGTCATGGATCCTTCGATGATGAACAACCATTGCCAACCGTGCACAGCCGGGTCGTTGATTTGGAAGACCCCGAAGGAGATCAGACCGCTGAAGGCCGAGGCCAATACGGCGAAAGATTGCATGATGGCCAGTCGGAAACCCATTTCACCGCGGGTGTAGAACAGGGTGAAGTAGAAGGTTGCACCGGCGAAAAAGCCCGCCTCAAATACGCTGCCTCTGTCAGTATGTCTTCTAAAGATGGGCAGCTCACATACTCACCCCAAGATAATCCGAATAGCTAGCATTGCTCCAAAGCTCTTGGCGGCACACTGGCATAGGGCGAGGATGCTCCAGACCACGGTCACTGAGCGGTTAGTATACCTACAACGAGAGAGGAATGGAGACATACTTAACGACAACATGATTCGCCCAGAATATCGCTTGAGCAACAGGTTCCATGGCAGATCGCAGAGCCCAAATGGGATGTAAAAGAGCAGGACGATCAGCGAGTACTCATTTCCCTTGAGATTGAGATCATGCTCTAGTCCATCTGTCTTTGCGTTTGCCAGGTTGCTCTATCCGAGTCAGCCTAGCATTCATCCCTTCCGCGATACACATACCCTGTCCATGCAATCGAAGAAGTACATCTATATCGTCAGCCTCACATACTTCAAATAAGATGGAGAAGAGCATACCAAGCATAGTAGCGGCAGCAGGAAGAGGTCCACCTTGCGCACTGCAGCTGTCAGCGCGATCCATATTGTGACAGAACTGCATCCCTACCGTAGCTCTTCTCCGCATTCAGGTCAATTTCCTGAGCCACCTCGCCCATCTTGGCTTCGGGGTCGTATGTCTGGTTGGATTGTTTCTCAGTCATTTTTGTCGGCTACGTGGTGGCAGTTGCCTGGGCGGAAAGTCGGTCAGGGTGGCAATCTCTATATACGTATCCCTTGCATATCCCTGCCTATGCTCTTCCAGTCGGGTTTATCTGCTCTACCGTATGGATTTCTATAGTTGTGTGCTGTATAATTTGTCCATGGCCAGTTACAAATCATGCCCTTGACTATCTTATCAGGATGAGTCCAGATATCGATATCAGACGCTATCAACCGACGGACCCTAACCTAACCTCAACTAATCCCCCATTCTTGACCTCCCCACTCTTGCCCCTTCGTCTGGTCCTGATTCTGATTCCTTTGCTTTAGTCTCATGTCTGCTCCAAAGCTACCCCATCGGCCTTCTGTCCGAGACATGCTTACCCCAGATCGTAGATACCGTGGATAAAGATCCCGCTTCTCCTAGGTAGACATCGCCAACACAAACACAACAGTAATCCAAACCAACTGCAACAATCTAATCAAACAACTGTATCTCTACAAGTGTACCATCACAATCAAAATGTCCAAGTCCTTCGCTCCACCCATCCTCGACTTCTCGCCCTTCTACGGCGAAGACTCCGCTGCGAAAGCGAAGCTCGTCGACCAGATCCGCGAATGTTGCCTGTACAACGGGTTCTTCCAGATCACGAACCATCGCGTTCCATTGGATCTACAGAAACAGGTGATGCAGTGCGCACAACGCTTCTTCGAGTTGCCGTTGGACGAGAAGTTGAGTATCGACAAGAGTACGTCCATCCACCCAGCTTTGTACCATCCCCGCATTTTCCCGCGACGCACTACTAACTCCAATGTCCGAACAGATAAAAACACCTTCAACCGCGGCTACGAACTCCTCCGCTCACAAATGCTTGAAGTCGGCACGGGCCCCGAACTCAAAGAGGGCCTGTACATCGGCGAAGAAATCCCCCTCGACCATCCCTACTACCTGCAACAGAAGCTCAACTCCGGTCCTAACCAATGGCCCACCAGCGTGTCCGACGCCGAGGAGTTCCGTAAAACGTCGATGGAATACTACCATGCGGTGATGGAGCTGGCGAAAGATATCCTCGGTATCCTGGCGCTGACGTTGCATGTGGAGAGCGATTATTTCCAGCCCCTTACTGACGGCGCAGTCGCTACGATGCGCTATCTGCATTATCCGGCGCAACCGAAGGATCAGGATGAGAAGTTGAATCGGGGGATTGGTGCGCATACGGACTTTGGGTGTGTCACGCTGTTGTTGCAGGATGAGGTCGATGGATTGCAGGTTTTGGATGTGCCGTCGGGGGAGTGGTTGGATGTTTGTTCTCCTTTTCTTTCCATCCCAACTCTCGGTATATTGTGGTATGCTAATGGTGGAAACAGGTACAACCTGTCCCCGGTGCCTACGTGATCAACCTCGGTGATCTGTTCATGCGCATGGCAAACGACAAGTACAAGTCCAACATCCATCGCGTGATCAACAAGTCCGGGCGCGAGCGATACTCCATCCCCTTCTTCTTCAGCGGCAACCCCGACTATCTATGCGAATGTCTTCCTAACTGTCGAGAGGAGGGCGAGCCGGCGAAGTATCCGCCGATCACGGTGGAGGATATGGTCAAGGGAGCGTATAAGGAGAGTTACGGTCGCGCGGAGAAGTATAAGTTGGAGATGAAGATGAAGGAGGATCGGAAGTTGGAAATGGGTCCTGCGAGCGCTACGGTGGGGGCTTAGTGAGCTTCAATCGTGTTGTTTGACCAGTAGGATAGTTCTATGATTTATGTTACCATACGTTGTTGGATGTATATGTATGTTGTTGCTATATCTTTGGTACATCCGGTCTCCGTTCATTCATTGTAGACAGTATAGACTCGGTTCTCGAGCCACATGGCCCGATAATTTCGAACTACTGTTGGCGTATGGGATACTGCAAAGACTGATAATTGCCGGTCTGGGGTTACCGTTCTAGTTAGAAGTGCACGATCTTTCAAGAATCATTTCCCAATAAGTAATTCAACAAGGACTCAATCATCAGACCTATCACATACATTCAACCCACATGTCATATTACCAGATTGCACAAACAAACCACCTTATCTCCCCCATGATGTAACGATCAACACTCAGAAGTGGAGGATAGTGAATCATCCAGGCCCAGCAAGCCCATTATCAACTCCATCCCCCACTCTTGGCCTCGCCATGACACTTGGCCCTTGCGCTCCCTCCGGTCCAAACACGGCTAGCCCTAAGCTCCTCCAGTGCGGAATGCTATTTGAGCATCGCCGGTCCATGAACAGGGTGTGTATATCAACTGGACGACAGAACAGACGACATACCGGACAAAAATAGACAAAATGGATGATATTCACCGCGACGAGAAGCGAGATGCCCCCGACACTACCAGTCCGGACGCCCTCCCTGAAGAACTGGGCAAGGTGATCCCCGTCGATGCCGAAGTTGAGCAGTTCTACGGGCACTCGACGAGCGATGCCTATCGGTTGAAATCGGAGTTGGTGGGTAGGTGCATAGAGGAGATTGGAATGGGACGGTATCTATCTTTGCTTTCATGCTCGAAGAGTCACGATGCTGACGGGATAGGTTCCAATGGAAGTTATTTGTCGTTACGGGGTTTGGATGGATTGTTGATAATGTTTGTCCCCCTTTTATCTCGTTGAGTCTTTTGGTTGAAAGCGTTGGATATCTGACATGTTGGTGTGGATAGTTCGCAACTCAAGGCATCGGCAGCGTGCAACCCCCTATTCAACAAGAGCTCAGCGATATCTCTCGCGTTAGCTACAGCTCCGTGGCATACTATGTTGGTATGATCCTCGGTGCTTCGTTCTGGGGTATATCGAGCGACTTGATCGGTCGACGACCTGCGTTTATGACCACCCTCCTAATCGCAGGGACGTTTCTCTGTGGTGCTGCCGGAACCATGAACTTCGTGGCTTTCAGCGCGATGTGGGCTGTTATCGGGACAGCGGCGGGTGGAAATGTGCCCGTCGATTCGATGATCTTCTTGGAATATGTTCCGGGCAGGTGAGTATTCTGCTTCATGGTGTTATGGTTTCCTAGGGTAGGATATAGGGCTTGCGTTGGCTAATACTATCACAGCCACCAATGGCTTTTGACTGCCCTCTCGGCATGGTGGAATCTTGGCCAGCTCATCGTCTCGCTGATAGATTGGGTCTTTCTGGCGAATTTCAGTTGTCCAACGGACGCCACGTCAGAGACATGCAAGAGAAGTGAGAATATGGGATGGTATGTCTTTCTTGCCTAATCTTCATTCTTGTGATCCTTTTCCTAACCACAAACCTGATAAAGGAGATATTCACTCATCACACTCGGCGCTGTCGCTCTCATCTTCACCTTCATTCGTATCTTCGTTTTCACGCTCCCCGAAACACCACGATACCTTCTCTCCCAAGGCAAAGACCAAGCAGCCGTCGACTCAGTGAACTACGTTGCCAGGCAAAATGGAAAAGAGGAGCCCTTAACAATCGGCATGTTGAGGGAAATCGACGCCAGAGTAGGCGGTGGCAGCAATACCAACGAGCCATCCGGCGCAGGACTATCAACTCGCGAGATTCTCCGCGAAAACATGAAAGACTTCAAGTTCGAGCATTACCGTGCTCTCTTTGCCACGAAGAGCCTCGCCCTCCACACGATAATCATCTGGGCTGTTTGGTTGATTATCGGTTCGTCCTCCTTGCTCCCTCTCCTCTACCTCCTCTATCTCCATCTCCTAAACACCCAATTAACCCAACCAAGCTAACATGAATATAAATATGAATAGGAATCGCCTACCCCCTCTACTTCAACTTCCTCCCCTCCTACCTCGCCACAAAATTCACAACCGACTCCTCTCTCTCCCTCACCTACCGAAACTACTGTATCCAATCCGCCGTCGGCATCGTGGGACCCATCTCCGCCGCCTTCCTCGTGAACACCTTCCTCGGTCGGCGCTGGATGATGGGTATCTCGGCTATCGTGACAGGCGTGTTCCTGTTCGCTTATGTGGGGGTTAACACCCCGACTGCTAGTTTGGCTTTTACGTGTGTAACAGGGGCGTTGGGGAATTTCGGTACGTCTTCACCCCTTCCCCCCGCCTTTCTATTCCTTTTGTTCTTTTCTTTGGATATCATTATGGATGAGGAAAGATAGTACCATAGGAAGAAGAAGAGAGAACTAACACGCAGTAGAATACGCCGTCATGTACGCCTTCACGCCCGAGTCCTTCCCCGCGCCGCATCGAGGCACGGGCACGGGCACCGCGGCGTCGTTGCTACGGCTGGGTGGCCTGGCGGCGAGTTTGGTGTCTTCGCATACGGGGTTTACCCCGGCACCGATTTATGCAAGTGCGGCGTTGTGGGTGGCTGTTGGGGTTTTGTGTTTTGGGTTGCCGTTTGAGACGCATGGGCATGCTGCTATTTAGTTTTCTTTTTCTTGGATCTAGTTTGAGGGTGGGTTTGGGTATGGGTTTTGGGGTTGGGTATGGTATGGTGTCTTGTCTCGCTTTGGATTGGGGAGAGAAGTGATGGGTAGGTAGCAATGGGTAGGTAGAGCTGGGAGACTCTTTTTGTTGGGGCAAGGGGAATGACTCGCTGGGATGTCCAGGACTATCTTGGGATAAGGGTTATGAATATATTCGTCTTATTTATCTCCTCTGTCATTCAGTAACTCGTAAACAACCTAACTCATGCTCATCATTTAAATGTTTTTTCTACCTCACCGCTCAATCATGCAAGAGCTCGCTCGCTCGTCAATATTATTGTTCTTCGTATGGGTTATTCCAGCCTTAGTTGCCAGCCTTGCCGGTGTCCTGCTTCAATGACACAATGCGGTTAAGCACCACCTTGTCGTCGGTCGAGTCCGAGTCCACGGCCTAATTCGTTAGTATATTATTCTGTAGGGGAAATGCTGGCGAGGGACAGAGGGAAACTTACGAAGTAGGCAACACGCATGGCCTGGAACCGGACACTCTCCGGCCCACTCTTGCCCTTCTCCCCGGCCGCAGCAGGCCAAGGAGCCCTGCGGCGCACCTCGTCGAATCCGGCCTCAGCCAGAGCCTCGGGGTAAATGGTCTCGCTGTTCTCGTTGATGTCGTTCAGGAAACCGCCCTCCACGGCGGTCGGGTCGTCGGACTTGAACAGCGCGTCGTGCACGCGGGCCTCGACCTTGCGCGATCCCTCCGGCACCCAGTGTATGTAGGTCTTGGGCTTCTTGCCGTCGCGGTTCAGCACGGCGCGCACCTCGGTGACCTTGCCGTTAGCGTCCGTGGAGAAGCTGGTCGCCGTGATGGGCAGCGGTGCCTTGAACAGACCGACCGTCTTGCCGGGCGCCAGACGGAAGTAGTCCTTGCTGTCGGTGTCGCGGAAGTCGCTTCGTTCGATGTAGACGGTCTTGGTCCAGTTGAGCTTGTGGGATCCCATGGCGGGATCCTTAGGGGCGAACGGAATGTCCAACTCCGTCTCCGCGGCGTCGACGGTGTCGAAATCTTCGATGACAACGGGGAGCGGATCGAGGACGAGCATCAGACGGGGTACCCGCGTCTCGAGGTAGGAGCGCACCGACTGCTCGAAACGGGAGATCTGGATAACGGTCTTGGCGGTCGTGACACCAAGCTCGTTGATGAAAGACAAAATGGCCTCCGGGGGGATACCTCGGCGACGCAGGGCGATGACGGTGTACAGTCGGGGGTCATCCCAGCCGCGCACGTAGTTGCCGTCCACCAATTTCTTCAGGGCTCTCTTGCTCATAACCGTTCCGCTGACATTCATGCGGCCTGACCAGTTAATATCTGTACTGCACGCTGGATGCGATCAAACTCACCATATTCACGCTGCATGGGCTCATACACGCCCAGCGACGTGTTCAACCACTCGTAGCTCTCCCGCGACAGAATGAACTCGGTGGTGCACAGACTGTGCGTGATGCCCTCGAAGCTATCGCAGAGACAGTGGGCGAAATCGTACGTGGGATAGATCTGCCACCGATCTCCCGTCTTGTGATGAGGTTTCTTCAGCACGCGATACGCGGCCAGATCCCACATTTGAGGGTTGCCTAACAAATCAGTCGCGCGTTCAACCCCAACGTGTCAACAGGTCTTACCGCTCTCAATATCCTGCTTCATACGCAAGAAGGCCGTCTGAGGCTCGTACTTTCCGTCCCGCATGTCTCGGAACTTCCGGAGGTTGGTCGCGACGTCCTGCTTGGCATGCGCGCAGCGGAACCGAGGTCCGTTCTTCTCTCCACCGCGCTGCTCCTTGATCTCGACGTCGCTGCAGTGGCACACGTAAGCCTTTTCTAGGTTGATCAGCTTCTCGGCCAGCTCGTACAGCTTGTCGAAGTTGTCGCTGGAGTGTGTGATGCCGTGAGGCTTGAATCCTAGGCTGTGTCAGTACGAAACCTCTCCCTGAACCAGGCAGATTCCATACCCAGCCACTGAATGATATCCTCGATCGCCAAGAAGTATTTCTCCTCCTCCGCCTCGGGGTTCGTGTCGTCGAATCTAACCATTAGCTCGCGTTCAACTCTCGGCGGTGTGATCAATACCTCAGAATCTAAAACAAAGTCATGTCAGTTCCGATCGCATGTTGGTCCCAATTTCACGTACAGTATGACCTCCATGATAGCGCGCAAAGCCAAAGTTGATCGCAATGGCCTTGCAGTGTCCCAGATGCAGATATCCGTTCGGCTCGGGGGGGAATCGCGTGACAACAGGCTTGACGGGGCGTTCGCGGTGCACGCCGGCCAACCAGCCCTGCTTAAACATGGCATCGGGATCAAGCTGCTCCTCGGGCGCTTTGGCGGGTTTCGGGACCGTGGTCTTGGGCGTGGCGGCGGGCTGCTCGGCGGCCTTTTTGGCGGAGGCGGCCTTTTTGGCACGCTTCTGCAATCGCTTCTTCAGCTCGCCCTTGGAGACCATCTCCCCGGTCTCCTCGTCGAGCTGAAGCTTAGCGGTGTTCTCGGCCAGCGTGTCGGCCATGGTGGGCGGTATATGGGCGTGGTGGGGGAATGGAGGGAATGCGACTGAAGGCGAGAAAGTGGGATGTTTCTTTCTCTCGCCCTCTTTTTGTTAAACGCAGGGAGGGGAAGGCGGTGACTCACCCGTTGGCCAATCAACGGGCGGGAGATAAGGCCGTCCGCCGACGGTCCCGTGACCAGATGGCGGCCACAGGTATCAGGCATCCAGACCCTGCTGGGGTGGCATTCTCTTTCTAGCCCCTGCCTGGAGCAGTTCCAGTCCTTCATTGCTTTCTCCGAATCTCCTGTCAGATCGCGTCTTGTAGGAAGAATTGCACTCGTCGAATTACCCAATCCGGCAACCCGACGGCGGGGTCGAAGGCGGTAGCAATCACCCGGCAGAAATACGCAGCCTAAGGCATCATTCCTGGTGCATACATCCCTCGTCGTGGAAGTCATCTTCCTCGACCAACTAGTTCTATTTCGATCAAGAGGTCCCTTTCCTCTTTCGAGGTCTCTTCAGTATATCTCTCTCTTCAAACTGAAGGATTTTTTGCTTAATATTGCTCCGATCGTGAAGTATGCTCAAATCTGTCTGTTGAGCGAGTTTATATATATCGGTTGTTCTTCTTGTTTGACCCACTGCTGTACTCCGAGTCTTCGTTCGCAACGAACTATTAGGAAATTTCAAGGTAAAGGACCTAGATAATCGTATTTTAGAATGTAGAAATCCTCTGTGAAGTGAAATTGTAATCAAGCGAGAGAAAAATAAGGGGGAGAGAGACAGGTGAGATGTAACAAGGAGTAGGTCTGCCGAAGCTTGATGCCTGAGGTTGCAGCCCCCCTCCCAATGGGTGAGTTTTAAATATGACCAACTCTAAGATTAAAAGTTGCATTACCATAAGATTATAACATCTATACACTCCTACACTATCACGGAGACCGAATCATTTCGGCTCAGCTTCAATAATTCCCTGTCCATCACCCGGGGGAGACCAGAACTTCACCACCTTGAATCCAGCCTTATCCAACAGCTGCGCCCACCGATCCGCCGTGCGCTCCATGCTGTTGCAGAAGATCATCATCTCCCAGTCCCACATGGCTTGGAGCATAGCGCAGTCCTTGTCCGCCAGCACGAACTCTTCGATAATGAGTTTGGAGTATCCCTTCTTCATGGCGGCGTGGAGCTGCGTCAGGATCTGCTCGCTCTCTTCGTCGGACCAGTCGTGTAGGATGAATTTCATGTAGTATGTTCGGGCGCCTATTGAATTACTTAGCTTGGTTGACTTGTGTTGAGGGGGCTCTAAGTGCATACCTTGAATAGGCTGCTGCTTGAAGAGATCAAACGGCTGGCGTTCGATCTTGGGATCCTCGATCGTGCTCTCTTCCAGAACGTGAGCAAGATCCTCCAGCACCAGTCGGGCAGGCGCTTCGGGGAACTTGGCCTTCAACGCCGCCAGATCATGGCCTCGTCCCCCGGCAACATCGACGAAGAGTACGTCCTTCTCGTCGCCCTGGAACCCGTCGATGATGCGCTCCTGCACCGGGAACCACTCCAGCCAACTGGGCCGACTCCCGCGATCGCCCTCCATGAATGTGTTGCAGCTGTTCAGGTAGTCCGGGTTCTTCGGCAGCCAGTCCCAGATCACTTCGTCCATCTTCTCGGCGTATTGTAGCGGACCGTTCGTCGCGCCTTCGGGGTTTCGGAAGTCGGTATTGCGGAGGAACTCGGGGATCTTGGCCAGCGTGGGCATGCCGACATCGAAGCTGATCTTGTCAGTCTGGATGGAACATTGTGTCGTGGGCGCACGTACATGAATTTGAGCAATGCGATGCTCAACCGGTTGGTCATCTGCTTGGTCATGACCGTGGGTGCGTATACTCGGGTGTCGTGCTCCGCGACGTATCCAATGCCAGCGAGAATGCGCAGAACACGCTCTACAGAATCGGTCAGCGTGATTTCCTACTTTATCGCGAGACAATGCTTACCCGTCAGAACTGGACTGGCGTTTTTGACGGCCGCCAGCTCTTCAAGGCTGGTCGGTGCGTTTCGGTCCGTGAGCGTCTGGAAGACCCCCAGATCGACTCCGATTCGCACACATAGCGCATGGGTGGGCTATGACGATGAAGTCAGATAAATCGATTTACTCACTGGGTCCAGATCAGTGAGAGAATACCGAATATGCGAGGTTGTAAACGGCGTCCTGAGGCTTTTGGAATGCCCTCACGAGCCCCTGGGCGGCCTTGAGAGCAGCCAGACGGTCCTTTTCCCGGCTGTCGCACTTGAACGCATTTGCAGCTAGGGTGACCTGGTCGATAAGGTCACCGACCTGTTCAGTTCCGGCAATAGTGTTCGTCGACATTTTGAGGCACAATTGTCAATGCAGGGGAAATTACAGAACAGACCAAAAATGAGGGTAATGCGACCATCAAAAGTACCCGACCTCAGTGCGAAGACCTAGACTCTTGCGACTCCTGACTCGCATGGCACTTACCCCTGGCGTCGCTCTATGGCTGGGGAACAATAGCAGACCGCGAACTTCCCACATGGTCCAACGCCCGAGCTAATGGTTTGAGAGGAAATCTGGAAATTAGGAGCTGCTCTCAGGTCCGACTCTCCTAAGTCGCTGTCTCCGAGGTCCACATACCATTCCTGGCAAGGGACATGGGCGGATTGACGAGTGGGTCTCGCATGGAATAGAAACGACCAGCCGGTCTATTAGAATTGTGTTATTGATGGCAAGGTTCTCGGGTGACGATCCCGCCGTTGGCTGCGGCCCGGCTGCTCCGCGCCTACTAAAAGCGACTAAGTATCGAGCCAAGGGGCTTTAGTGCAAGCTACGGGGTATGGTAATGGTGCTCCGTCCACATGGAAGACGACGGCGTCTGGTCGTCTGGTGGCGGCTGGGCTTTCCAATTTTTTAAATGCAGGCGTGACGGGTCCCGAGGGCACCTTACGATATGACAGGTCAACGAGACAGGGGTATCACATTTCACTGCCACCGCTGCATGGAATTTCTTTTTCGATTCTTCCCTGTTTCGCGGTAGATAAATGCGACCTATCAACAGCATTTGTCACGGAGTCGCATCGATGGCCATGTGTCTAAACGTTGAGGCGGTCGATACAAAGGAGAAACTCAGAGATTCTTCACGATGGCAAAAGACGATACTCCGCAGGAGCGGTCACCTGAATAAACAGTCAACCATAATGTCACTCCATTGATCAGGGCATGTCTCCACAGGGACGATTCCGACCACTTCCAGAGAGCACTCCGTGATTTTGGCCCCAGATGTGGATACCGAGAGCCCGTTGACAGGAACCAGGATCAAGATCCCTCCCTCGCAAATTTTCATCGACTTCCCTGTTGGCCCTCGAGGCTCGAGCCTAGAGTTATAGATCTACTGCCAAGATTCGGCACCCATTCAGGCCCTTAGAAAGGCGCTCCTCATCCTTCATTCCTCCAGCATTTTTCACACCTGAAGATGTTCGTTGCAAAGATGGAAACCCACCGATGGATCCAGGGCTTATATTATTTCTTCGCTGCTCTGGGCCTTCTGTCTTCAGTTCCCCTAGGCTTGCGCCGGTAGCTACTCCGTACATATCGTCAGTTGGGTACAACTAGGCAAGCCTCGAACCCTTGCGGTTGAAGCCACGATGGCGGACCATCGAAAGAGTCTCACCGGCGTCTCTTGGGCGTTTGCGAGCGTTTCGATCATTGTTGTTGCCATTCGGGTCTATACGCGGGCACTCTACACGCGCCGCGCAGGATGGGATGATTTCTTCATTGCGCTCTCGTTGGTAAGATGTTCGCTAGCGCTAATCTCCCCTTCTTTGCGGTTCTGACGAATAGGGTGTCTAGATTAGTGCACTTGTTTGCTCTGCTCTGGTGCAGGTCGGAGTCTCCTATGGATTGGGCATGCATGCGACCGACATCACAGATCCGGAAGCGAAAATCCAAGCCTTCAAATACACCGTTATCGCGCCAAACTTCTCCATGGTCAGTACCACGACGGGGAAAATCTCGGTCGTGATCTTTCTTCTCAGGTTGATGGGACCGACGGCTTCGGCGTGGCGACGATGGTTTCTGTATATCTTGACGGTCGTCTCGATCGGAATGAACATTCTGGCTGTCATTGTTGTAATGGGGTTCTGTAGGCCGGCGGAGAAGATTTGGCGGCCGGAGACCCCTGGTTCTTGCTTCAGCTTGCAACTACAATTGGTGGCGGGAACGGCTCAAGCTTGTGAGTTGTAGACACGTTGCTGGGAATAAAGTCTTTTTGCTGATAATGTGCAGCGTATAATGCTTTCTCTGACCTGGCGCTGGCTATATTTCCGGTGTTCGTTTTCTGGAAGGTGCAGCTGGCCATGCGCCTCAAGGTAGCCGTGATTGCAGTTATGGGGGCCGGTGTTTTGTAAGTCAGGACGGGATTATTGATTCGAGCTATACTGACTCAGAGAAAGTGCTGCTGCAGCAACATTAACAAAAGCCATTCTACTGAAGAACCTACCCGCTCATGCCGATATAACCTGTAAGTTTATACTCCCATTATGGCTGGCCAGAGACTGACTTCTTGCCCAGGGTCCTGGGCCCCGATAACAATCTGGTACACGTAAGGAACCCCTACCATCATTCACTTCATCTATATCCTAACACATCTTCCTATTCTACAGAATCGAAATGTACGTTATCATAATCTGCGCCACCCTTCCGACCCTTCGACAATCCTACTTCGCCGTCCTCAACCGATCCACGCACCAATCCTCATCCTACAACAAATTCACACATTCCGCCAAATCCGACCAAAAGCAACGATCAATACCCCAGCCTCGCCGACCAGTTGACGCGTCACTTTTCGAAACCCATTTGACGAATTTCCAGGAGGAGCCAAGCCATCACCATAGTTCGAGTCAGGAGGATATTTTGCCCGGCGAGGCGATTGATCTGAGTGCGATTAAGAAGACGACGGAGGTGCATGTCTACCAGGAAAGTAGGACGGATAATAGCCATGACAATCCGTACTTTCCGAGGGAGGATCCGTTTCGGACGTCAGGTTGATTGGGCTACGACGATGTTTGCTAGCTGGAAGGTCGATATTGGGCTGGTCACGATTGTGAATTCATAAACTGCGCGATTTCATGGCTTGTCTACGCCGTTGATCATGCAGTCTCTGAATCAAAGCAACTGAGAGGACATCTAGATTTCGTGATGTCTGCATGGGAGGCGACTATACGGATACAGCCGATTGAGCCTGACTAGCTTGAAAATAACAGAAATAAATACTCCATAATATGATTTTATACCACAGTCGATACCATCTTATGCTCCTAATATATATATATATATATATATATATATATATATAAAAAAAACCCTAAATCAGGTGTCCCGGGTGTCGCACACGTTGAAGTCTACACCTGGTTGAAATGTCGAATCTGGACCGCTCGAGTCTGTTCTGTAGGATAGGATACTCATTAGAGATCTTTATCCCAAGAAAATTGAGACGATGAGCTGAATCTACGGAGTAGGCCAGGCCTAAGCTGAGACCTCGTAGATGGACTGTTTTGTGGAACTGGCCCTTTGAGCCTGGAATACGCTCCATAATTCCCAGATCGATCGTATGGAGTACTGAGGATGGTCAGGAGAATCGGAAAACACATGATTCTATTCTTATAGCAAGATCAGCAGTTATTTGTGGCAGAAAAATACCGCTACACTAAAAAGGGTCAACCCTTAGTAGTAAGGGCTTTTCTAGTGTATATACGCGGCGACATTATTCCTCCTGTCGTACAACCACGGGCGGGAGGCGGGACCCACACCGTCCCGCCGATCAGATAAAAGCAGGAGCCGACAACTTCCGGCCTTTTCTGCCTGTCTCTTCCCTCGCGGCTTGGCAGGAGGTACTATTTCGCTGTAGTAAGGGCTGCGCGGAGATCATCTGAGTGTTAGCAAGTATCTACGGAGTAGTATCCTTGGAGGCGAGCTATGGTTTGGCTCCTTTGGCATGAGGTTACTAGCTTGCTGTTAACTTATCATACCACTGGCCCAGTGCGCTCCTCGCTCCCCGTTGTAAGGCACAGAATGCCAAGGTGAAGCTACAACAAACCAAGAAACAAGATATCTGCCTCAGGCCACAAAACCTAGCCGCCAGCCCACCTGTGGCTGGGTGTGCCGCTGTGGCTTAGCACACACTAAGAAAATTGGTAATTTGGCCCCTCCCACCAATCACTCGAGCGTCAGTGCGCCAACTAAATTATGGACTTGTCGGACGCTGTATACAGATGGGGAGTGCTCTTGACACACCCCCACATACAGATTTGATCCCTTCAGCGAAGAGGCTGCCAAATATGACACGGAAGAGTCCCACGATGTCATCAACGACATTAATTGGGATGACCCCTCGTCCTTTTTCGAAAAGATGAACCTGAACTTGCCCAAACCGCTGTCTTATCCATGTGCAGAAGAGGGGCGCAAAGAGAGCCGCGAAAGATCGTCCAAGGTGCTATCCACCTGGCAGACTCTGAGCAAGATTATCGACCGACATGAAGATCGCATCCAGAAGCGATGGCGCCAGAAGTCGCAGCCAAAACGCCGCCAGGTCCTTCTCTCCGTTTGGCCGGACATGCCCAAGATGCATCGTCCGGATTTCCAGGCCTTCAAGAAAGGACTCCGCGAGGAGGCGAAAGATTCCTATATGTGGCCGTATATCAACCTAGAAGACCTGGAGAAACCGAGGCCCTTGCTGTTGTTTCTGAATGCTCGTGCCCGTCAGGCACCGCATTGTTTCGCTCACGCCGATTTCAATGCGCAGCATCTGGGCCATCCTTCAGGGGCCATACGAACCGCGTTTCTCAACCTGCATACTATGATGTTTAGCGGAGGAACGACCCCGGAATCGTATGGAAGGTTGATACCCTGAGGCGCGAGCATGGAGGATGAGGCGATGAAATAGGCGTCAAACGGACAAGGCTTTCACCCTGGTCATGGCTTGGTGGTACTGGTCGCTTAACAGCGACTGTATGAGTTTCTTCTAGAGACCTGCTATCAACCTCTCCATGACATCCCTCGAGAGTCTCTGATCGACGATTTCCCTGTGCTTCCGGAACCCACGATCAAGGACGAGAAAGAGTGGGCTTCCCTAGCTGCTATTGCGGGAGACGCACCATATTGTCTCCCTGCTAGCCTTGATTTACGATCACTTGAAGATCTGGTCGATGCTAAACACTCGGCGGCAGAAGACCATCTCCTAGCTCTACGGGAAGACCCTGGATACTTTGAAGATGTCGTCAGTGATTATAAAGAACATCGACTGGAGATCCTTCTCGATATCACCGGAAAGCTTCATCCGACCATGGCACCACACCCCCAGCCTCTCTTCTGGAATTGTGTTCTGCAGAATGTTGTTGCGGAGGCCTATTTCGCCGTTGAAACGTGACACAGTCTTCGCGCGGCGCTCTCTAATCTACGTCAACTCCACTCCAAACATGAGGGCCGCATTTCTCCGGAAAAGGACCTCCCCAAGGAACTGTAGGACGAACTTGCTAAAGTTCGGTATTTCCTCGAACAATTTACCACCGGCCCGATCAATCAACTGAAGGTCGCCGTCCCTCCTTCTCCGCCGCTGCGATCGCTATTCCAGCGCGAGCCACAGATCCCAGGAACGTCAAAAATGCAAGTATCCTCGCGACCCCAAGCAACCACGACAGACGCTCAAGGCAAACTGGTATGGACATTGGAAACGCTTTGGGGCGATAGTCGAATCTTACAGATGGCCGGTGGAAAGACTGTCATGGATACACTTGAGCGCCTGTTTCAAAACGACCCGAAGAACCGCGACCTGATCTCCTCACGAGTTGCTAGTATCGTGTCCGACCTATCCGTCCTCTCCGAATGTTTGTACCAGATCGAGCTCTATCATCCCTGAGCGGCAACGTTCGAAAGCGGTTTTGCGCACGAAGAGGATGCGATAAGAAAAGAATATGCTGATATGGTTAAGGGTTGGGACAAGTTTCTCGTTCCTTTTGAAGGATCCCGTCTCGGAGGAATGGGTGGCCCGGAGAAGGATCTCTTCTACTATCCCGTCGAAAAAAGGCGAAACAAACAGAATGTCGAACTCATGCGACATGCGGAGCGGAATTTGGACGCGTTCTGGGCCGCTGTCGACAGACATGTACCCGTGAAGCGCGGGATGACCAGACGCAATGCCACTTACTTGGTCCTCTCCCGTATTTCTGGAAAGCTTTAGAGGACGTCGGAGTGGGTCGAACCTGCCAAGAAACCTGCCTAGAAGAAGCCTTCCGATCAAAATATTGCAGATCGTGAATTTGAGCTGCAGTACCGAAGCGAGAAAACCACCGATTCATCAGCCCCAGCAGGGCCCAAGAAGAAACAGAAAGCTTGCGGTCAGGCAGCTGTTCCCGAAACCTTAGTGGAAAAACCATCACCCACTCCACAGGTCGATACTCAGCCCACCTTCAAAGTGGACAAACGCTCTTTGAAGGTCTTCTCGACCCTTTTCTTCCAACCATCGCAAACAGCTCAACCAGGAGAGGTGGCCTGGAATGACTTTTTGCACGCTTTGAGCGGTACCGCATTCTCGATGCAGAAGCTGAACGGTTCGGTGTGGCAATTTACGCCGAGGAATTTAGATGTCGAGCGCAGTATTCAGTTCCATGAGCCGCATCCGATATCCAAGATTCCTTTCCAGTATGCCAGGCGCATTAGTCGGCGGCTGAATAGGACTTATGGTTAGCATGGAGGGATGTTCTATCCCGTTTAGTGGATACAAGTGAGATCGTATCGAGGTCATGTTATCATGTTTGCAGTTGAGCTTGGAAAGTCAATGTTCTCTATTAAAAAAATACGTCTAAAATGAAACCAACCTCCATTGGAAAGAAAGACATTCCTCCGGCCCATCTTGCTGGTTGCATCCATTGGTTCAATGCCAGGCGCTGTCCAAGATAGCATCTTAGCATGAAATGACGTGATACACTAATACTACCCAATTTAATTAATCAACCCCTCCCTATAAATACAAGCTTTCTTAGATCTCAGAATTCCCTGTATACAAGACAAAAACTGCAAATCAAGATGGTCAATTGGGGAATTATCTGTAAGTACCCTGACGTGCAGCATTCGCAACACCTGACCACCGCTAACCCTAAATACATCAGCTACCGGCGACAATGCTACAAGTTTGTCTCTCTATCTTATTCGAACCAGCATAAACCAGAAAAGATCTCCCTAACTGACTCAATCCAGAATTCGCCAAAGATCTCCTGATCGACCCATCCACCCGAGGCGTCCACAACGTCACCCACACCCTCACAGCCGTCGCATCCTCTTCCTCCATCGAGAAAGCCCGTACATTCCTATCCACAATAAATGCGCCTTCTACTACAACCGCTTACGGATCCTACGATGCCCTCTTCGCCGACCCATCCGTCGAAATCGTATACATAACCACACCGCATTCGCTGCATTACCAAAATGCTCGCGCGACGCTGTTAGCAGGGAAACACGTCTTGGTCGAGAAGGCGTTTACCGTGAACGCCACGCAGGCAAAGGCTCTTGTGCATCTTGCGAGAGAGAAAAGGTTGTTTCTGATGGAGGCGATGTGGACGCGTTTCTTCCCACTGGTGCAGTACGTTAGACAGCTTATTAGGGATGGGAAGATCGGGACTGTGCAAAGGGTAGTGGCGGAGAGGAATTTGGGGAGGGACGTGGAGAGACTTTATGGGACTGAGCATCGGTTGGTAAACCCTGTGCTTGCCGGGGGTGCTTTGTTGGATTGTGAGTGCCTCTGTTCTTACCTATGTTCTTGGGCGTGGTATGATGCTAACGTGACGGGTTATATGAAGTGGCAATTTATCCTCTTACGTGGATCTTTCAGATCCTGTACCATGTTGCTTTGTCTGCGGATAGCATTAGATCGCCACCGCTTGTTTCGAGCTTGTTGGTGAAATATGCAGCAACCGGAGTCGACGAGACATCTACTGTCGTCCTTATCTTTCCTGAGGATAAGACACAGGGTGTAGCAACCGCAAGTTTGCGGGTTGCGTCTGACCCGACCGATCCAGACGTTCGCATTCTCGGTGAAAGGGGTCAAATCCAGATTTTCGGCCCAGCTGCACGGCCGCTGGGCATCGCAGTTGTTCAGTATAAGGAGGGTGGCAGTCGGGTGATTGAGAAGAAGGATTTCGAAATTCCCGCCGGTCATGGTTTATTCTGGGAGGCGGATGCTTGTGCTCGGGCTTTGGCTGAGGGGAAGGTCGAGTCTGAGGTGATGCCGTTGGATGAGACGGTCTTGATAACGGAGGTGTTGGATCGGGTGAGGGAACAAAACGGATTGAGGTATCCTGATCATGTTGAGGCCTCTTAGAGGGAACCTTGGTAAATCTGACATAGAGTAACCTGGACTAGCGGGATACAGTTAGTCTATCTACTCGCGGGAATTCTCAGTGAATATTAACTCGGGGAAGCTTCATTCGCTATCTACTGAATACCAAACCCTGTACAGAATTTTATTCACCTATCTCGGGTGAGAATTATAACCTCGCTAGTCCGACGGCAGCACATTTAATGGCGCCGAAATTGCAACAGTCTGGGACTCCCCCGAAATATCAAGCGTAAGCTCACACCTCAGCTCATGTTTGTGTCGAATAATGTACGAAACAAAGTCAGGGTATATCGAGCCCGAAAATGGGGTGCTTGGATCAAATCTTTGAGTACCTTTTCGAAGACCATCGGAGTCCAGATATATCTGAAAGACATTGCCAAGATCGAAAGGGGAGCTGTCCTGTCCGACGTGAAACTCAATCGGTGTCAGGAATGTGCGGGAGGGAATAACGATGGAATGCGTCTTGCGCCAAAAGTCCAAATTTCCCGTGCTATACCCGAGGCCGCAGACATGGGTAACGGTCATGGATATTACGCTGATGCGGATGGACTGAACGATGACGGTCACGGTGGTGTCTCGAAGCGCTGGGCTCGTCTCGTCAGGAACGCCCACGATATTGACAGTCAGGGGAATAGGAAGGGAGTGGTCCAACTGTATGGCCTTGGGTGCACTGATGTCCACTCGATAGGCCCATCCGGGAACACTGGAGGAACCGTAGAAGTTTTGTATCTTTTTCTTCAAGGACAAGTGCCCCACCCCAGTCACCAGCCGGTGGCTCTGCATTCGGGCAGTTTGCGAGTGTGGGATCATCTCGTAGTGCACCAGCGGGGGTTCGACTAGGCTATGTCGGATCACGAGACGACATGACTCCGTATGTGTGATGATTTCGCCGCCGCGACGATAACGCAGCTCAGCTTCCAACTTATATCCGATCATGCCTATCGAGCCGTCCCCGTTGCTGCAGGCGAAAGTCCCAGGGAGCGTCTGCTCGGCTACGCTGTCATGATCTATCGGTAGGAAGCTCGTTTCATAGTTATGACGTGGAATCATCGTGAGAGATGGCCGTAGCGGTATATTTACTTCGAATGGGAACGTGAGGCATTCTGTACTCCCTTCGGCGAGGTGGAGCGGCCCCTGAAAGAGATCTTCATCTCGTGGATCCAGGAGGTCCCATCGATTGGAATGATCTATCTGCTGATTTCCGTATTGTTCCACCATCCTGGTTTCGGCAATTCCCCCTAGAGACACCCGGATTGTTGCATCGGGACTGACGAGCGACGCCTCGCGGACGACGGTACCGATGACATTGTCGCCTGGGGCAAAGGTCCAGTTGGGCGGAGCAGCCAGGCTGATCTTGAGGTTTCTAGGATCTGAGATCTTGAAAGGGTTGTACATGATGAATGACTGCTCTTCGACGTGACGGAAGGGCTCTGGAATTAGGGGCACGATTCGATCTTAAATCACTAGTATCCTTGGCCGCCCCCAAGAAGGCAAGGCTGATTTGGTGGGTCCTCAGGCGTTCGAATTGACCAATGATGAACTATCGGGACCCTCTTTACTGAGCATAATAACATCTACGTTACAATAGCAGGGGATGGAGTAAGACCGGGCCCAGCGGTTTCGGTTTCCTCAAATTCCCCAAAACCCACAAGAACTCGAACGGGAAGGGTTCCTCAGAAGCATAGAAAAATAGTTCCCACCTGGACATTCATTTTGTAGACCTGAAAAGATGAGTCCATTCTATATGCACAATTCTCTCTCTATCGCTCGAGAGGTTCGTTTCGTGGGGCATGGATACACAACGCCAGTGACATTTCTTTAGACGATCGTAGGATACTACTATTTTTCATGATGGACCCGGTGAAACTTATTCTGTATCCCTGTCTTCTGGCCTGCTAATGATTCCGCTCATCGGTAGTCAGCTTTGCTTGTACACATTACGCCACCGATTAAATATCCTGATAAAATGTCATTATTGAGTTTCGCACTCACAAGGAACACATGTCATAGCGAAGCCCAGCTGCCACCCATTTGTTTAACAAAGTATTTGTCGGTTGACTTGGTCATTGCCCTAATCAGATATCCTATCGATTCAACTGAATATAGGTATATGCTCGGTGGGTAAAAGTGAAGTGTCATTTCTAAACTACAATCTGCCTAGCTATTTATAGTTCCACTTGTTTACACCTATGCATTCCTGATCCCTTGGTATGCCATTTGGAATGGTAGGCCAAGTCTAGGCCAAGCAAGGTGCTGTGCAGTATGTGGATTAGGTCAGGATACTCCACCTCTCTGGTCTGGTTGACAACATCGTTCCAACAGTATTTTAATCTGATACGTTCTGGAAGAGACTATTGCTGCCGGTGTGGATCGTGCAGATCCTGCTGATGGCGTGCCCGAGATTGGGACCGAGTCACTCTTTGGGCGGTTTGAGTAGTCGATGGAGCCTGGTAGGCTGGAACCGACGTGTAAGAGGTATGTTGCGAATAAGCATGGTGGGTTGAAGCAGACGTGCGAGACGGCTGTTTTGAAGGAGCATGGTGAGTTGGGGTCGACGCGCGAGATGGTCTTTTCGATGAAGACCCTTGTCCAGAGGAACCAGAGCAATCAGAGGAGTCATCAAGGGAGATCTGATCCGCGTCCGTGAATTTACCACCCATTGAACATGTCCACCTATCTTTGGACATCTTGTTGTTGTAAAGGTAGTGTCCGGCCTGGATAATCCAGCCGAGGAAAAGGAAGCATTCGCGGAGAGACACGGCCATCTGACTTGAATCGTTCTGATGCACCGAATTAGTATCGCATGAGATCGCATTGGAGTACCACAGGGCAGTCTCTTTGACTTGTAAGGATGTGCATTCTGTTTCAAGAAAATTGTCTCATTGTATGTCGTAAGAATCCCGTACTTCACTCCAGCATAGTACATGTAGCGAGAAATTTGACCTAAAGAATTGGGAACAGAGAGGGTCAATACCAAGAGTATGCCGAAGGTTCTCCTGTTTAAGTAGCATGGAACCTTTCAGATTGTGCATCCTCGGAGTCTTTGCCTCTCCTACTATCTACAGTTTGCCCGTCCTATCACAGACCACAATATCGGGAACCATGCCCAGGAGATCGGCTACCACGCATGATTTGAAATCTCCAAATGTACCAGGAAAATTCAAAGTGCGAAAGACAGCAGTCATAGCATGGCTCACATTCTGGCCGAACCGAGCAACAACGCTGTGTTCGTCTCCGCAGTACAGCTGTTCGCAGCATGTGTGATGTGGCCCGGCATGTTGTGCTGAGGGTTCATATGCAATAATAGAGGGAAAGTGGTGCCAATGCACACCATCTGATACTGTTACTGTACGAACATCTTCCTCTAAAGATTTCCAACGCACGGGTGTCCCCTTGAATTCCAATTTGTGAGTTGTGTCTGTTGTTGTTGAGCCAGGTGCGGTGAGGAGTTCAGGGATCGCAGAATATATTAACTCTCGGGCAGTGAGTTCAATCACCATTGTTTCTAAGGCAGAGAGGGTCGAGTCTTAATCGGAGTAAAATCAATGATGAGGTATGATTTGTGTCTTTGAAGACGTGGGCGATTGTCCCTTTTTATGTTCCCTTGCTAGACTCTGCCTCGCCGGAGAGAGGATAGCCGTCGTAGGCATGCCTAGGTGAATAAAAGTAGTTTGGCACCTACTTGTATACAATAAAAAGCCGATTGAAATCTAGACATTATCCAGCTGACAACTACAGATGTAATCTGTAGGGTGGTATGCATAATTCGGCGCGTATATAAGAATAGCAACCATGCAAGTGGATTTTAGGCGACTACTGAAATAGAGAGGTGGGATGTTGAAAAAGAACATAATACAGACTAGTGTTATAAATCAATTAGTAGGTCATAAGGCTGTAAGAGAGAAAGGAGTCTGACTCTAGGGGTGTTACATAGATAGGACGGACGCGGACGGGCGACAAATGAGTAAATTCTTGGCTTATTGAATCACAGGTAGTACCCACAAAAGATCCCAACACGTATGAGTTATGTCTATGGTTTCGGGCTTTTAATTATTGGCTGACATTGTTTCTCGCGACCAGAATAGCAACAAGGTACATACTAGAAGCGCTCAAGCCAGAAGGCATCTACTTAGTGCCTGAAATACATCAATTAGAATCAAGGCTTTTCACCTATTCATCTGACCCGGCATTCCTATGATTGGCATTTCCAACTATGTTACGAATATAGTTAAGCGCTCGGCATTGGAATAAGTGATATTCCACTAGTGAGGGGCTATATGAGTTGTACACGTGTATCTATCATCTTTCTGTTATCTAACTAAGTCCACGAGCTCGCTCACTCAGTCAATGTTCACTTAGTTCTCTCTATTCTGTACCAGCTTCCTCTGACCAACCGTAGGTTTCGCTACAAACTATCCATGGGATATGTCGACGGTAGGCTTTTCAATTACTGGCTGATATTAGTTTTTACGACTAGAATAGCAACAGGGTACATACATAGCTACTAGTACTAGTTAAGCGCTCGTGCCGGGCGACGTCTAATTAGTGCCCGAAACGCAGCGATTAGAACCCAGGATATTACCTTTTAAGTTGCGCCGGCCTTCCTATGATTGACGTACCCGACTATCTGTCTTATAGGCCACCTGCACTCTGTTCTCTTACTTTGCTGAGTTTTGACGGAAGTAATACTGCGCGGCTTGGTTACGGAGGGTTTTGTATACGTCTAGAAGAATGAATAATACCTACGGCACGTATGTACCGTACCTTAGTGAACAGTGGAAAGATACTGTACTATAAAATATTTAGGCGCCAAAGGCTTTTCCGGCCCGGGGTTTTACGCGCCGAGCAGAGTCCCCATTAGTTGGAGGATTGCCATCCCCCCTTACTTTATTACTCCCAATATCATTTTCGAGTATCAACCAATTTTTATTCCTCCATCACCGAAGCCCTATTCTTATTTTCTGTGCTCAAGTGGTCATCTCGGTATGAAAATTGGATCAAATATCACATGGTTTGATGAAGATGACTACATTCGCGCAGCGGTTTCTTTTCCCGCCGGTTCAGTGTGGAGACTGGAGACCAAGGTCCGCGAGCACGAATATTACGAGACAAAGGTTGATATCGGGGAGCTGGGTATTCGGTAGGGGTGTAACGAATATTCTACGTCGGCCGATATATTCGACGCCTCGCATGGTTCGAATAAGAAGTCGAATACGATATTCGACACCCTTATCATGATCGAATACGAATATTCGACGGTCCATCTACGCTGTCCTCAAGATGCGCCTACAGTTAGTGCCTCTCAGTTATAGAGAGAACGCAGGCTAAAATATGTGATCAGGATCCCCTGGGTTGGAACGGCCACCAAGAGGTCATCTGTTCGTGCACAGCAGGCGACTCTAGGCCCCGCCCCAAATTTCCAAACCGAAATCGACGCCTTGTTCTCTCTGACAAAGGCTCACTCCTCCAGCACCCCTTCTCTTTTTGACTGGAAGAAGGAGAAGCAGTCTGAGGACGGATGGGTCCCTTGAGGATACAAGCTATGTATCTTGATGGAACAGCTACCCGGTTCTGATCCATCAGACTCACTCATCAATCGGCGGATGGATCGCGCTGAGAGGGATGCCCTGCGGGCGGCCTTCAAAATAGCATGGCTGTTAGTGTATCCCAATATACTTTCTTACGAATACACATTATGCAAGGTTGCTAATTTTCGTTGCCAGCGAGACTCTAGATTGTGGTTTGAGGCATCGTGATCCAGCACTATGTAACCTCCTTTGGGACAAGACGACTAATAAATGGTCAGTTTTCTCCTATGTCTGAATCTCTGCCGCCAGTAATGAACTTTGTAAGCGATTGGCTAAATATTTTGTGTGGCGGCTACCTGATCGATTGGGAATATTGCTGTGCTCGGGATGAGACAGACACATGGACAGACCTGATATATCTTGAATGGAATCTTGCACGAACTGGACGATCAAGAAATTATGAAGATATGTGCGATTAGGATCTGTGATGTGGAACTGGTCATCTTTTCTGGAACTTGTGACATTGAGCACGAAGATGAACTGCGATCAATGAAACTTTAGCAATGCAGAGAAGATCTTGTAAGAATTCACGTCAGAACAAGTAGAGGACAGGCAACCTGAAATACTTTGGCAAAGCCTTGATGATGCACCGGGCGAGAATGCATCGCGCAAAGGGCAAAAATGCTATCTCTTGCCTTGAGAGCTGTCCTGGTTATTTTACGGATCCAACGAATAGCCTCCTTGGCTTGGAGATGGTCGGATATCAGAGGCCGATCGCATTTACACTAAACCCCTTCCTACGGAACAAATGTCTTTCACCCATGTAATTTACCTAATATCTCTTAGACACACTGATTGAGGTAGGCTAGGGAGCCCTATTGTCATTGAATCGTCGAATGAAAAGAAACCCATTTCATGGCGTGGATAAATAGACAAATTCGGCAATAGCGAGTGATTAGGCAGTAGCATTTTGTTCGATAGTGCAAAAATGGGTCTGAACACTGGAAGGGGGCTGGGATGACATTATACCTTGACTGCTTCATAAAGGTGTATCGCGCGCTGGTCATATGATGCTCTTTCTCTCAAGCTCGAAGGCTTGTCTGTTTCTTGTTTTGCTTTGAGCCACCTACTTTTTTTAGGTGTTTACTAGTGTTATCATGCCATTCGGGAAGAAAGTGATCGGTGCGCATGCTCCACGTATTGATGCGTTGAAGGAGGATGACTTTTGGTGGTGGTATCGCCAGTCAGTGGTGAAAAGTGAGATGATAGACCACGGTCCTGGAATACCGAGTTTTTTTGTACTCAGGTACGTCTTGCCATTCATCTATACTTTGGCACACTTGTTTTTCGCTAATATATTCCCTCTTTTGGGGAAAGCTTTCAGCAAACCTCGTATCCCATTTGGGAAAGAATCCAAGCTTTCCTTGACAGTGGACTGCGGGAAACAGGCGTCCACAACACTTCGTTCCCTGCATTTGTACTCAAAAAGCCAAATGCTATAAATTATGAACAAATTGAAGATCAAAACGAAGGTCTCATCTCAGACCAGCTGGCCACCTCAGATGCCATCTAGTCGCATTATGCCAGAGGGATCCAAGGCCACCATGACCTCCCGCTTCGACTAAACCAGTGGAAGTCTTTATTCTGCCATGTGTCACACCCCCAGCCATTCTTTCGTTCCAGGGACCGTCTCGTGCAAGAGACACACACAGCACATCTAACCAAGAAAGGGACAGATGATGCAATCCCACAGGCTCTTGATCTATACAAAGAAGTGTATGAGGATCTTCTTGCTGTTCCAGTTGTGAAAGGCCAAAAGAGTAGCCTCGCCAATAGAGAGGCTTCACTTGTCCTTATTGGTGCCTATGTCAATGAAACTGTCATCCTTTTATGTGTGCATATACTTGAGCAATGCATCGAAGGTGCAATATGCCGTGGGCTCGGTCAATGCTGTAGCACGGCACATGGTATCAAGGTGCCTGATCCTTCGATCCTTTCAATCCCTTCTAGCGAAGGTCAACAATTCTTCCATGTGTGGCAGAATTCTTGGCATTTCTCCAGTCGCGCCAGTGGTATTATGATGGCAATTCATGGGGATAATGAAGGTCTAGTTCTTCCGCCAAACCTTGCTGAGTATCAGGCCATCCTCATACTCCATGGCTCCTCTAAAAGGAAACAAGAATACCAGACGATCGTGAATGAATATGTTTCAATTAAATCCAAGCTGGCGGCGCTTCATTGGCGTACGGAAGTGGATCTCCGCGACGGGTACTCCGCCGGTTGGAAGCTTCATGAATGGATCATACGGGGGGCTCCCTTGTGCATTATACTGGGGATCAAGGAGTTATCAGGTCAACACGCAACGGTGTACAGAAGAGACATTCCTAAGGAGAGTCGCAAGATTAACATCCCCCTAACTGAGATTCCTGCTACAGTCCTGAAACTCCTGGAAGACTTACAGGAACGGCTCCTTCAGAAAGCCCGCGTCGCCTTCTCTTCACGTCAGCGGGAAGTGACCGACTGGGATGAGTTTACTTATCATATCCGCGGCCGCAAAGAAGTGGGCAATGTTGGGATCTAGTTTTGAATGACACAGGAATAGGCGAATTGAGGCGTTAATAGAATATGTTGAACTTGAGACGCCTCGGATCGTCGTTCCTCTTTGGACGTTGTGCTTAGTATCTGTAGCGTTCTTGGCGAAGGGAACCGTGATCATAGAACATTGTTTGGCCTGGATTTTCTATAGCGGTTTTTTAATCCCTCTCTCAGCTTTTCATATAAGACCTGAAACCAGCTCAAGTACGTCTTAAGTGAAACGAGGGACTTTGGTTAGGTAATTATGGTCTTGTCAGAGAAGTTGATTACTCCAGGCATCTCACGATGTTGGTCAGGGAAACTGGGAATCATTCCCGCTGCTGAGGTTCAATGACGTCAAAGCCAAACGATTCCATCCCCTAGTATGTAGGAAGATAACTGAAATTAGCTAGTTTTGGACAGTCGACGCTTGAAGTTAGATCAAGATCCGGAAGCCCAAGAGTGCCAAGCGTGCCTCACCAAGAATAATAGTCAATTCATTCCAACGATCCAGTGGAATGTTCACACACACAGGATGGATTATTCCCGCGTCTAGCTAAAAAAGACAAGAAGCGAAAATTACAAAGAGACGGCCATCTAATATGAGAATTAGACTCAAAGCCCGCCAGAAATTAAGCACAATCGTCTCACTAGACCCAGTCACATTCATGGCAAATACTTGTAGAATACTGCGAGGATCAGTCATGTTATGCCGCTAACCATATAAACAGTTCAGTCATAATGCCTCTTTGGTCTCTGGTTAAGCTCCTCCACGTAACCTGTTGATGTGAAGCTGTGGTTTCTGCCAAATCAGGGCAACAACCAACATCTGCGCTAAAGCAAACCCTCCGACCATCTTCATCTGCATATTATACGCTTCCGCGAAGGTCGAACGAACGTCAATCTGCGTTGATTCGGGAAGACTCTCAATTGCTTGTGCCGTGTCTTTGATGGTCTTGATTTGCTCTGGGGACAGAAACGACGCCAGACTCTTGGTCAGATGGGTATTGAGTATCGTGGTTGCAATCGCTACACCTAAGGCGCCACCCACCTGCCGGCCCTGGCTTGCAGTTCCCATTGCGATCAGCTGGTCGGGTTCTTCCACGGACTCCGGCACAAGCATATACATAACCGATGTCGAGGCTCCTACTCCTAACCCGAAGATCACGGAGTAACCAAACTGCCCCATCCAGAGGGAAACAGTGGTGGGAATCTCAGACATGAGAAAGAATCCGACGCCCTGGAGCACTAACCCGACGAGTAGCGTGTATACAAATGGAACTTTGTACTTGGTCATCAGGAACGAACATGTGCATCCCCCAACAGGATTGCTTAGTGCGTACGCAAGCAGCTTCACCCCGGCTCCGAGTGGGGAGCTTTTGTTGACGGTTTGATAGCGCTGGGGAAGGTCAATGACACACACGACGAGCGGAGGACCTGATAAAAGCCATCCTCTGAGGGTGACGACCGAAGTTATATTAACGTTGCTCTTTATTGTGCTATTATACTCTCCGGATAAGAAGAGGGGGAAAGAGGGGAAGACCCACAGGATAACACCCATAAACACTCGGTTCTTGGTAAGCCGCCAGGGCAGAATAGGCTGGATTGACCATGATCGGCGACTAAGGAACCAGATCCACGTCAGAAACGCAAGCCAGAGCATGCCCGATAGAACGAAAAAGCTGACAATTACGCCGGAGGACCAGGTGTAGTCTACAGTGCCCTCCTGCAGCGCGGCCACTAGCAACATTGACGCTGCCAGAATGAAGAATGCACCCAGGAAGTCTGTCTGCTTAAAAAAGACTCGTTGCCCCTGGAGAAGCCAGTTTAACCAGGATCCGGTGGATTGTCCATCTTCCTTCAGTGGTGGAGGATTCGGGTAATGGTAGGGCATTGCGAGAAGAATACATAACCATGCGATGCCACCGGCCGGGAGGCTGGAATGAAACATGAAATGTTAACTGTATGAGATTCACCATGCGGTCCGGCTACTCTCCCGCGACAACTTACTTCAATAGAAAGATCCACCGCCAGCCGCCAGCGTTATCAATTGCGCCACCACAAATGGGGCCCAATACCAGTCCCAGAGATATCATGATCCCGGCCATGGTGGCAATAATGCCATACCTGGAAGGATGCATCAATCGCAAGAAGCCAAATGTGCTCAAAGAGAAAACGCCAGCGGCACCGACGCCTTGAAAGGCGCGACATATTATACTGCATCTTAAATCAGTCATTTCCGAGTGGTAAAAGCAAAGTTACAACACGAACAGATCATTCAGCGTATTTGCTGCTCCACATCCGCCAGAAAATGCGATAAAAAATCCCAATGAGCTGAGCAAAGCTAGTTTGACACCGAAAATGTCCCCGCACCTTGACCAGATCATGAGAAAGCCTAGTGATAAGTCAGTATTTCTCTTGTGCCTGATTGCGCGAAACGTACCAGAGTAGGTGAGAATATACGCGTTTGGGACCCAGGCAGTCTGGTCAAATCCATGCAGTTTATCCCCAAGAGTAACCAACGACGTGCTCACAATGCTGATCTCGAGCATTGGCAGGAAAAGGCAGATGCACATGCTTAGATTAAGGAAAACCTTTTCGTTAGCTCACATTCGCGCAAGATTCTAGAAATGAGGAACTAACCCGGCACCAGCAACCCATAGTCGCGCTCCGTGAAGATAGAAATCTTGCTCTTTCTTGATGCAACATACCGAATCCTTTTCATCTAGCTCTTCGAAACCACTCATCGTACATAAGCTGTTGAGGAAAGGTTCCTTGGATTTGTACCTGTGAGAATGCGCGACGAGCTTCCTTTGTCTAGTTCAGTCAAGATGAACTACCACCAAACATTCGCAGTAAAATAACAGATCCATTAGCAGAAGGCGGGTTAACTCGACTCTTGAAAGGTGACAGAAGCGGACAATACCAGCCTCGGTTCTTCACAATGCGATCCGACCATGGCGAATTAATCTAAGCTCCGTTGACCCAGGTCGAGCTATCAAGGCACCTCGGTAACCTAGAGCTTGGGATCTACACGGCTATGAAGTCAAACAAAATCGCGCATGCCAAAGCTTGACTAGAAGCCACAATGGACCCTACCGGCAGTGCTTGAACCAAGGTTGACCATTCAACGGTTCCGAATGGAGGCCCGCTGCCATCCCAGGAAGTGACTGAATATTTGACTTTGCGTAATGCAAATCATGTCGATCAATCAACATGCTTTCAGCTACCTTGCATTTTAAATTTGTAGATAAGCGAATCAAGTATGGTACGTGTTCTCACACAACGTCAAAGTCGATGTGTATCCACAATATTGCTTGATCTCCGCGCCACTGGCGCTCAAGGTGACATGATGTAGAAAACCACCACAGTAACAATGTGTACGATAATTGAGTTCGAAACTTTAGGACACTGTAGCCGTTCTAACACTCTGCAAACTCCCGTGGTGTGGCTATTATTCATTATGCTTTGCCGACTATTCAGTTCTCCGTACGCCCCCGCCTCTCCGTGATTCCATAGGCTGTAGTGGTAGCTGTGAATGGATACATACCAAGTAGCTTTTGGAATTGCGGAGAATTGGGTGTGATGATTAGCTTGATGCTGGGGATAATCTGTTGTACGATCAGTGGCAAAATAGTCTCATCACTTGAAACAAAATTGCATTAAGCAGTTCGGAATAGAGAACCTTCGAGATCAGTGTGCAGGCAGATCTGCGGATTTACTAATTAATTCAAGCACAAATCTTTCAATATGTTCACAAGGTCATGCTCATTGCTCAAACGTAGATACATGAATGAATTATCCACTCTCCGATTACAGTCTCATTCTGACAACCCCTAGCAACATTTCCTGCCAATTTCAAACAAATCCAGCACGCAGAATCGCCCGATCAATGGCCTTCACCATCCCAATAGTATCGTCCGGTGCAGTAGGAATTTCGTGTCCCTTACCATGGATGTACACAGATCTTCTGTCGGCCTTACAGGCTCCCCAGCCACACTTTGCGGTAAACTGTCCCTGGCCATCATCACAGCTGCCCCAGATATGTGCCGTTGGCAGATTCAGATCCTCACTACTAAGTGAGACACCGAGTTCCTTAAGGTGGTCGGGGCCGTGGGCATTAGAGAAGAAGACTCCCATTTTGACGGGGATATCTTGCTTCTGCTGGCGCCAGAGTAGCCACAGAATAGCAAGGCTAGCGCCGGCACTAAAGCCAATGACCCCGTCAAAGGGTCCTTCGTTGGTCACGTATTGATCCAGACCTTCAACGGCTTGTATCCATGACTCGGCATCTACGGGATCAACATAAGAAAACGCCTTTTCGTCAGGGGACATATTGTCCTTGAGCGCTAGGCCGAATTAGCATGTCATAACACTATCGGAAGGATGGGTATCTACCAGGATGGGCCTCACATGGTACGCAACCTTCCACGAAGTCATAGGTGTGTCGGTCTCCTAGTTCGTATCTAACGGCCGCTACATTTACTTGTTAGTTCTGTCAATCTAACACGAAATTTGAAGGCAACTTACCAATTTGCTGCTGGAGAAGCTTTACACCACATGAAGGTGTTAGAAGGTTTGATTTTATACCAGTCATAATGTTATCTCCATTGAAAACTTACCCGGGAATTACTTCCAGAGCCGTGCAAGCTGTTCTACTATGTCAGGTGTCTGAAGAAACATGTTTCAAAGGAACATTACACTGACCAGCAGAAACGCATATTGGCAAAGTAAAGAGTTTTGAGCGTTCAATTAACACAGGTGAAACAATTGATGAATGAAAGATAAAGATGGAGCAAAGGCTGGTTGCTGAGGGTCTTATGAGGCAGAGATCTCTGGCGTTTGGCCCACCATGGCGCCAGCGAAGAACCACTATCATCATGTCGCACGATGTACTATTCCAAGACTGTGATGTAATCCGCTTGGACCAGAGTCAATCTTCTGTGTAGTCACGAAAACGACAAGGTTCAAGGGCAGAAAATAACGCACTACTTGGTCCCAACGCCAGGGCTCCACACACGTCATTGATATAGCTGACAGCTTCAGATGAACGAGTGACATTAACCTCCTAGAGCTCGCCTCCTCTGAATGCCTCCTCGGGAAGGAGGGAATAGTGTAGTCAGACATTATCTATCGTCTACGCCTTGTTTCTTCGCCTCCGCAATTGTCGATCAAGTAATGATTGTAGACTGAGATCATACAGATCATTCTTTGCAGGACAAAGCTTATCGTGATCGTTTCAGTACGGTGTATGGTGAGAATAGGAAGAGAGAAAGAGCTAAATGGCAACTAGGAACATAGACTCTATATTTGTGGGCCAAGAAGGTAAGGTGAGCGAGGAAAGGTTCGATCCTGTCGATCCCTTTCCTAGGCTATGTACATACCCGGCCTCGGAGTACGGACAATTGTACCAATGCTATAATATCAAAGGACTACCAATAATGAGCAACCCACCGAGAAGCTGAGAGAGCCTAGCATACAAGGAGTTTCATGGTTGAGTAACTATTCCTTTTAACTTCATCTTCGCATTCCAGTAGTCTCAAAGTATAGGAGCGACACAACCATTGTCGTAGGTTAACTTTTGCGCGTTCATGCACTTTGAGAGACGGAAAAAAAGGTGCTATAATTCTAAAGATACCCAGCAAAACCTACACTTGCAGAGTACCTCGAACTAAATTCTATTACTCTAGTCATGGACGGCAAGAAGAAGTCTGTCACGTTTAAACAAAAACGTTCAACTTACCAGCGCTGCGGTAAGTGAATTGCCGAATCACTGTGTTATAAAGTTGAAGTTCGAACTGTAATCGCAAAGAAATTGAGTTTGGCATTATTGAAACCATAAATGTTACGTCCGACCCTTGAATCCCGACCCATGAAATGCATATGGGAAATGTATATTCACTGAAGAAAACTGTATTTGCCAGATACTGAAAGGCAACACACGCTGCTGATATAATCACAACACGGGGCCGCCGAGTTTTTTGCCATTCCGCCTCCTCCTCCGCTCCTTCTCCTCTCCACCGCACGCCCAACCGTGACTCGACGCGAAGCTGATGTCCCCTGCCCCACTGCTGGCAATGCAGCTGAATTCATACCAATGGATCATATATCCAAGTCTTCGAATCAAAGCATTGCGCTAGAATCTAGCGATCGGACCCGAGCACGCCGTTCTGGCCCATGGCTCAGCGCGCCTCCTGCCCCAACTTAGCTGAGTTTGCGAATATCATTTGCACCGCGATTTGTGTCCACAGACGGGTCTTATCGGGAGTTTATCGCTCAACGGACGAGGATCGGACTTGGAGACTTCAGTGCTCTCTGCAGGGGACTGAAGGGATTGGTGGGAATCGCCCCGATGCAGCAGTGATCATCCATCGGTCAAGCTTGTGTTTGGATCCGACGGTTTGAATTTACCAAGGCGTGATTGTTAGAGTGCGCTTATCACCGGTAGTAAGGTGTGACTAGAGAAAGAATTATATAGAAAAGGGTCCTTCGCCTTGTCGCAGCTTTCCTTGGAGCAGAAAGAATTTCAACAATCTTTTTCAACAATCAATTCGTCAACTACAACATGCCTGAATCACTGCATGATTCTCTCCCAGCTCTGGCTGTGGTAGGTCTGTCGCTGAAATTCCCGGAAGATGCCGTGTCCCCCGATGCATTCTGGAATATGATCATGGAGGGCAGATGCGCATCTAAGGAGTTCCCAGCAGACCGGTTGAACATCGAAGCCTTTTACAACCCTGACCCAAACCGCATGGATTCGGTGTCCAATCGCGGCGGGCATTTTATGACTGAGGATTCTAGTCTTTTTGATGCCCCCTTTTTCTCGATCACGGCTGCTGAAGCTGTCGCGATGGATCCGCAGCAGCGGTTGACCCTTGAAACGTCTTATCGCGCCGTAGAAAGCGCGGGTTTGACCATGGAGCAGCTGGCTCGCTCAAAAACCTGCGTCTTCACCGGGGCGTCCTCAAACGATTACCAGGTGATACAGACCCGGGATCGTTTGGACGCTTCCAAATTTTGCGCTACCGGAACAGGCGGGAATATGCTTTCGAATCGCGTGAGCTGGTTCTTCAACCTTCTTGGTCCCAGTGCCACCGTTGATACAGCATGCTCTAGTAGTCTGGTAGCCATTGATCTGGCATGCAAATCAATTTGGAGCGGCGATGCCACCATGGGAATTGCCATGGGCGTGAACTCAATCGTTAGTGTCGAGACTACTCTCAGTTTAAGTAATCTTGGTCTTCTATCGCCAGATAGTCGATGCTATAGCTTCGATGACCGTGGGAATGGATTCGCTCGCGGTGAAGGCATTGGTGCTATTGTTATTCGTCCTCTGGAGGACGCCGTCCGTAACGGTGATCCTATCCGAGCTGTTATACGATCCAGTGCATCAAATCAGGATGGGAAAACTCCAGGCATCACAATGCCGAGCATGGAAATGCAGGAACAGTTGATTCGCGACACCTACCGGAAGGGTCGTCTCGACATGAATTTAACCCGCTATTTTGAAGCACATGGAACAGGTAAACCCCTTGCCCTCTCTTGGTTGTCCGCATACTGACAGGAACCAACCTGAAGGAACGGCGGTGGGCGATCCAATTGAAAGCAAGGCCATCGGTTCAGTCTTTCGATCGGTTCGTTCTGCAGAGGAACCCCTATACATGTAAGCACTCAAGACCAAGCGATTTCTAACCAGCCCATCTAACATGGTATCAGAGGATCTGTCAAATCTAATATTGGTCATTTGGAAGGAGGCAGTGGAATAGCAGGTGTTATGAAAACCATCCTCGCTTTAGAAAAGGGCGTCATCCCCCCCAACAGCGAGAACTTTGAAAGGCTGAATCGCCGTATTGACGCCGAATTTCTGAATATCAAGGTATGGTGTCTGAAGATCTTTATTGTGCAATGCCTAACCTGAAATTAGGTCGCAAAGAAGCCCGTCCCATGGCCAACAGACGGTCTTCGAAGAGCTTCTGTTAGCTCATTCGGGTTTGGAGGAACGAATTCACACATTGTTTTTGACGACGCCCTGAATTACCTGAAGTCTCGTAACCTGCTAGGAAATCACAATACGGTTGAAAGCCCTGTCTTACATCAGAGTGAAAAGGATGGTAGTGTCAAAATTGCCACTATCAACGAGAATGTGCCGCCCAAACTTCTAGTCTGGTCCACCCGTGATGAAAAGGGCATTCAGCGTCTTCAGGAGACATGGAAGCCATTCTTATCCGAATTTCCATCTACAGAAAAGGCTGGCCTTTTGCATGACCTGGCATATACCTTGGGCAATCGACGAACCCACCATCCTTGGAAGACATTCGCCGTCGCTGGTTCAGCAGATGATTGGACCCTGCTGGCAGATAAATTCGCGCCTGCGCAAAAGTCCAGAGCGTCGCCAAATATGGCGATGGTATTTTCTGGGGTAAGAAAGCACCTTTGTGAAGTTCTTTCTTTTCTATGCTAATGGTGAGTGCTTATAGCAAGGAGCCCAGTGGTTTGCTATGGGCCGGGAGATGCTTCAATATACTCCATTGTTTCTCCGGAGTTTGAAAGCTGCATCACATTATCTCACCTCTATCGGCTGTGAATGGAACCTTCTTGGTATGTATTATCGCTAGAATTTGATGTAAATCTGGTTTTAACACACTTTATAGATGAGTTCCAAAAGTCACAGGCCGAATCCCGTGTGAATAAGCCAGAATTCAGCCAGACTATGTGCACTGCTCTTCAGGTTGGCTTGGTTGATTGCCTGCGTGCCTGGAATATCGTGCCCCATTCCGTGGTGGGTCATTCTTCTGGAGAGATCGCTGCTGCGTAAGTTATGATTACCATCGCTCAGAGCACACACTAATTTATCCAGGTATTCTGCAAACGCAATCACTCGAGAATCAGCTTGGAAAATAGCTTACCAACGAGGAAGGTTGAGCAGCAGATTGGAGAAGAGCAGTTCTAGGTCAGGCTCGATGTTGGCTGTTGCTCTTTCGGTAAAGGATGTAGCACCTTACTTAGATGCGGTGACACACGAACACAAGGACGGGTCTGTGAATGTTGCCTGCGTCAACAGCCCGACAAGTGTGACTGTTTCCGGGTATGAGGTTCTCATCGATGTACTCAAGGAGCAATTTGATGAGGCCAACATATTCGCTCGGAAGTTGAAGGTAGGAGTGGGCTATCACTCAGCTCAAATGCAAGAAATCGCAGACGAGTATGAAGAAGCCCTCGGTGTGTTGGAGAAGCCTTCGGCAATCCATAAACCTTCGCCACAGATGGTCTCTTCGGTGACTGGTGATTGGATAGACTCAAAGTCTCTTCGTGCTTCCCACTATTGGGTGCGAAATATGGTGTCGCCAGTATTGTTCTCCGACGCCTTGTCAAAAATCTGCTCTGGACCTTCGACCGACCCGACCAAGAAGCTGGATTACAGCCACCGAAGGCGGAAACCAATTCATCACTTGGTTGAGGTAGGCCCCCATGCGGTACTGCAAGGCGCCTGCAAAGATATTCTGAAGTCTTTGGGCAAAGAGCTTTCCTACTATTCTATCCTGGTACGTAATGTGTCAGCTGCTGAGACGGCGCTTTCTGCGGTCGGCAATCTCCATTGCGCTGGATATCCAGTTGATCTGTCTTCTGTCAACATGGATTCTCTCCGGCCTCCTCCACGGACTTTAGCAAATCTTCCCGAGTATTCTTTTGACCACTCCAAATCTTACTGGCGCGAGAGTCTAGAGAGTAAGGGACTCCGACATCCTCGCTTCGGTCGGAACGATCTGCTGGGCACTCCCAACCCACTTTGGAACCCTTTAGAGGCCCATTGGCGACACAGGATCAAAATCTCCGAAATTCCCTGGGTTGCCGATCATAAGGTAAGCTTTCTTTTCCTCCCCGCGCCTGGTCTACAAGCATACTCACGCTGAGCCTGCAGGTTAACGGATCTATTGTTTACCCTGGTATGGGCATGTTGGTGATGGCTATCGAAGCCGCAAAGCAATTGGCAGAACCCGGTAAAGCTATAAGCGGCTTCAATATCAGAGATACAAGTTTTAGTGCTGCGGTGCGCATTCCGTCTAATACGGGCTCTGTTGAGACAGGGTTTTTCATGCGTCCTGTTCAGGATGCTGCTTCCAAAAGCCCAAGTTGGTTTAACTTCCGGCTGTGCAGTTATGACGGGGACAACTGGATCGAATGCTGTGCTGGATCTATTCAGATCGTGTATAGCCCGACTGATTCGTCACCCTCTCAGGAGGACGAAAGGATCTCTAAAGAGCTTCTCGCTGCCCAAGTTAAAGCTTACTCGGATTTGGAGCGCAAAACCACCCCACCAATGGACAATGCTGCTATATATGACTTCACATCCCGGTGTGGACTTGCCTATGGTGAAGCCTTCCAAATGATCAGCAACCTGTCGTTTCACCGGGACGATGATTATAAGGTGGTTGGTCAGGTCCGTCGTGGTGAAAAAGGAAACGAGACCCTCCATCCCACAACGCTTGACGGCATTGTTCAGACAGCACTCTGGACACTGTCGAAGTCTGGAACGCAGGTGTTCCCAACAGTCGTTCCCAGAAGACTGGAAAAGATGTGGATCTCGCATGAAAAGCTCGCTCAAGGCGCCCAATCAGAACTTCTTCGAACATATTGCACCCGCACTGATGACCCTCATCACGGAATTATCGGTCATGTTCGTGCATTTGGTGACACGCTACAGGATGTCTTTGTTGATGTCACCGGTCTTCAAATGAATGTGGTCAGCGACACCACCACAGAGGATGTTGAGGAAGACATCTCCCAAGCCCAAAGATGTCACCAGCTAGAATGGAAGCCGGACCCACAATTGCTCACCAACCAGCAGGTGCTTAAGCTCTGCAATGACTCAATGCCGGACAACTACGAATTAGGGGACTTCTTCACAGAGACCGCATTTGTTATTTTCGCGCGAGTGTTAAAGACTCTATCAGAACTGCGCAAGCAAGAATACAACCCCCCTCAGCCACATTTGAGGAAATACCTTGAATGGATGATTGAGCAAGAGAGACGGCTTCATGATTCCGAAGTCGTGTTCGCGCATGAGCCGTGGACAAGTCGATTTAACGACCCCGCCTTTATTCAACACGCTGAAGAACGCATTTCGAAGGTCAATGCCCGAGGATACGTCGCAGCTAATGTGTCGCGTCATCTCCCGCAGCTTCTCAATGGAGAGCTAGACCCGTTGACCTTCTTGTTTGGAGGGACGCAGCTAAAGGACTTTTATTTTGAATCTGTATGTTGTGGGCTTTTGGGAAACTGGGTTTTGCTGACTTGTGCTTTACCAGCTTTACGACACCGTCGGCGTCCATCGATTTGGTGCCTACCTGGACATTCTCTCTAATCATAACAATGCTCTGCGGGTTATTGAAGTCGGCGCAGGCACTGGATCCATCACGGACATTCTCATGCGATCCCTTGGTCGCACTGACGATGAGTCTAGTGAGCGACGATATTCCCAATGGGATTTCACCGATATCTCGCGGTCGTTCTTTGGTGAAGCACAGGACCTCTTCAAGGCTGAGGGGGATCGCGTTAAGTTCAACGCACTTGATATTGAGAAGGACCCAGCCGAGCAAGGATTTGAGTGCGGAACGTACGATGTAGTTGTCGCCTCTTTGGTATGAAAAGACACATTCTTTTCTTCTTATGACAATCGCTGAGAAAACTGACCATTATTCAGGTGCTCCATGCAACTCATGATTTGAAGAAGACCTTGACTAATTCTCGCAAACTGCTGAAACCGTATGTTTATCGTTCTTCTCGCAGATCACTTCAGCTCAGGAAGTACTAATATGTCCTCTGTAGAGGCGGAAAGCTTGTCCTGAATGAGCTTGTGGCTCCTGACATTCTTCGAACTTCGTTTATCTTTGGATTGCTGGAAGGATGGTGGCTCAGTAAGCGTCTTGTACGTTGGCGTGTAGGTCAGGCTTTTTGCTAATGCCGTCAGGCTCCGAATCATACCGCAAGTTTGGTCCTTGTGTGGAGACTAGTCAATGGAACGATCTACTCCAGCAGACCGGCTTTTCAGGGGTAGACTTATCTCTGCAAGATTACGATGACCCGCGCTGCTGGGAGTGCAGCATACTGGCTGCAACTGCTGTCGAGGAAAATCAGGACGAGACGTGCGAATCTGAGTTCGAAATCTATTACAGCAAACACTCGTTGAGACAGACCGAGACCGCGAAGATGTTGGAATCGCACTACCAGCCGCTCACTGAGAAACCAGTCAGCTGTTTGCCTATTGAGGACGTTCCTGAGGAGGTCTCGAGCGCTCCTACCTTGCGAATTTTCTTGCTTGATCTGGAAAGACCGACGCTTCATGAAATGGAGCCTCAGCTATTTTTCACCTTGCAACACTTATTCTGCTCAGCCATTGATCTACTGTGGATTAACTCTGGTGGGGGTTTTTCGAGCTCGAATCCTCATTATAGGGTAGCAGATGGGCTGTTCCGGGCAGTTACTGCAGAGGACGATCGCAAGAAATGCTATATGTTATCACTAGACCCGCGAAGTGGTGGTTCACAGCACCTGGTCTACCAAACGACAAAGGTGATCAATTCGCTACTCCGGGCGACGACCATCAAGCAGATCATTGATACCGAGTACGTTGAGGATCAAGGCATCCTGCATATTCCCCGCTTGGTGGCTTCCCCTTCTGTGAATAAAGACATCTCTTCCCGAACTGCGGGATGGCACACCAAGGTACAGAGCTTTAAATGTGGCGTTCCTCTTCAACTTGACAGCGCCAATTCAAACCTCCTTCGTGGATTCAAGTTCATAGAAGATGAGCTTGCACATCAACCTTTGGCAGCTGATGAGATGGAAGTCCAAGTAAAATGCTCTGGTGTCAACTTCCGTGACGTTCTTATTGCGGTGGGTCAGCTGAATTCGCCTCATACTGGATTCGAATGCTCAGGTGTCGTTACTCGCACCGGAGAGGCATGCAAGCGTTTCCGTGTTGGGGATTCCGTCGCTCTGCTGAATCAAGGTTGCTTTTCGAGTTTCATTCGCGTCCGGGAAACCGGGGCCGTGGTGAAGATCGGGCGAAATGTTTCTTTCAGTGACGCTGCAGCAGTACCAGTCAACTTTGCTACTGCGTTCATTGCGATCCATGATGTGGCTCGCATGCGTGCCAAGGAATCAATCCTAATCCATGCCGCTGCAGGTGGCACTGGGCAAGCAGCGATCCAAATCGCACAGAACCTTGGAGCCGAAGTGTTCGCAACGGTGGGATCTCAGCACAAGAAGGAATTCCTTATGGAGTTTTACAATATTCCAGAGTCCCACATCTTCTCCAGTCGCTCCACGCTATTTACCCCCGCTATCAAAGAGCGCACTCATGGCTGTGGTGTCGATGTGATATTTAATTCCTTGGCTGGTGAAAGCCTGAAGGAGTCATGGGAATGCATCGCTCCATACGGTCGCTTCCTGGAGATTGGAATTAAAGATATCTTGGCAAACGATCGTCTCCCCATGGCCAAATTCCTGCATAACGTGTCGTTCAGTGCTATTAATCTAGCGTCGATGATGAATGATCGACCAGATGTTTGTGCGAATGCCCTAGAGGATGTCTTCCGGATGATTTCAGAAGGGAAGCTCCAACCCGCACGAGATGTGCAGCTTTACGGGATTGGGGACATGGAGTCGGCCTTCCGTACGATGCAGGGTGGAAAGCATATCGGCAAAATTGTTATTGAGATGAGGAAGGATGATCAGGTCACAGTAAGCGTCGCCGCATGTTTCTTTTCACTTTTTCGACGAAGACAAAATAAACTAACCACTTTCCAGACTGTGTTGGAGACGCATCCTAGTACGTCCTTGGATGCAAATGGCACTTACATCATCTCTGGTGGACTTGGAGGTCTCGGACGTACAATTGCCACCTGGCTAGTTGACCGGGGTGCGCGCAATTTGCTACTTCTCTCGCGCTCCGGGGCTCGCAGCCCTAAGGCCGCCGAACTATTGCAAGAGCTTTCCGCCAAGGGCGCAAGTGTCATGATCCCACGGTGCGATGTATCAGACTCGGATTCTGTGGCAAGAGCCCTCTCCGAGTGTCGAGAACGCATGCCCCCGTTCAAGGGATGTATTCAAGCGGCGATGGTATTGCGGGATTCTAGTTTCGAATCGATGAGCCATCAATCTTGGCAGGAGGTAGTATTTCCTAAAGTCCAGGGCACTTGGAATCTTCACCAGCAACTTCCTTCCGGCATGGAATTCTTCGTCATGTTATCATCGGTTGCTGGTGTTATCGGAGGCAGAGGCCAAGCCAACTATGCTGCTGGCAATACTTTCCAGGATGCGCTGGCGCGCCACCGCGTCGCGCTCGGAGAGAAGGCCACATCCCTCGATTTGGGAGTTATTGGTTTTACTGGTGCCGTCGTTGAGGATGCGAAACTCGCCGAAAAGTTCATGAACCATTCGCCCTTCATCCTCATTACGGAACCAGAGATGCACGCGCTGCTGGATATGTACTGTGACCCACGCGCGGATCCCTACACAACGACCACCTGCCAGAATATCGTCCGACTCGCCCCCAGGTTAGATAATATCACCGCAGAAATACAGAGTGCGATTGAAAGGCCGCTCTTCCGCCGGCTGCGCCCATATAAAGGACCAGGCAGTAACAACGGTTCTGCTGCGGAAAGTGCCAATGTCGCTGCCATGCTAGGCGAGGCACAATCACTCGCTGAAGCCAGCGCTGCGGTGACTCAGGCGTTGACGGCCAAGCTTTCGAAGGCTCTCTCAATTGCCATGCCCGACCTGGACGCAAATAAACCGCTTCATCAGTATGGTGTGGACTCTTTAGTGGCCGTGGAACTGCGAAGCTGGTTCACTAAAGAGATACAGGCGGATATCGCTGTTTTTGATATTCTTGGAAGCTCGACGATCTCGTCGATTGGGCACTTGGCAACTAGTAAAAGTAAACTGAAAGGTGAGAAGTGGTGAAATTGTTAACGAATCTATACTGTACATAAAGGTTCACAATAGATATTTGGGAATATATCAAGTTGAACGGACTCTTCGTTTCAGTAAAGCGGGAAAAAAAACAGGCAATTGCGCTCCTACACTAATTCTATTTGATCAGCGGTGTCATCTGCAGCCGGGCCAGCACCTTCGCCCGCACCGGCGACCCGACCCGCGGGCCACCAGGTGTCGCTCGCAGCAATGGTCCACCTGGGGGACATGGGTCCCGGGTCACATTTCGAATTTTTGTTACGACGCAGCTAACATTGCATGAATCCGCCCTTGCTCCAGCATCCGCAAGTGTATCGATCAAATCTGCGGTGACACTTTATCATAATCCGACGATGTACTTCAATACTATGCTTTCTTGAACTGACATCGCTGCCATTGATGATGAACGGCGAGGGAGCTCTCCATTCTGGATGGAAATTGATGGACGATAACTAGAGACAGTTAGGACTGATTAGACCACTTCGTACGCATTGGACTCAAAGGGGAGAAGGGCACTAACCTTTTTTTCGTCGTTTGTAGCCCTGACAGGAGGAGAGTTACCGGTTGAGCTGAGCTTTCTCCGGGGACCTCAGGTGCCTAAAACCCTGATCGAGACCTAACGTGAGGCCATGATGAGGAGATCCACAGTAAAAGCAACGGTTGTCCTTTCAAAATAGTCAATATTCCAAGTCCACAAACTCAAAGCGCTGAACTCACGTCGTTGGGTTGGAACCATGTCATCGTGGAGATCGGACAGCAGATAACGTCGACAGAAACGAGACAGACGTGACAACAACGACGTAGGAACAGACGTAGGCCGAGGTTTCTATTTAACTGTTCTCATAACCGAATAGCTACGATGAGGATGATGGAGATGAATTTCATGCAATGTCAAAGCTCCGCCATCGTAGTAGTATCTCGATTCAGATTCAATCATTCGTTGAAAGGGGAACCTAGGAGGAAGAACGATGGGATAGGAAGCTGAGTAGGTTGAAGAACCCTGTAACTGCCTACATACAAGGGGTTGAGTGAATTCCCGTTGCATATTAACTACGAACCTATCAAAGCTCCTTTCACTATCAGGGCATACAACACGGGTAAAGCCTTTTTTCTTTCTCAAATTCAATTTAAGGCAGATGGTAATGGTGTTGGCCATTTTTATCACCATGGATAGGGCCTTCTTTTCCTTGGAGAGTTAGCCAAGTGGATGGAATGAATTCATAGATTTCTTTTGCCAACCATTACCTACAAGCTTTCTATGCCGACCTATGCGGTAGTTCAGCCTGTAAATCTGAAAATATCAGTGTTGATCGCCAGGATCTTCGGCGGTGCAAGTATTTGTGAATGAGCCAGTGCATGAAACTATTCAAAAATTGAATCTTGCTATAAGAGTTACTTTTCATGCTCTTTGATATGGCCACCACAGAATACTGCCCAGCTAAACGAGCAGCCTGAAGACAGGAAAATGATAGAAGAGATCAAAAAGATAACCCGAAACAACATCACGTCCGAGCCAGCCAACGTCCACAGAGTCCAGCTGTTGGAACGATGTTGTCAACCAGACCAGAGAGGTGGAGTATCCTGACCTAATCCACAAACCGCACAGCACCTTGCTTGGCCTAGACTTGGCCTACCATTCCAAATGGCATACCAAGGGATCAGGAATGCATAGGTGTAAACAAGTGGAACTATAAATAGCTAGGCAGACTGTAGTTTAGAAATGGCACTTCACTTTTACCCTCCGAGCATATACCTACATTCCGTTGAATCGATAGGATATCTGCTTAGGGCAATGACCAAGTCAACCTACACCAGCTTTTGCAGTGATTATCAAAAACCGACAGCCCAGGCAAATAAGAAGCAGCTCAGTACTAGCCAGCCCGCGAACCCTGACAGGAAAAGAAACCCAGTTGATACAAACCCGAACAGCCAGCCGCAGACATGATACAGATCTGGAAGAGTATAGGACCCCCCGGGGTCCTACTACGGAACTGAATAACTCCTAATGCTGGCAATACAACATAACTGCCGCAAGACATACGCAGTCACAATTGCGGCACTAGAAGCAGGGCTAGAGCTAGGGGTGAGCCTGGCATGCTTACAGGAGCCCTATGTCGATACAGACTTTCGACATGGGGCATCTCAAATATACTGGCCAGAGGCTGGGGAACGCAAGAAGCAGAGACTGGCAATTGCTGTCCGCCGGAATCTTCTTAATAAGCTGGTGATAGAGGCCCGCACGGACCTAATAAACTGTCCTTATCTGATAGCCCTAGATATCTGGTAGCTAGATAGGGTCAAAAAGACCCGAAGAACCCGGATAGTCAACTGCTATAATAACTAGATTGGCAAGAACTACTGCTGGCAAGGGATCAGCGAGCGACGAAGAAGAGCGATAGAGGATCTTAACAGAAACCGAGTTCTAGAAGGAAGATGCCTATTTCGGGGGGATTTTAATGCGCATAGTCTGTGATAACCTCAGGAATGCAGAAATGATCTTTATTGTAGGCTAGTTACGAGGCACTAGGTTGAGGAAAGAAGAAGATGTGGGCCGTCTCTCTAGGCGTAATTGCTAGTAATGTACCCTTAGGAATATCGAATGATGAAGGTCTGATTCTTTCAATCTAGCTGCAAACGGTGGTTTAAATACATGAAGAATGATAAGCAATCTAACCTAAAAAGGCAGCTGGAAGAGACATAACTTTTGAACCGTGGAAATATCAGAAAAATCTGCATAATCCTCGAGGATCGGTAGTTACCAATACCGATGTCCGGAATAGGAAGGTCTCCTATGTGACTAGCGGTCACATACGGTTGACAGAAGAAAACACCGATTTACTGCATGAAGCAGTAAACAAACCCACTGTATAGGAAAAATGAATCAAACGGTGCAAACTATGCAAACAACCTGAGTAGAGCAACGCTCTACACTCAGGTCGTCACAGATACTTCCAGATGAAGGTAGGACATGCAGCTATCGGATCATATCTACACCGCATAATATCTCGAGAAAGAGGGACCTGCCAAAACCGCCAAGCTCCTAGGGGGACAGTCTCTCATATACTAGTCAGCTGCAGGCAATGGCGACGGCAACGAGAGGTGATATACACAGCTCTAGATAGAGCGGGAATAGCAAGGCCTTCCGTATAAGAAACCCACCCGGAAAGCAGGCTCTTTGGGGAGCCTAAAGCTACTAAAGCCCTACTGGACTCTATAGCTAATACAGACGTGACTCTTTCTGGAGAACAACATCAGAAGGACCAACACAGAGCAGAGAGAGACAATGAAAAGGGCCTAGAAGCTCTAGAGGCTGAACGGACCGGAGAAGGCTATCAGGAAGGGTGGCCTGGGCACACCTAGGCGTCACCCACCCTGCTAGAATCCCAAGGAGAGCAAACAAGCTCAAAAGCCCTGCGCAAAAAGGCGGTATGGGGCGAGGAAAAGGAACAGAATGTATACAAACGAGAGAATAGCCCTAGGAACTAATAGGGGCCTAAGGCCTAGCCTCAGGCCGACGACACACGGTCTGTCATAGCCCTAGGGGCTCGGTATGGACAATAAACTTGATTAAATAATAATAATGTAACTACTACGGAGTCTGTTTTGTAGTGCTGTCGGGATGAACCCCAACAAGGACCTGGTTCAGTTGATACAATCATTACAATCAATGACCCTCATTTGAGGGCGCAGAAAGAGACAGACCAAAAAAATAAAAGCAAAAACATACAACAGCAGGGATTCGCTGGTGGTCACCCACCCAACTACTAACCTGCCGGCGTGTGGCTTAAGTACGGCTGAGCGGACGGGAAGCCCTGTTCTCCACACCCTGTGGTCGTATGTATTTACTTTCACTTAGCTATGAGCTATATAGAAATTCCTTACCTGAGCTTGGGTCTCCTTCGGAGTAGTGTCATTTGCAATGCTCAATGGTGGCGGATACGGTTTCGGGCTGTCCATCGCTATCTTTCCTTACCGACTAGGGTATTTGAAACTCTTTTATTTTTGTTCAAATTCTATAATGGTCGTCTTGAAGTATATCCGCATGAATTATATTTACCCGTCCCGGCAGTAGCTATTAGGTACAAGCAACAATAACAACCGACATTCTTAAACGCATATCGCTGGCGGGAAAAAGAAATTAACATACAACTCAAGGCAGGAAGGTTCTGTTGGGTTATAAAAAGTAAGTAAATGTTCAGTTACGATGACTGAATCGACACTGGGGATCATGGATTGGGTCTTAATCGCACTACCGTAATCTGGTGCAAAATTATTGAAGTCTTCAGCCATCGAAACATATCAACATCCATATTGACCCATGTCTTTGACCTCAGTTAACACATTTCTATATAACATACGGGATCGAGACCACCAAAGCTCAAATGGAGAAATCAGATGACCCCAGAATATATACCTGCGTATTGACCCACAAGCGCCTGGATTGAGATCAACTATCATCACTAGTTCTCCCAGGCAACTCAGTTCCACTCAGAGCTCAAATGCCACAAATGGAACGATCTCGACTTCATCAATCAATCCATTCGTTACCATTCCAGGTAGGCCCAAGGCATTGAAACTTTCCGAGAATGACTGGTTAAACAACTTGATCTCGTCGAGGAAGCTCCGAAGATAATTCCACATCGTACTCGGCACCTTGATCAAGACTTCATTTTTCCCGACTTTTTAGGTGCCGCGATGTCGAGTGGTTCAATCATCTCCCCATTGACGTAGACTTGAGCCGCATATTGAATCCGGGGGAGGCGGATGTACGCCCCGCTCGCGGATTGATTCGAGGATGAGGTTCGAGGTGGCCAGTGGAAGCTGATGCTGTAGTATCCCACGCCTCAGACGTTGGCAATAGTCGGGATCTCCGTCCACGAGACAATGGAGGTGAGGCTGTGGGTCGTATTGCGCTTGGAAGCAACCGGCGAAGCATCGTACAAATCCCTGGGTGCTTCCCAATGTTCAAGCACGAGAGTCCAGTTGTTTAATGGAAACGCTGAGGGTGGCTGGCGGATCGAAGATGTTTGGTACACTCTTCCGTCGGACAGGGTTAGGGGGACATCCCATGTCCCGGATACTATGTGAGCCGCTGATTTCTCACCCGAGCCGTAGCCCAACACTGTCGAGGGAGCTTTAGTGAGATGCAGATTGGGCACCTGTTGAAGGTCGTTTCCGAAGGCGAGGGTGATGGTCTGGTTTGCTTGGAGACGGAGGTGGATAGTTGTGCGGTTTCCAGACTTCTGGTACAGGTGTAAAGGCTCATGTTTGCCAGTCCAGGCATCAAGCAAATATGGGGTTTCAGTGGTCGCAATATCAACTGTTCCACTTGTGAACCTAGTCCCGTCATTTTATATAAAGCAGTATGATAAACTGTTGGTCTCATCATAAAGCCAGGTCGGGTACCAGGTCCCATTTGTCCTGACTTGAACGTCTGGGAGTAGCCCCAGAGAAATCAGCCTTTCAGCCGCGCCACCGGGTGGAACACTATAAACGTTTTCAATCGCCTTCAAAGCATCCAGGGCATCTTTTGCTTGTTCGACAGTTCCGTCAGTATACGAAGTATAATACGCTGGATCTCCCCTCAGAATGTCTGGTAGACCATGGCGAGCGTATCCTTGCACCTTGAGGATTCCATCAACTGAGATATTCGAAACTTGAGAGATAAGAAGAGTTTTATAAGAAGGATCTTCTGGTGCCAGGATGCCGTTCACCACCTTCGCTTGCGGGAGAGCGAAGTTATCTGGAGACAGATAGTTGTAGGTGTAGCCTATCTATAGAGTTAACAATAATTTTGAATTATTTGCACTGAAAGATGAACATACCATGCTGTATTAGGTCGTCATTAGAATAAAGAAGGGGAAAGTCGGGATCCGAATGCGAGAGTTTATTGTAAACGGCAATGTCAGCGTGAAGCTTGCCCGTTTGTTGCGTATATTGTAAACGAGCGATATAGTCCAGGGCGTTTGAAAATCCATGATCCTAAGCAGGTTGCTTTTCAGAGTATTGCTCTGAGAAAGAATACCCGAAATATGTATACCCTGGCCAAGTGGTGCCGGAATAATTGCCTCTGTATGATTGACCGTGTAAGACAAACTGGTTGACACCAGTTACTTCCTCGCGGTGAATTGACCATAGAAGTTCCGATATTGTATACTGATAGGCTCCCCTGAATACGCCACCCATCTCATTCGAGATGACCCTCTTCCCGGACAGAACCGCTGGCCCGAAAAATTGACGGTATGCATCAATCTGATCTGAAAATCCGAGGCTCTCACACTCTGGCGCATTGACAAAGGGAACGGCTGATTTCATATCGACTGGAGGATTATAGCCGACCTGACTAGACATTTGAAGGTTGAGCTTATTAGCCCATGATGTAAGCGTCTGTAAATATTCGCGGTAGCCGATGATGAGGCTTTGCCTCTCTTGAAGGATTCCTACATTGGCTACACACATAATGTTGGCCCAGGAGACTTGCGAATTCTCGCTGCCTCCTATCACTTGGGACAGCTGTATCGAGCCAAGGGCAATTCTCAACGCTCATTATCACTGCTAGACAATATTCTGCGTTTCTCGTATAGAATATTAGGGCCCTATCACACGCCCCAAATCCACCCGGGGTCAGAACTGGCGGAGGTATACAAGTCCACGGGCCAGCTTGAAGGTGCGCGAAAATTACTTATGGCTGAGCACGAGCGCTACGCCACATGGCGTCAAAAAAACAACCACAAATCCATAATCCTTGCTCGTGCTCTTGGAAATGCGGAAAGAAATCTAGGGGACTTTGAGCAAGCCGAGGTTTACTTGCGAGAGGCCATCAAGCCGCTACAATTTCTGGCTTGCTACACGGCCTATCTCGGCGGCCTACAATCGGATCTTGGTGACTTTCTTTTAGAGCGTGGGCACCCGAAAGCCGCCGAAAGTCAATTTCTCAACGCATTGAACAGCTTCCAGATGATCCAATATGCCAACGATGCCGCCATTCAGGGAGTCAAACTCGCTGAAGTCGGCCTAGAGTTGCGCCGCAAAGAATGTTACGAGACCGACATCCATGAACACATTAGCCATGCATGAAACTTCTTCGAAAATTATCCTTGTAGCCCATGGTTCTACGCTACGGAATTGTGCCTTGCGCGACCATGGCTAGAAGAGGGTCAAGCGGATGATGCAGTTCAAAAGCTATTGTGGATCGCAGATAGTGCACCTCAGGTCGGGATCGGCTCCATATGTCGACATGGAGCTCTTTTCACGCTGGGAAAGCACTATGTGTCCTCCGATCCGTCATCGGCCCAGGAACATTTAAAATGTGCGTTTGATGGGTATAGGAACATACTGGCCGCAAATCATCCGTTTATGATGAAGACTAGTCGGCTATTGTATCGTTGTTATCAACATCAGCCTGAATGCGGATTGGCCGAACGGTTCAAACAAACTGTGAAGGAGCTACTGGACGAGATCGTCCAGAAGAAATCTGTGGAAACTATACTTTCTACGTTGTTTACGGATGACGATAACGACCCTCCAGAAGAGAACGAAATTCAACCGGTGGAAACTGACGATCAAGGCCTTGAGGATCATGACGGTACGGTGGATAAGACATATGACTAGTTGAGTATTCTCGACTACTGTTGGGGGGCAGGGTGATGTTTCTCCCCTTTGGCTGAGTGTACTTGTCTCGAGATCCAACTACTATACCTGACTCTGTAGCAAAGTATGTGGATCGGAAAGAAGTGGGTTTCCCGATTATTCAGGCCAATCATAACCACCACGCATGATGCCACCGCCAAGAAAATTGCAGAACTTTTTATCGCCCGAAGTGCTGGATGAGAACCCCACCATTCCATAGATATTCTACCAAAGACACAAAAAGATAAGCAAACGAAGAAATGTGTCAAGAGTGTGTTCCAGGTCTTGCAGTTGATGGTTATGACTGCGACTCGGATTTGGATTTCCATTCCGATGACGAGTGCGCCTGTCCCCACGACCATAAGGGGCATAATCATGAACATCACCATGAACACGAACACGAATATGAACAAACTCCTATAACCAAAAAAGAAGAGACTGGTCCTTTTCAAGAAGTGACATTTCCCTCCGACCCCTTCTTCACGCGTCTGATCAATGCCGCCCACCAAAACAAAGATGGAATCATCATCAACGACAGTGCACATGGCCTACAACTCACCTACACCCAGTTCCTGCACGATGTGCAGGTGCTGCGGCTGAAAATTCAAAATGCTATTCCCTCCAGCCAGCTTGATGCAACTGGTTCGTTCAAAGAGGGTGCTGGCTACGTCGCTGTACTAGCCGAGATCCAGTACCCATTTTTTGTGGCGAGCTTGGCGATTCTCTCAATGGGAGGTGTTATTGTCCCAATGGGTGAGTTTTCTTTTCCATTCCTTTATGTTCTATACTAATTATATCAAAAGGACATGCCCCCGAAGCAGAGCAAGTGCTCGCTATTGTAGAAGAATCCAAAGCGGTGGCTTTAGTCTTTGATCCTACCCAAGCGGACGTGTCATCAGCCATATCGAAAGAGAATGAATCTCTAATCCAACTCCCCATCGAGATCAACCAGGCTCAGAAGGATTCCGAGGAACATACGCAGTTCCGCTTTATTACGGCTTCCGCAGGCGGTCTGGCCTTTTCCGCTGATCGTCCAGCTCTTCTTCTTTACGGTGGTGATGGGGAACCTAACACGTTGACACGCCAGAGCTTCTACGACCAGGCTACTGGTGGTTCGAATTCAGCAACGGCGGAAAGGTCGGATGTAATGATGCTGTGTATTCTTATTTGTTTGTCTTCTGGGCCGGCGCCATGAGTATGGATTTAAACTTGCGCGCTCCTCCCTAAAGAAATATAAACATATAGAATATTGACACCGCAAGGGATTTGTTCGCGAATGATACTATCAGTGAGCTACCCTACTCCGTAGAAACCCACAGTAGCTGCAACGTGTACGCGTTTGGATGTCTGAGGCAAGATGCCAAGCATTCCGCCGTTTGCCTAAGGCACCTTCAAGATCGATAACACCCTCGAGTCTTCCTACATCAATCCAACATTTCAGTATTTATAAGAGCATCCCTCCATTCATTTTCATTATATCTGCCCACTTCGGTGTACTCGGTCCCTGCGGAACGTCCACACAACAAGTATTGAATGGAATGCAGTATTTGGCAGGAAACCTTCAAAATGATATATATTTTCGAAATGACATCCAACCTATATACAAATAATAATACTCTCTCCAGCTTTTCTTGTATTGTTGTTCAATGAAATGCAAGCTTTGTCGTTTCCGAATAAGAAGTAGAGTCTGGTCCCTTTTTCTTGACATTTTCGAATGATGTAGTGCTGGATTGTAGGCTGGAGTAGCGAGAATTCTACGGGAACGTGAGATTTTGGACCTGCCTCTCCCCTTCTCAACTTGGTGAGTGAGCCCTACTAAACTACTAGTGGATCTTGGCATTGCGAAAAAAGTTCTCATGAAATTTGACATTCCATTTGACAAGACTTACTTGTCTCATCGCCGACCTTCCGTTGCAACTTCTGGTCTGCTACTCCGTACACCTCAGTGAGAAAGCTCAACAACCTAAGGGTACTCTCACTGCTAACCGTTTGGGTTCCAGTATAAAACACTCCGTACACAAGCATGCAAGGGTGAATTGAAAGAGTCTACAACCCTTAACGAAACAATACATGTACCAGAAGATGGGTGAGTACTGAGCACGCGGCTGTTCAGCTAGGGCAGTGTCCATCACGTGGTCCCACGACACATGTACTGTACATATCACAGATTCTTTGCGCAAAGATCTTAGCCTTCATTATTAGTCTTTCGCATCGCTGAATGAATATGCCTAGTGTAAGAACTCATCTTGGCAATGGTCGTGTCAAGGAGATACTGGTCATTCAGGTGTTCAGACAAAAATTGAGAAAAGAATGGTAGTATTCATCGCCCTGCTACTAAAAGACCAAAGTCTTTGGACGAAAGAAACAGTTTTGTTGCACTATGAACAGAATGGTCTTCACAAAGAAAATGAATGAAATCCTATCATAGAACTCGAAAACGGGACACACACAACTTTCAATGAATCATAGCCTCAGCCGTCTGCAAGCCGGCATCAACCAGATTACTGACCGCCATGACGCCAATAGGGATCTGTCGAGTTGCCGGGTCCATGTCATTGACAGCCACAGCATACGACACCCGGGAGATGTACGAAGTCAGATTCGACACCTCACCCACAATCGCAGCAGATCGTTCCGCCCCCTCCGGCTTTTCACTCAACTCGTAGAAGTGCCATCCAGTGACGAACAGCGCAGGAATAATCAAGACCGAGTTGACAATCGCGCCTGTTGCGCGCCCATCGTCGACTGCCAGCCCAGAGAACTTGCTGCTGGATGCCCCAAGTTTGCTCTGCACGGGACCACTGAAAACAATCTTGCTGACGACAACAGCCGCAGTTGTAACGTCGGAGATGACGCCCACGGCAGTGTTTTCAACCGGAGATTTTGGAACCAGGGCATTGCCGCCTCCTTCGAACGCAGCGACGATAACTCCCAGCACCGCGGACGGAATCGAGAACGGGTTCTCGCCAGATATGACTTCCGCTTCTAGAGAGCCCACAATGTCGCCGACGAAAAGCATGAAACCAGCTGTGGCGTGGGAGGCAATGAAGAGTGCGCTTTGCACGGCCTCGGGGAGAGTGATCAAGGCGGAGGCAGGCGCGCGACCAACTACACTGTTGACCTTCTTGACAGACTTTGGGTGGAATAGAGCTGCCAAGTCATCCCAGGTTGAAGCCGAGATCATGGCGTTAACTTCGCTGGTGTCAGGAAAGGGTGCTTCGTCGTTTGCAATCTTGTAAACCACGGTGTATCCAACGGCGGCGATCCAAGTGAATAAGTCAAGGAAACTGATGTCAGGCACACCAATTGCATTGAGGATGTCGGAGATGATCGGGATATGCATCTTCGTATTCAAAAGATCGATCGCTGATTCTGCGACGCGTTGGAGGACATCCAACAAGGAATCGACAACCACTTGAGCACTGGACAGAACGCCGTCGGCTAATATCACGGCAAGCTTCTTGAGAACTTCACCCACGCTCAGGCTGCCGAAGTTGCTCGCAAGGTCTCGAAGTTGATTATACACCTGTCCGAGAACGGCACCCTCGTTGGAGAGTCCAGTCAAGAGCTGGTCCACGAGGTTCTGGGTAGCATCTGCAGAAGGGAGATCCCCCAGGATACTGACATGATGGACCTGGTTATGGAAGTGGTCCGCAAGCAATCGTGAGCCCGAGGTTTGCCCCTTAGCTGGGTTGGAAGTACTATCCGATGCCGGCTGGCTAGCAGCAGAGCCGATCGGGGTCCAGTCATTGATACCTGCCCACTTATTCAATGTCTCCTCGGCCTCTTTCACGTAGGTATCGAACGCGGCTTTAGCCCGGGGGATCTGATCAATCTGATTCTGCACGTACAGTTTGACCACGTTATGGAGGACATTCTTGGTTCTTTTAATGTCGTTCCAGCTGAACAGGAACTCAATAAAACGAATGATATCCTCAATGGCCGTTTTGATGGCATTGAAAACCCACTCGACGGCCCCGACAATGGCGTCCACGGTGTCCAAGACTGCACGGTATACCTTTCCGGCGATAGTGGCGATGAAGTGCCACGCGTCACTAACAGCATCGTAAATAATATCAATCACATGCTCTATTCCTGATTTCAGCCAGTTAAAGAGATCACCGGCGGCAATGGCGATATCGTCCAGGATCCCGGTCACGTTTCGAGAGGCGAGGAACCGTGTCGAGGGAACGACCCGTTGAGCCGGGGTTGTCGAGGAAACGGGCCGGAGGACTGAGCGTCTTTGTCTGTTCAGATGTCTGGATAGTAATGCGTTCTTTGACGGGGCCTTGGTATAGAGGGTTTGGAGGTTGGTCATGTGGGAAGCGATTGTTTTGACATCGTCATCATCAGTTGAGGGGGCCACAAGGGGTGTGGATGAGGTTTCGTCAAGAACACCCCCGGCCGTAGTTTTGGTCGGGAAGCTTGCAGCGCGAATTGAATCCTCGGAATTGAGGTCAGTGAGCTTCTGAAACGATTTATCCATCGGGTTGACCACAGTGCCCACGGATCCACCATCAATTGTGGCGGTGATGGTTACCGCGTTGAGATCTTGGGTTGCCTGGATCACAGACAATGACCCGCCGGCATCTGTGGTCACCTTCACCGGATTGGGTCCCAGCACGTAGTAGAGCCCATTTATATAAACAGGTGTTCGAACCTCGGCGGCAATGCTCAGTGTGGTTTTGCCGGGTGACGCATCTTTCTTTGTGTCCGTCACCTGTATATTCGTGGTATAGGAGGTGAAAGACAGCGGCTCTGATTCTACCGGGGCAGCCAGCTTGATATCCTGTGCTTGCCACACTTTTGCACCGGTGATGGTAGCTTGAGTTAGTACGAAGAACCGTCCACCCCCTGAGGCGAAGATGGTGTTCCCCCCATCGATGCCATTGACATATGCGGATATCCGCTCGATGCTTGTCAAAATTGGGACTGGTGTGCTCCATGATCCAGGTTTTTTCAGCTCTGTATTCGGACAGGAGACATAGTAGACCTCGTTGCTACTATTCCTGCCCCAAATGGTTGTGACTCCATCACTCATCATGGATAGCAGAGTGTCGGTTCCAGAAAGAAAGTCGTTGGTGATGAGGGGAATAGCCGATGCCCCATCGGTTTGGGCATTGGCAGCGAAGTAATAAAGAGATGAACCGCTGATGGCGTAGAGGTCTGTTGTAGCAAGCAGACTGGATGACTTGTCCCCGTTGCGCGCAGTTGTGATCGCCGAGGGAACCTGCGAGCCAGGCACGGCAAGTCGGCGTGGAGCAGGAGGACCTGTCCCAAAATCGTTGATTAACGGCATATAAACAAGCTGAGGGGCACCATTAGTGGTCCCCAGTGTGTAGACGCCGTCGGACCAGGCATTGGTGGTCCGGCCAACGCAGCTCTGGTAATTGCCGTCTTCGATATCTACTGGTACATCGTTTTTCACCCAAAAGCATCCTGTTTCCTTAGATGGGTCGATGTGATAGCGCACAATGTTTTTCGCTGCGGAGTCGTTCAGACGGTCTAGGTCAACGATCAAGTACTGCAAAGAGGACAGCTCAGCAAAGAGGATGCCGGTGACGGTGATGGTGTCAGGCCACTCGGTCACGGCATCAAAGGGAACCTGAGTCCAGCGCGGGCTTTCAACCCAAGACGTATCTCCGTTGGAGTTTAATAAGGACATGAACAGATTATCAGTTCCACCGGAGGAGACCGCCATTGCTAGACTAATTGTGCCATCGATTGCACTTTGGCCGACATCAAATGTTCGTACCACGGCATCGGTCTTCCCGGGGAAGTAAGCCTCGATGATCGAGGTGGATAGATCATGGAGCTGCCATCCGGTGCTTGTCGAGCCACTCTGCTCTTCGATAACATGGAAGATTCCGGATGAGTCAATGGCGAATAACAGTGCGTGGCCATCCTGTTTCTGCAGCGCTGCGAATTTACTTTTCGGCGACACAACTTCACCCTGAACGTAGTTCAACATCATATCGGAATACGATGTCAATCCCAGGGTCGGCTCAGTAGACTGAAGAGCTCTTCTGGCCTTCCTTCGGGATTCCAAACTTCTCGCAGGATCGACATAGATAATGTCGCATCCCAGGTCCTGATAAGACGAAAAGCGGGGGTCTTTGTAGGTAAACACTTTACCCCCTGGAAAGATGAAGTTTTGGATACCATCAAGGGTAGTTTTCTTCATGTTGGACGTTGCAAAACTGGTTACCTTCTTCTTGATATCATCGCAGACATCGTTTATGCCCGAGAAGGCTTCGCTAAACCAGTTCAATCCAGGATCAGTGGAGTTGTCTACTGGAGTTGAGTTGGTCAGAGAAATCATGAGACGACCATCTTGAGCAGCCGAGATCGTGTATTCATCGGTGATTGTATTGTCGAAGACGTTGGCACTTCCATTTTCCCAGTCGACTAGAGCATAGACATGTACGAGAAGATGCTGCTTCACCGTGATCTTTTGCTCCTCAAAGTACACTTCGCAGCTGTAAGACGAATCAATCGTCATCGCACAATATGTTGCACCTTGCTGGCTGTCATCTTTCTTTGAACAGGAATACTGGACCAGGATGACTTTGGAACCGTTATCGGTGACCTCCGCCGTTGTGGGGGTCTGGTCTCCGTAAATGGTCACATCAAAATCTCCACTTGACCAATACCAATGAGCAAAAACGTAAGGCTCGACACGTACACAGCATTTTTTGGCTGCGGGCAGCAATTGATCGAGTACGTTCTGAGCGATGATGTTCCGGTTGATCGCAACAATACCGCTCTTGTCGTCGATGTTCTCGGGTAACACCCAGTTCCAGTTGAAGCTTGAGACGCCCGGCAGCGGTTTGTTGTCAACGGCGCAGAGGTGGTCAAGCGTGGTGGCAGACTGCTGCAAGGCACTCGGACTAGCAATCACAACGCCATTCTTGTCCTTCAAAGGGCTGACCTGCCTCTCAAAATCGGTCATCTGCAGCTGCGACGGGTCGGGGGTTCCCGTTTTCGCAGTGACTGACACCAGAGGCAGGCCATGATCGTTCGCAATCTGACTGTATATAGACACAAACGACCGCTGCAGTATGCCGTCCGCTTGAGAGCCTGCTGGGATGCCCTCAAACCGGGGCACGCTCTGCAAGACGGCATTGTCCAGATCGAACAACAACTGCTGCAAGCTGAAGGCCTCACTTGACAGATTCATCAGCTGAGCTTTGAGCTGAGCCTTTAATTCAGGATGGTTGTTCAAGTAAGGTGTGTCGAGCTCCTTGTTAAGGTCGGCCACCACAAGGTCGACGTTCACCTGGACATACCACGGATCTCCGGATGGCTGGCTCCAGACATTCCATGTTCCTGCGGTCCATCCATTGGCAGGGGTGTTTTCAATCACGGTGAATTGTGAACAGAACATGTTGAACTTGACAGTCTTCGCGTCGTCCCCAAGGTCAACAATTGCAGGCAGGTTTTTCGGCATAACACCGGGCGGCAACCCCATTTGGATTTGAATGCCCACCATGAACCTGGCCGCGGTAAGCTTGGTGACCTTCGCGTCCGAATAATCTGTCCCGGCAGGAATTTCGAACGGATTGATGTCTTCCGTGAGTTTGAGTAGCTCCTCCAAGGTGATCATGTTCGTTGGATTGCCATTCTCGTCAGCCAGGAAACAGAGATATTGGACGGGCTGTTGGCTCTCGCTCAGGAAAAGAAGAAGATCCGAGTTGATGCTCGCCTGGGTAGTGGCAACGACAAAGTCATACCCATACTTGGCACTGGATAGGAAGGAGTCGCTCGCGTCCATGGTGGATGTTTTCTTGCTCGAGTACTTGAAAATGAGATTGTGTTCAGGTCTCTCTGTCTGCTAAGTATTCTCTGCTCAGCATTCTCGGTCCTTTTATATTGCTGTCGGGTACCTGTACTGCCTCCATGAACAAAAGCTCTGATTACTCGGTGGCGATAAATGCGCCATCCCCGACATTCTCTGCTGATCAAGTCTTGATTCTGCTTCGCGTGCATATTTCATGTTACATCCCCCCGCTTTGGAGTATCCCGGCTTGCGAGGGTAGAGCTAGACTGCACTGCACGTACACGATGCAGGCAAGTGGACAGGGACCTCGTGTGTGCAGATGCAATTCATTGTTGGTGTTGTGGTATTCAATATGAGACAACGGAGTTTCGATTCCCCGCATCTGCAATGCCGAAACAGACGCTGACGTGTTCAGCAGCGGGCTGTACGATAAATTAATCACATAATTCAATGACAAACTAAGATTGATATTGCATGACTAGCCCTAAGCAGCGGTCGAAAACCACAGCTGCTCCTATAAGGAGTCGGGAATTTTGCCCTGTGCACGGCTTGACCGACGCTCTCTTCAGCTCCACGAACTTCGACACTTCCATCAAGAAGTACGTTTGATATATCAATTGCAAACTCAGACTATTTCCTTTAGCTGGCGCTAGAGATTGGCGAATTGCAGCGGTCGTAAACGAAACGTTTACGAGCGTTGTTGGCCGCTTCCAACCCGTCAGAACAGACACAGCCAATACCGAGTAAACGCTTTGTGTGTAAAGAACAAAGATACATGAGCTTGACAATTGGTAGGGTTCTTCAATCCTTTTCGTTAGAGCCATACATACGATTTCTTCCCAACCCATTTACCCCTCAACCTGCAGTTGATGCTGAAGTTGCGCTCATTGCTTGTTGGCACTTGTGACCAGTGAGCTAGACACCATCTAAAAAAGCCACTCCAACCGGATGATGCGCAACGAAGGGGTTTCAAAGGAACGCCGCGAAAAGACCCATCCACTCTAGCGAGATATGCGTCTTTGCCCCCGCCACATGCGTCATCATAGCTCCAATTGCTCTAGATTCATCCTGGCATCAATGCCACCCTGGTCTCGGTAAGAGCAGAAAATGACCCCGGTGATATAGGATCTTTGTGACAATTGAGGGGTGAGCCTCACTACTGCGGCGCAGGTTACATCGCAAATCAGTTCATCGTGGTCTCGACCGAGGATCGACGTCCAGAATGGTGTGATTGTTGAATGTTGATGTGAAAAAATCTCCAAACTCAATCTTGCCGAGTGGGACCCACTGATCGGTCGGACTACCCGGGCGCCGGGCGCCGGGAGGCGGGAAGGGCCCGGAACGCTAATTAGGCGTTTCATTTCCGAATTCGGAATAATACTTTTGAGGTGTATATGGCTAAAATGTAGAAGTAAGATTAATTGAAGTAATTTGATACTAGATGGTATTTCAATCAAGTTTTAGAGCTCAGATCAACTATACCTTCACATGAAACAATTAGAGATATTATCTATTGGTTCCAGTTCACATTATATATCCTAATGAAAGGATACACCGCAGATCTAATGAGATAGAGATGAACTGAAATATTCTCCCTCAGACCCCAAAAGAAAATATCCTCGCAAGGAAATGGCCATAGTTGGCTGAGCGATTATTGCTTAATCTATGGGGTGGCAAAAGATACCGAGGATTTTAGCCTACGGCTGACCACCCCAGCAAAAAGGCCGGGGTGTTGAAGCTGGTGAAGGTCTGGTGCTTTATTCCCCCGAGGGTTTAAGGGCAGGATTAGACCTTCAGTGGCAATATTATAACATCTCCACTTCATTAAGTACAATGACGTGTACACCGGAATAGAGGCACTGGGACTTGCTTCGAACGCCGCTGGGCTCCTCCCCTCAGCCTTGCCCCTCATTATGTGCGCCCGCAGAGATCCTGCAGGGCAATGTGAAATTTCTGACTTGAGATTTTCACCCGATCAGCCCGCCACTAATTAGTGAATCTGCACCTAAGTCTGCATCCTTCCTTGGCTTGTCGCAGGCCCAAGTGATTGGGCGGAAATTTCCGACATCTCGATCGCCGAGTCTGTAAGGAGATTTCCGCTTAAAATCTGTTATTTCTGCGGGGGACTAGGCGTACTTTTGCGATGACGGCGCATCCTGCAAGACGTAACACGCCTCAGGCTATACCATCTGACCTGACTGTTGTGAGCATATATACTAAAACAACTATAGGGCGAACAGAAACTCCCTATCCGAAGCACTCCAGGCTCCTTGTCCATTCGGTAAGTCACCTGCTGATCTCTCTCAACCCTAACCGTCGCTACTAGTAGACAGTGCCCCCGCCGACAACATCTTATATCATCCCAGTCAAAAAGAGTACTAGGAATGTACGTTCCCTCTATCACCCGCCCTTGTCCTCTATGTAACAAGTTTGCATCCAACATTATGTTTGATTGTTCACAACATGACGATCAGTAAATTCAATGAAATGTATGAATAAATATCTGGGATTACTTTCAAAGGCCTAGTCTTCAGCAAACTATACTCAATCTTTCTGTACAGTAGGCTAAGCGGAGGGAAATAACCGTTGCCTATACACCAACTATTGGGATACAGTAAAAAATAGAATGCATGGTAGGACAGGGACAACTACGTCATCGCTCGAGGTATAGTGTTTGCTATTCGGGAGATGTCAGGATTAGGATTTGGGTTCTCCAATCGTTTCAAGACAGAGATCCTTCACTGATGGTATGGGTGTTGCTGAAATGTAGATGTTCTTCGGCTCTTGTAACCTTTTGTACCTCGGCAATATTCCTACGTGGTGGTAATGTAACTTTTTCTATCCCTATATTCAATGTAAAGCTCTCGTTGAGGCCTGATGAAGTTCGAGTTCTTGTACGAGATGACTTGATTTGAGGTTTCAAGTCGTGGGAAACATAAGTTTCCGCCGCTTTGCGAACTCGCTCTCCCACTGGATAGCTACCTTATAAATCTCTTTCTCGAGCAAACTTCAGCATATGAATTTCTTACTCCTCTAGAAATATCTTGATTTCTCTATATCCTTCTCCTTCTTTCTCCGTTCAAGAATAAAGATACTGAATGAAAAGAAACGCCAAGAAGAGGAGGATCGAAAAAAGGAAGGAACTTTCTCTAGAAAGGGGTAACTACTAGCCGCAGCTACCTATGCCTAACTAGTCGGAACATTCCGAGTACAGTTAACTTCGCCTCACTGGTGTCCGATGAAATAGAAGTGTTTCGCGTGATAAGATCTGATAACATGATCGATAAACTTAATATCAGCCTCTGTAGATTGGATTTTCCCTCATTCACTAGGTATAAGCCAATCTAGCCCCCGTACTTAGGTAAGATTTCGCTCAAGTCAGTTGACTAGCATCCCTATTTGGATCTTTAAACGTACGATGGCGTCGATGACCCCTAGGCTATGAATCCAGAATCGATTCGGCCGGTGTAGGCACCTTCGTAATTTCCCCGGGGCGGGAAATTTGTGGGTCTGTCACAGAACTATCTTTCCAACCGTAATTATTAGTTAGGGAATTTGTGGCAAATTGAAGAAGGTTATCCTCATTGGATTCTTTCATCATCTGAATTTGCGCGGAAAACCGCCGGGACTCTTGTATCAACAGGTTAATGGAATGAGGCTGAATCAAAAGGACATGGGAAATGTATGAAACACTTTATGATCAGTGTCCATAAACTGTTTTGTCGTACAGATTTCCTAAAATGCCAAATCCTTCAGGAATAAAGTTAACCTCAAGCATGTTACGAGAATTAGCTCATCCTGCAGAACCTTGCACAACGGCAGCCTAAAAAATAGTGGATCTGTGTCTTGGATAACACCATTATTGTCACGATTCTTTCGATCTTACTGGTCGAGGATTTTATGTTCGTTGGTCATCAATAGGGCTGTGGTTTCGACCACTGTGTGCAGCTTGGTCATCGGTACGGAATTGTCCCGTCATTGGTATCATATATGACTTTACAAGGTATTTATAAGGTACATCTTGCCAGCAGTTTGTCGTGGTAATTATACTCTTTGAATCTATAGAAACATCCTGAGAAAGTCGTGAATAATCTCGGCATGAAGGCAGCACTCCCTGTTTTGGGCTTCCTCGGCCTCGCCGCTGCGGCACTTCCCGAATGGAACTCTTATCCGGGACACTCTCCTGCGGTCGAGAACCGCACCCTCAACGAAATCTATGTAGCAGCCAAGAAGGAAGAGGGCAGTCTGATTGTTCTTTGGGGAGGTGATGGTGCGTATTATGAGCGAGCCACTGGTGATAAATTATGACTGACATCTTCTAGCCGTGAGCCAAGGAAAATCTACCATTGATGCCTGGAAGGCCCGATTCCCCGACATCGAATTGAACCTCACCGTCGATGTTTCCAAATACCATGATAGTCGCGTCAATCGCCAGTTCCAGCGAACTGGGACCGATGGTGCCGATATTGCCGTCTTGCAAACTGTCCACGACTATGTCCGTTGGAAGAGGGAGGGTCGGCTGTACCCCTATAAGCCGGCGCATTGGGAAGATGTTTGGGCAGCTATCAGGGACCCTGACGGAGCATTTGTGGGAACTTTCATCTGTGAGCGAATCCTCTGGGAAGAACTAGTTTGTGCCAGCCTAATCAGAGTCGATGACAGACGGGTTCGGAAGCCTTATCTACAACCCTTCGCTGCTCAAGGAGGCCAATGTCCCGTCAACTTTCGATGAATTCCTTCGTCCCGAATGGAAGAGTAAGCTCGTGCTGACCTACCCCAATGACGATGACGCCGTACTGTACCTCTTCTCAATCATCATCAACCAATATGGCTGGGAATGGTTTGATGCCCTTCTCAAACAAGATGTGAAATGGGTCCGTGGTACCGGCGAGCCAGCAGCCGAGATTAGCCCAAGAAACTCAACTCGGTCCTTGTCGTTCACCACCTCCCCCGAAGGGAATCTGGTCACCAAAGACCCCAAGGACACCTTTGTGTACTGGCCACAGACTGGCGCTATCTTCGCCTCGACCCCTCGGCCGGAGAGTGCGAAGTTGTTCATGAGCTGGCTGCTGAGTGATGACTACCAAAAGAACTTCAACGGGACTTACCTGGCGCGTAAAGACTTGTCATCCACGGCGGGCAGTATCTGGAATGACCCATCTACCCCCCTGACCCAATTTTCTACATTCATGGAAAATCGGGAGGTTGTTGAGTGGTGGAAACTTCAGTTTGAGACTTCGATTGGGACTGCCCAGGGTGTTATTTCTTTGTTGTCTGAGAAGACTGGCCGCTAGGTAGGGATTCTGTGGATCTGGCGTGTGTTTGCTTGACAACACGGAAGGGCAAGACTTTGTATATTAAGATATTTGTATCTGGGCTTTTCATCAGAAAACGATTGACTTCTACCTATTTCAATTTTGGGTTGCGGACTTATGAAATGTTTGGGTCTCGAGATTGCGTTTCACAATTTAGAGCAAGTCTCTCCGTTAAAAACGAAATCTTGCTCATTATCAATCAATCAATCAATATTCTATTAACCTGGTGGAGCCTATCTATTGAAACGACAGGCTATGCAGGCGCTTCGCCAAATGAAGCAGAATCTCGAGCCCTTACGCCATATAAACCCACAAACGCAGTAGATAAATCATAAAATAACGCAACTAAACCAGCTGCTACCCGTCTGCCGCAGCCCACTACGTCTCCTGATGCTGTCTCTCCTTCCGCCTCGTTCTATATAGGTGGTTCGTGAGTGGTATGCGTCACTGGTAGCGGCCTGACCCAGGCCGCCCCGAAAGAAAAACAACTTCGACGCGAACCTAATTTTTGAAATCACTCAACCACCACGACGGCTACGGTCTCTAGAACCAGCCAGTTTACTATCAATCCCAGCCGCTATCGATTGAGCCTAACTTTATAGGGGATATCGATATGGTTGGGGCGAAACCCTCGTGGCCGGCCCTTTCAGGGATTCCCGAGGCGGTAAGCGCGCATAATCAGAATTTTCTCAACTGCGTTTTGAACCTCAATAAAGATGCGCAACAATACCTTTTATTCAACGAATCGAATGGAAAACAGCTTCCCAAACCGGTAGTCAGCTTTATACAGCAGGTAGCTGACGCCAGCGATTTTTTGCAACGCGAAATTGAGGATATTCTGACCGCCTCCTTGTTGATGTCATAGGTGAGATCCAGTAGCAGGTTGCGAGCTTCGACATGCCTTTCCCCTGGATGAGATGGTATAGGGCAATCCCTAAGTTGGCGAAGCAGCAAAACTTCCCGATCTTGTTCCTGTAGTCGCCACGCGGGGCCTATCTTTATGGCGACATATCTTTCTAGATGAGTACCTCTCGCCAACCAAACGGACGCAAAGTTGCCTTCACCAAGCTTCCGAAATGGCCGGTAGCGCCCGTCTTTGAGGGTATCACCGGGTTGGATCGAAATATAACTTGTCAGACCGGTCGCGCTCTCACGCTCTTGGGCCTCAAGAGCGGAAGAAAGCATTTCGTCTAACTTTTAATCCATTGAAATGTCTTTCTGGGTTGTCTAAGAGAGTTGCAATAATGATGCTGAAATGCCAGGCAAATTTGCAGCAACACCATATGACTTGCGGCTGGACTCGGGAGCATCGCTCTTTTAACACCCATCATGTCGAGTCGTCGACAATCAACAAAGCAGTGCCACATTTAGCGCCGCGGGTTGTATAGTGTGGACGAGCCCCGGCGCTTATGGGTGCCAGTCGTGACCCTGTGTTTAGTACGTACTCACGGATGCTAATGCTAGGGTCACCGAACAGCAAACAGACTTTTACTGCTTTATTGGAAACGGTTTACATCCAAGCCACTTGTTTCTGCTTCCCTGCTCCTGCCCAAGGCCTTTTCTAGTCACAGATAGTATGCAGCGGCAAAAGAGGTCACAGCGCCGGCGGATGAGAAAGGCGGCAGGGTAAACGCGACAAAGGTGAAGAGAATGCGGCCAAGGGCTGCATGGTCTTGTCAAACGATGTTCTGTATACTTCACTGCTCCAAAACAGCTCCGACAGTGAGAGTGGGTCTCTACGGGCCATGAATCCATTTCAATGTAGCATGCTCCTGGCAGGGAAGCATGAGGTGAATTTTCAAGCCTGAGAGCATAACCATGATTGGGACTCTGTCTACGTATCTGAAATCTAAACTCAAGGTTTTCGTCTTCGATGCCATCTAATCGGGCTCTCCCGAGCACGAATTCAAGTCGGAGTCCTCCGCTACTAGAGGGCTCCTAATGGCACGGTCCTTACAGAAAGCCAAGTTCTTATCTTCCAAATGAAGAGGGGATATTCAGGCACTCCCGACACCTTGACCTATGATATGACCTGGGCAGAGCTGCGGGGAGTTCTTCATCAAACTGAGCCAGACGATGTAACCCCGTCTGTGACCGGCCGTCTTGGCTGCAGACTTGGCTCCAACGTGGTCATTATCGTGAACTCTCACTGGCCCAGACAGCCCTGAGATATGATTATTGATTATTCTCGGCCTCTTATCTCTTATCCAATCATGGGGTAATCTGGCAGCATTCACTCACATGCCATTTAATTGCGTCGTGAGGGAAACACATATGAAGGGGGAGGTTTTCCTAAACATTATCCATAGTTTGTCCACACAATCGTTCAAGATGAGATCTTTAGCTTCGCTTTCTGCGTCGGTGCTGCTGCTACCGGTAGCTCTAGCTGTCTCTGTTAGCGAAATCAACGGCAATCGCTTTCTGTCCTCCTACAGTGGCGAAATTGTCTCCAATGTCCGTGGCCTCGTGACTGCGAAGGGATCGAGCGGATTCTACATTCGTTCGACTAGCCCTGATAATTCCTCTCCTACGTCGGAGTCGCTGTACGTCTATGGATCTAGTGCAGTGTCCAAAGTCTCGGTCGGAGATATCGTCACGCTCGGGGGCAAGGTCTTCGAGTATCGCTCCTCGAAGGCGTACGTTTATCTGACCGAGCTCGCCTCTCCCTCGGACATCACCGTCGTGTCGAGCGATAACGAGGTTGTGCCGCTGGTGATAGGATCGAAGGGTCTGAGCCCTCCGACAGAGCAGTTCTCTGCCTTAGATGGGGGAGATATCTTCGGCATCCCCAACAACGCGAGTCAGATCTCGAGCACGAACGCCATTCTCCAGCCGACCAAGTATGGCATGGACTTCTGGGAAAGTCTCAGCGGCGAACTTGTCACTATCGGCGGTCTCAATGCCATTACCAAGCCGAACAAATACGGAGACACCTGGGTGATCGGGAACTGGACGGCCACTGGGAGGAATGAGCGCGGCGGACTGACTATGCAGAAGAAGGGTATTTCTTTCCAGCTCTTTCCAGCAATGCGATGATGTTTATTGACCAAATGCTATAGACTCCAACCCCGAAGCTATCATCATCGGATCACCGCTAGACGGAACCAAGAATCCCACTGATACTAAAGTCGGGGACATCATCGAGGACATCACAGGCATCGTCACCCAAGCCTACGGATACTACGCCCTTCTTCCCTTGACCAAGCTGTCCGTCACCGAGTCCAACTCGACCTCCGCCAAAGCCACTGAATTGGTCTCCGACGGCACTTGCAGCGGCCTGACTGTCGGCAGCTACAACGTGAACAACCTCGCGCCCAACTCCACCACTCTAACCGGCATTGCAGGCCACATCGCCAAGGAACTGAAGAGCCCCAGTCTTGTGTTCTTGCAAGAAATCCAAGACGATGACGGCCCGACCAACGACGGAGGTACATTAACATCAACCCGTGCCATATCTAAATATCTTCAAAGCAAACTAACACCCACCTAGTCATCTCCGCCAACAAAACTCTCTCCACCCTCGCAGAATCAATCAAATCCCAAGGCGGCATCACCTACGACTTCATCAACATCGACCCTGTCGACGGCAAAGACGGCGGCCAACCAGGCGGAAACATCCGCGTCGCGTACCTCTACGACCCCGAAGTCCTGCAACTGCGCAGTCCGAACCCCGGAACGAGCAGCCAGAACAACGAGGTTCTTTCCGGCGCCGAGCTGAAATATAACCCCGGTCTGATTGACCCGAGTAATTCGGCTTGGGATAATAGTCGGAAGCCGCTCACCGCGGCGTGGGAGACCCTGGATGGGAAGAATAAGTTCTTTACGATTAATGTGCATTTTACGAGCAAGGGTGGTGGGTCGTCGATTGATGGGGATGCGAGACCTCCTGTGAACGGGGGTGTTGAGAAGAGGGAGGAGCAGGCGAAGATTGTTGCTGTTAGTGCCCTTCTTATCTTCATTGCCGATGCCAGTTCAAGCCGTACTGATTATTCTAGGGGTTTATCACCGACATTCTCGCTGAAGACAGCAAAGCCAAGATCATCACCTCGGGCGACTTTAACGAATTTGCTTTCGTTCAGCCACTGACTACGTTTACATCGGAGTCGAAACTCCAGGATATCGATGACGTCGTGAATACCCCTGCGACGGAGAGATATACCTACCTGTATGATTCGAACTGTCAGCAGCTGGATCATATGTATATCAGTGAGGCGTTGACGGAAGGCGCAAAGATGGACCACATCCATGTTAACACATGGGTCTCGTATGACGATCAGAGATCTGACCATGATCCCACGGTCGCTTTGTTGAATGTTTGTCAGGCTTAAGAGGTCTGATCTTAACGGAGGATAGTATCATTTCTGGAAATTGATCGAAAGCTGTCTTGGCTTCCCAGAAGAAATGAGGTTCCTCAGTACAGGACGCGTATGCTTGTATTTCATCACTGAAATGTTTAAAATTCCAATATTAATTCTTTCTCAACACATCTCGACTCTCGTTGTCTAAGCTCTAATTAACCCTATCGATGACTTTCTGGATGAAAGTCAAAAGCCCTTGCACGTTAGAATGATCACGGGTAGCATAGTTCCACCACAATTATTCCTCCCGCGCCACACGACTCCTCTTCCGAAATACATGCCCAAACTTATAAAACACATACGGCACAGGCGTCATGACCAACGATAGACAGCCCAGCAGAGTCAGCGACCAATGAACCCCTATGTTCCCGTACATAGGAATCGAAACAATCACCATAGCTCCAGCGGCCAGGTACCGCATGAAGGTGGCACTAACCAGCGCACTCGCAGCGTATACCTCATACGTGTCGATAAGATATTGGTAGCTTGAAATGAAAATACCCTGGACGGAGAACCCGAATGCAACAGACGCAACGAGTGATGACCAGTATGAGATGGATGGGTAGCTAGTCCAGCCCATCCAGAATAGAGAGATGGGTAGCCAGGGTGCTGCGTACATGGCGAACCAGAGGCGTTCCTCGGGCGGGAGGGAGCTTTCACCATTCTCAATTGCGACTTGCAGACGTTTTTTGTAGGACATGTAAATATGAGGGACAAGGGCGAAGGCGACTAGAAAGCCGATGTTCATCCCGATGAAGGCGAGGCCGACGGAGCCTTGCGAGAACCCGTATGTTTCGCCGTATATGAAGTCGTAGCCGGTCAGGAAGCCGAAAAGAACAATGTAGACGATCACCAAGTACATGGTAAATAAAGCGACCATGAGCTCCTGGAAGAACATCTTGAAGGGTCGGGAGCAGCTGGTGAGGAGGCGATGGGCAAGACTGGCTTGTCGGATCTCAATCTCAGCGCGAAAGCGTTGGTCGCCGGTTATTGCGCGAAGATGATGCGCTTTCCAGTGAAGCAGCACGGGGCCATACGTCTCGGGTACAAGAAAGAATATTCCCGCAGTGATCAGGCCTGCCAATATTAATGACGTCCATTCTACCCAGCGCCAGCTGATGGCGTTACTTTGACCGATGAAAGCGCCGACCATTGGGGCCAAGAAGGGACCCAGGAAAGACAAAGTGCAACACACTGGAAAGGCGTAGGTGCGGTCAATCAGATTGAATATGTCGGCCATACTTCCGCCAAAGGTGGTGAGAGGCGTGCATCCAAATATGCCGGCGAGGAACCGGAATGCCAACTGCGCACCAATGTTTGGGGCAAGACCGGATGCCATGATAAATATCATGAGCAGCGACAAGGTCACCAGGTACACCGGGTTCCGTCCAACGGTTTCCGATAACGGTGCCGCAACAAGGGAGCCAAACCCGAAGGCAAAGAGATACAGTGCGGTGGCCAGTGATTCTGTTATTTTGCTGACCCCAAATGCCTCTTGGCCTTGTTGGATGACAGCGGAGTCAATAGCAGAGGCCCACCCGACTAGAAAGCCCGTAGTTCCAACGATACCCAATGTGAGCCATTTATATCGTATGGACCAGTTCTTCGGGTTGAGGGGGTCATCAGGACAGTCGAATCCGACAACAAATAGTATTGGGCCGTCGCCTAGATCGCGCGAGGGTTGGACGGTGACGCCCGGAATGGTCACTCGTTGGCCTGTATGAAGCGCAATCGATTTCTCTGAAGGAGTTTTTTGGATATCGAAAGATTCGTCACTGGAACCCGCTGGTTGGTAGCTCCTGACGATATCGTGGGTGCTTAGTTGGACCATTCGCTGCAGATCGTTGTGCAGCCGACGATATTGCAAAAAGGATTGCATATTAAGCTCGCCTGTTAGTTAAAAAGAGGATTGGAATGCTATCAGCAAAGAATTGTCAACGTGAGAAAGTCCTAGATATTGCACTTTGAGCATAACTAGGTGTTATAACATCTTTTTGTGGCTTAATAGGCATCTCTAGTTTTCAACAAGAATTAACCGGAAGAAAATAAACTATTTGTAAGTGCGACTCAGGTGTTGACCACTCTCTCGCATCTTCCGCTCCATCCACCCTTTCCGCTCTTTCCGCCTGAGGCCCAGATGGTTTGATCTACGGCGCCATGTCCGCTCGCGAATTGCCTCTGGCTAGACTCTGACAACTCAACATCCGTCAATTTGGGGTTTGACCTGGTACATTCAAGGAGGTAGTGTCAAAAAGTGGGATGTCGGCGCTCAAGAAGGCATCCCAATCGAGATCTGGCTCGCCGTCTTCGTCCAGCATCTCCTCTATTCCATAAATTGATTGATTCAATATATTATCTTGCCCATCGTGGCTGTCCAATCCGTGGTTTAGATCCAACAGGTCATTTTGTTTATTCTGTCGTGACAGCCGAACAAGTGATTCGGCAACGTCGACTGCGTGTCGTATACTCGCGGTATGGAACTGCTGGGAGATTTTTCGCAGTGACCGCATTGCCTGTGGGATGTGGGTTAGGGACTCCCGCGAGTCCATAGCCAAGAGCGTACAGACGACTTGAAATGGGACATTGGCAACGTGCCACCAAGGGCCGCGTTCCTCGGCAAGCCCTACAGCCGATTCAAGTCCCACGATTGCGGCATCGATAATTCGATCCTGGGCGTCTCTCGGAATGCTAGGGCAGGAGATTCGAAGGCGTCGGTAGATGGTAAGAACGAGGTTGACCCGCGATAGCTGTAAAGCGTCAGGGCCATATACGGGTATTTCCAAGCGACTCAAACAATCCAGCAGGTTTGCAGAATCATTGCCATGCTCTTGATCCAGCTGCTGCGAAATTTCGTAGACACCTATCAGATCTCGCGTCCAATTGTCATCCCCGCGCGAAGGCTTTTTGCACGACATTCCGCGAATTGACACGCGAGAACGGCCGTATTCATTAGAAATCCACGCATTCAAGGTAACAGTCACCCAGAACAGGCGTCTCGGGATATCACAGTCGCCACCCGTGTCGCGAGTATCGAAATAGACCGATGACCTTGATTGTGGATCCTGATGAGCGCCCGTGGCCTCAATAATATGCATTGCAGTACAGCTGGCCATCCAAGACGCATGCGGAGAGTTAGTGGTTCGTAGATACAAGGTCCGGAGTACCCAGGCCGTAGCATGGTGCAATAATGGTCTTTTCATCACGCTGGTTGCCTCCAGCATTTCCTTCGCGCACTGTACTATCTCAGCTTCTCGTGGATGTGGTTGATTTTCAGTTCCTGAGAACACCGAGCCCAGTGCGGCTACGCCACACAAGACAGGGTCATAGCTGCCAATTACGTGGGGATTTTGCCACCGCAAAGAAATCTCTTCGTCTAGGCTATCCTTGCTAAGGATCGCATAAATCGGATGGATGTGATCAAAGTAGATAAACGCGTATCGATTCATCTCAGCGTGTGTAAGCAAGGTTGTCAAATTTGTAAAATGACGCGTCGGTTCTTCCCTGAGGCCGAGATTCCAGCTGATCCCGTACACACCGGGCGCGTCGCGAGGATTCAATTTCAATCCCAAGACATGGGGAAACGCCGTTCCTGAGGTAGCTTCCATCCTCTGTTGACTTATCTCAATTTCATTTGAAAGCTGCCCTGGTAGTTCTTCCGTAGAGCGTGTGGTCTCCCTTCCTGGCACATGTCGCGTAGAGCCCGTGGCAACCCTTTTCCGTGGCTGGGAATCGAACGCGCAGTCATATTCGTATCGGACGCAGAAGCCACAGGGCTGTTTGCCATCACATTTTCGTTTTCGCTGCTTGCATGTCTCGCAGGCTTGTTTGGCTCGCTGTCGAGTCCCCAGACTGGATGGTGCTGCAGAGGATGGTGGCATGTCTATCGTCAACTTTTGGAAATGGTTGCCTGTGATATTTTTATTCAGATGTGGGCCTGAGTGACCTGAAAGGCGCCCCGCCACCAGGTCTGCCAATGTTGATAGTCGTTCTTGTCATATGGTGGGAGAAAAGTAACAGAGACTGTCGCTTGCAAACGCGATGACCACGTGATGTTTTCATGTCGGATCGCGGCCTGGGTGCCTTTGTACCTTGTTGCCTTGCTGCCTTGCTGCCTCGTGATGTCCCGACTTTTGTCCTACAACAAACATCCCGCAATTGCAAGGATATTTGATATCTACAGTTAGTCTACGTATATGTAGAGTTCTCTGGTTCTTCAATTTCTGCCACGGGCTGTCAGGTGTTCAGGATATTCGTCAATCTGTTTCGTGGGTTGGAGATATATTTCTGGCCAATTATGACGTTTGCGTCGCCTGAACGCCAGCTTTGATTAACCATTTCTAGAATATTCCAACCAGCTCGTACCTTGCTATTGGAAAAGGCAGATTAACCTTGAAAATAGAATAGACCGATCCAATGGTGTGATTCTGGATGCAATTGCGATTTTGTGTTGAGGTGCACAGCCTGTTAACTGGCAGTGTCGACGCGTCTCTCAGCCACATCACATCAACAATGACACGGATATGAGCCAAACTCATCTCAGCTACATCAAAAATGATCAAGGGAACAATAAGCGTGACGGCACGTCGCTTGTCAAAAACAGACTTGGTGATTTTCAGTGTAAGATCAGGTCGTCCCCATATCCTAGCTGCCATCCCTTCGCGGAGGCACCATACAACACGAGCGACAACGCGACATGAATACGGAAACCTCTTTAGATACACCAGCGGTCGCTGGCTCTAGAACGAAGAACAAGAACTTCGCGACCGATATACTCCGTTCAATGTGCTTGAGCTTCAGAGGATCGCCGCAAGAAGTGTTGACACGATAGAATGCACTGCGATCGCAAAGCTGGCAGAAGGGTCCTTTAACAAGGCGTTCAGATTGACCATGGACAGCGCCATGACTATGATCGCAAGAATACCCCATCCAATCGCAGGACCCAATTTCTATACGACAGCTCCAGAGGTAGCTACAATGGAATTTGTAAGTCTCCTGACATTGGCGTATGGATATCTCTGATGACGTTCAAGGCTCGGACTGTTCTCGGCATCCCAACTCCCGAGGTCTATGCTTGGAGTGCGAACCGTGAAAATCCCGTTGGTTCCGAATACATCATCATGCAGGAGGCTCCTGGTGTGAAGTTGGAAGATGTATGGTATGACCTCTCTTAGAGAAGAAGGTAGAAATCATGAAGGATCTTGTTTCGATTCAGAAGAAAATGGTTTCTGTTTCTCTCAATGTGTATGATGTTCAGGCCAAACGGCATTCGATACCCCGGCGCTAACGAGTAACCAGGTATGGGAGTCTATACTTCGCTACAGGCAACGTTTCTGGAGCTGTCGCCGCAGAGGTAATCGGCGATGTGCCTGCGGCAGTTAAGGATAACGCTAATTGGCGCTTTTCTATTGGCCCAGTTGTAGCTAGGGAGTATTGGAATAAAGAACGCGCGATGATGAAACCTGATCGTCGGTCTTGTAGGTTTCAGTCCCTTGATTATGGAAACTTACTCACGGGTTACAGGGAAACAAGCATAGGATTATGTCGTCTCTATTGCCCGTCGGGAACTGGCGTGGGTTCGACAGTACGCGATTGCAAGGTCGAAGGATGACCCTTTGGTGCCCTCGGAGTCACAGAATTCCCCTGATAGTCACATCTCACTGTTGGAAAAGTTTCTCAACGTTGCCCCGTATCTTCTGCCAGATGATCCTGCTGTTACCGCCCCTCATATATGGCATAGCGATCTTCAGGGGGGTAATATATTTGTCGACGGGGGCAAGATTTCGAGCGTGATAGATTGGCAAGGTAGCTGGGCTGAACTACTGATTCTCTGAGCACGCTATGCACGCCTGGTGGATTACAATGGCGAATTTATCTTGAAGACCCCGGAGAACTTCAAGAGCTTGATTCTACTGAGAAAGAGAGAATTTGAAAGCAAATGAGTAGCTCTAAAATACTTTATCTCTATGAAAAACAGGTTGCTAAAGAGGCCCCGCTTCTGAACAAAGTTTTTCGCTTTGAGAACAGCCGGATAAGGACCGAACCAATACTGTTCGTGGGTGAAACATGGTATGACGAGATTTTGCCGTTGAGGGACTCTTTGATCAAAATAGAGAGGTAAGTGCCCTTGTATAGCAGCACGCAACGCGGGAATCTTCCTGATGATGGTCATTGGGTAAAGACTACTGATCCGGTAGTAGATACTGGAGTGAATTGGGATTCGAAATCTCATGTCCTAGCAGTTTCAGCGAGGAGGATTGCCGCATTCATAGGCAGGAAGGGGATGGATGGAATGAAGTTCAAGACTTTTGGGACGCAGTTGGAGGTATCGTGACAAGAGACGGATAGACCCAAATGACCGTTATGAAGATGCCGTTGTTTTGTTTACCGAGCTACGCGAGACTCGATTGAGGACTATGATAGGCAAAGAAAGAGAGGAGTTCGAGCGGCAAACAGAGTGGATTGAAACATCCTTGGTTGTGAAAAAGCATATGGCCACAACAACTCACCACTATTATGGCCCTTCTTCAGACTACGAGGCAGAGGCAGAGGTGGCACCAGATCGCATTGAACAGCCCAGAACCGACACCTGAGATGTGTGTGTTCTCAGGGTAACCAGCATAATGAATGGCGGAATTACCAAAAAAAGCTTTTGATATACCATAAAACTCAGACTTAGAATTGAGTTCTAGCTTTGCACGTAAGGAAAAATGAGTATAATGTAGAAGTGCGTCTTGATTTCTGACTTGCTACTGCTGTATGCCCCATGTCTCCTAATTCCACGCTCCTGGTTGACCAAAATTGCGTTTGTATACTCTATCCCTGCAATATATTAGGAAGAAGGTTCCAATGCCCAGTTCAAATATTTTAAAACATTCATTCAAAAAACACCAAATTCTTCACATACAGATGGCAGAGACAAACGATGACATCATTACTCATTCAGACGCATTAGGAAGACGGTCTATCGATGTGGTGATGAGCGTGTCGTGAAAAGGGTGAGCCCGTTCATCTATCAACTCCCCGCAATGCTATCAGCTCCTGTCATTTCTTCATGGATTTTGGCTGGCTAGAAACCTAAATTTGCTTGGCTTGTGGAACAACGGGGTGACCGTGTATCCCAGAAACGTCATTTCCAGTTTACAATGGACAGCGGCACATCTCAACCTAATTCCGAGGCTGCAACGCCGGAAAGCCTGAATATGCATCGGCTGGCCGAGAAGAACTCCGAACAACGTGGGTCATCTGTTAGAAGCATTGCATCTCATTGAATGCGATCCTAGTCTGGTTTTTTCCATGAACAGACACACCCAGAATCCCCAACTTTGTCGAATCCTCTCTTTCACCGCCGCTCTCAGACCTCGATTATCTTCAGAATCAGATTCCGGTATTTCTACCCTCAGCGAATGCCCAGCGTCAAGATATCTCGTATTTTCTCGGTCGAACGAACATGTTGGACACGTCACATGGTACCGAACATATCGATTATGCAGGTTGTGAATCGCAATGGACCTCGCTCAAAGACGGCCCCCAAGACGCGCACTGACTCGGGCAAGGATATAATTTGCACTCGAATTGCATTTCGGAAGGACAGGCAGTTCACTTTCCAGAACCACAGGAGCTCCTGGCTTCCCAGTCCCACATGATGCCGTATGCACTCGCTATACCCGGCAACGAAAATCAAATGTCTCCCAGTCCATGAGACCCCGTCCTCGCCGCACCAACGGTGCACAGGGGTCTCCCTAGAAGGAAAATGGTTACCATCTGCAATAATAGATTTAAATGTTGTCCCAACGTTCCTAGGAAACCCACTAGATGTCCCAGATCCGATGCAGAGATGGCAGGAATCCCCACCCGAGGACGAACCGGCTTCTATGTCTGCAATCATGAGATCCTTGGAAAGTTACCGACCGGAAAGCCCTGCGATCGGGACGCTATCATATTCTCAAAGCCATGATCCATTTAGTGGATATCGCCGCGCCGGTTCGGCCACGAGCTCGCGAAGTAGTGCTCGCAGCGCTTCTTTTTATCATTCGGGTTCTGTAAGGTCAGCAAACTCGGAAACATCTCAGAATTTGCCAACACGCTCTCGGTACCGATCCGGAGGGCGTGTGCGGAAAGGTAAACCCACCAAATTCCCAGGCACCGATCGCAAGTTCTACTGTACCTTTTGCTGTGATCAATTCAAGAACAAATATGACTGGGCTCGGCACGAAAGTCTCTTCATTTGAACCTAGAGACCTGGCGGTGTGCTCCGCATGGAAGCTCAGTGGTTTCTGCTATCACAGGAAGGAACCATTGCGCCTACTGTAATATGCTAGATCCTACACCGGAGCATCTGGACACGCATAATTACCAGACGTGCTTGAACGGTGACCGCTCATTCAACTGTAAAGACCATCTCATCCAACACCTACGACGGACTCATCATCTGGACACAGTCTCTTTAATAGACGTCTGGAAGGTGCATCCTCCTGTTGTGACTTGCTGATGTGGATTTTGCGATCGGCGCCTGTCCTCATGGGAGCAGCGCATTGAACATCTCAGCAGTCATTTCCGCAGTGGATCAACGATGGATATTTGGCGAGGCGACCATGACTTTCCACCAGAAATCGAGACTCTTGTCGCCAACTATATGCCACCGTACTATATTGTCGCGGATTCTCGATGTATTGTCCCATTTTCTGCAACAAATTCCCACGCTAGAGACCATGCAGATCAGGTGGCATCACGTGCGAAAGGGGGTGGTTTTGATGATCAATGTTCACTTCACGCAGCAGCTCAATCAGGTATCCCAGTGCAGACATTCTCGGAACCTCCTGTCGGCTCACTTATGGAAGTTTTAGCTTCCCGATTAGCTCGCTTTACTCGACAGATGATTGCCCAAGGAATAACTTCGACTGATGAAATGCTTCAACAGGAGTCTAGGCGCCTTGTCTATGGATGTGATGATTCTTGGAACCAGACTATCTTTGATAATCTGGAGTGGCTCGCCTCCTTTCGACGCCAGCACATTGGACAGGACCCTCCGTCGGATGCTTTCCAACTTCCCACCGACCTAGATGGTCTTTCTTTAGCGAATTTGCGTCTGCGGAATAATTGAAACGGATTGGTTCACGTAATGTCGCTCTTCCATCTATGATCACATCAATACAATCTCTCTATCTGGTTACGTGCTACAGTACATTGTGCCGAAGCCTGAGTCATCTTGACAACAATTGGGACCTCCAACCAAATTTTTGCACCAGATACCACTCTGTCAAAAGGACAATAACCAAGCCGTATCCTGACTGAGTAGAACCGGGCTATTAGGCAAGATTCAAAGGTCGGAACCAATGCCTTGTCTTTCGGCAGGTTGATTGGCACCACTATGGATGTTGTGTACCAGCTCTCATGCTCCACTCCTTTAGACCTCCCCATTCGTTTCTGGAGACTTGTTTCTGCATCTGTTTCTTGCTCTGTCCATTTCACGGACGAGAGGCAAAGTGAAGACAGCGACAATGTTCGGGTAAATTGTCCAGGTGCAACATCGCTAGACCAAGATCTAGAGACTTCATCGTGGTGGTCGCATGTGTAGAATGTTAAGACCTTTAGACTGCCTCGCGGATCTTTTAATTGTGGCGGCTGCTCGTCTCCTTCCGGCTCATACCGAATGTTCAACATAATTGAAGACCCATTCTCTGTCGCCTGTCCTGAACTCGACAGTTCAATTGGCTTAGTCTGGAGTGCAGTCATTACTATGTGACCTTTTCTTTGTCGGGTAACTGAGGATTGGATTCCCTTGGTCAAAGCCGACACAGAATAAGGTTTCATCTCCTGGATCGGCCATGGCGTTTTGTCATAACATGGAACCAGGTCTACTCGTTTTGTATGAGCTGCCAGAACCTCACCAGGAGACTGAACGATTCTCGCCGCCAAAAAGGTAGTTAACCTCGCATTGTCCTGGTGTGAAGTCATCCGTCCCCGGATCCCGACTCAGAAGCGACCCAGCTCCACACATCGTGGGCGGAAGCAAAGTATGTGCTAATTGAATCTCATTTCCCTCCGCTTGATGTCCACAAATCCGTGGGCTTAAGCGATCTGGCACAACGAACGAAAAAGGAATGGTGTATTTCATGCTGTCTTTACGAACTGTAGCACGAGTCGTTTTTGTGTCGGCATGATAACAGAGTCTCATGAATGTCTTTGTAACCCTCGCTCTTCGAATTACGGACGGTGGACCGGTGCTCTCCTTGTCTACCCTGGCCGTCCTTTGATAAATGGTCGGTTTACCCCTGGCTCAGCTTGGTGGATGCACTACATACCCTCAACGTCATAGCAACCCCATCCAATTCTATGTCGCCCACCGCGGTTATTGTGACTCTCCCTTCAATCCAATCGGAGCTTGTGTACGCCAGATTTTACTTGCCATCTTGACCGTTCAGATCTATAGAGATGTGTGGTCGGATTCCGAGCTGCCTCCTGACGGTTCTGTAGAGTCTAGCGTCGGAGGGAGCCATCAAGACGTGGTTGAGTCCGTAACAATTGTGAATACTGTACCACCCATCTGAACTTGCATCTTTGTCTGTCTCCATAAATGGACACTTCGCCCACACTGCCAAAGTCCGCACCGCGCCCTGCACAATACAAGCCAGTCTCAGACTCCACCGAAGCGGCGGGCGCAGGCGTAAGGCGTTGCCGTAAGGCGTGAATCGCGGGTGTTGATTGGGTTCAAGTGGTGCGACCCACCGCCGGGGTTCCACATGGCGCCGCAAACCCTAAATTTGGACCCGAAGAATGATCGAGCGTGGCACCAGAAGGAGAACAAATTGAGGGTCGATCCCTCGTCGATGCATGTCTGCTCACTGACAGAAAGCTTCACCATTACCTCTCACACGACCTTGTTGAATTCCATCAAAATGCCTTCCTTCCCTCAATTAGCGCATCTGAACCCCTTCACGCGGCCACTGACCCCGGCGGACGTGAAAAGCTGCGTGACTGTTGAAAGCGCCTTCCCTGAACAAGAACGTTGCTCGGAGGAGAAGGTATATCTTCTATCATGGCTAGGTCTTCCTATCTCGAATTAGCTAATCAAAGCCTCAGTTCCTATACCGTCTCAACAAATGCTCCGACCTCTGCCTCGGTCTATTCATCCACCCTTCTGAGACGCAAACACCCCAACTCATCGCCCATGTCATCGCCACCAGAACCTCCTCAACGCGAGTCACGGATGGGAGCATGGAAATGCCCGAGAACTGGACGTCGCTACCCGCCGACGAGGTCGTGACTGTCATTGGCGAAGCTGTCGGTAGTGAGTCCCATGGCGGCAGCGTCGCTGTTCATTCTTTGGCCGTTGTGCCGGAATATCAGGGCAAGGGTGTCGGACGCGCTCTCTTCAATGCGTACATTGAGTATATCAAGTCTGGGGCGGTACGAGCGGACCGCATCGTTGTTATTGCGCATGATCATTTGATTCGGTTTTATGAGAGCTTTGGGTTTAGGAATGAGGAGCCCAGTGCTTGTGCGTTTGGTGGTGGAGGCTGGTTTGATATGGTATGTTCTTTTTTCTATCCGTTGCGCGCCATCGATCACCATTGTTAAGGTCACGGGTAGATGCTGTCATTTGTTGGTAAGTCATTGAAGCTAATGTTTTTGTAGGAGTTGAAGGTCTAGATGCGAGTGGTCATACCCGGCGGACGGGGTCTCCTGGGTGTTCGAAAATTTTTAAGATGAGATGAATTATGAAGACCTAGAAAGAAAAAAGCGCTGTTGATTTCATAAAGGATCAAATCAACGTATCTTTCCTAATTGCATCACATCTCATCACGTTTCATCACGTTTTCACCTGTGTCATTGTATCACCATACATCCCTGCCCGGAACCTTCCGGTCCATCTAGGAATCTTTTGGGGAGTCGATATGATCTATTGATAGATACTGGTAGCCGTCTGGTACAACCGCCTTCTCGCTTCCCCTTTCGAGAGTTATCAATTTGTAAATCCGTCTGCGCTATAATCATTGTTGCAGAAAGCAGATACTAAAGTACTACACTAAATCCAGCAGTGGGGAACCAGCATAACCTCCACGTATCCACACTGTTATCTACCTACAACATCACGTGTCAGTTACAGAGGGCAAGTCACGCCGACACCTGCCTTCTGTTCTATCTTCGAGCTTCCTTTCTAGTCAATCGGCACTAAGTATTTCATCATTTATCTACGATAGGGCCTATCTGTCTTTGAAATTGTTGGAGTCTTGGAGAATTCTAATTGAATACACCTTGTCAATTGATCGTCCAACATGAAACTCAAGTCACCAGACACCCCCCGACACCCCAGTCCCCTAATCGTGCCCGAGGTTGAGGATATCGCCAGAAAAAAGCTACCCAAGCATATCTACGAGTTCTACGCTTTTGGCTCTGATGAACAGAAAGCGCTTGTTCGGAATGAGAAGGCTTTCGACAGGTGTGTGCTCTCCTCTCCTCTACAATACGCTTTCCCATCGAGTCCAGAACATCCGATATTTACTAGCGGTAGATTATGCATCCGACCCCGAGTCCTAATCGATGTATCTGAGGTCGACACATCCACCAACATCTTAGGATGCCACACTTCATTACCCATTGGAATCGCACCGAGGGCAATGCAGAAGTTAGCTGGCGGAGAGGGAGAAATCGACATCGCTAAAACGGCAGTTAATTTGGGCTTAAATATGACGTTGTCGTCGATCGCTGGAGGATGTTGCGAGGGTGATAACGGGGAGTGAAGTCCCGACGACCCCGTTTTGGATGCAGATTTATCTGTATGAGGATGTAGAGAAGAGTGTGGGTTTGATTAGGCGGGCTGAAGGTACCCATTCAATCTTCTATCCATATGTGATTAATATGAGGAGCGTCGAGTTGCCTAACAGTTTGTTGATCAATGAACAGCCGCCGGATACCAAGCCCTCATCTTGACCGTGGACACCCCCGTACTGGGGAATCGGCTCGCGGAACGACAAACGGCAGTGACATTACCTCCTGGAATGAAGTTACCGAATCTCGACAACAAGCACCGAGCATCTGAATCTCAGCCCAGCGTTAACAGACTCTTTCATGAACACCAAATCCGCTACCAAAGCGAAGGCGCTACGAGATGCCGCGTGCTCGACGATGCACAGCTCCAGTTTAACCTGGACCGACACGATCGGGTTCCTTCGCTCGGTGACCAGTATGAAAATCATCCTAAAAGGCATCATAGCGGCCTAGGATGCGGTACTAGCAGTAGAACATGGTGTGGACGCGATCATCGTGTCGAATCACGGCAGTGTTCAAGGCGTTGGCGCTGGGGGCAGACTTTGTGCTGGTCGGTCGCCCGGCGCTTTGGGGGTGACATTTCAGGGTCAGGCCGGGGTGGAGACGGTGATGAATATTCTAGTACGGGAGTTGAGTCGGACGATAGCGCTGGCTGGGGTTAGGAGTGTTGAGGGGATTACGAAAGACAGGATAGGGGTCGTTGCAAGAGATGGGTTTGGGATCGCCAGGCTTTAGGTCGGCTTAGATTGCGAATTAAATTGGGTGGAAACCTTGTCGACCTGCGGCCAAGAGGCGGCATAAAGTATATACTGCGTGTTCGGGAAGTCTATCTTTTGCTGCATTTGGAGTCGTGGAGTTGGATAATACAAAACCAAAGATCAAAGGTAGAAAAGGGAAAGAGCCGCAAGAGAAAAGTCCCGATCAATTTGTCTCGAGCAGGTCAGGCCATAGGAATCATGACGACAGAGGCTGAAACCGGGAACGAGAGATTCGCCGAAATTGCAGCGGAATGTGTCCGAGATTCACTCCTCAACTCGAGGGGAGATACTAGACATCTGTTCGCATTTGTCACAGGAGCACAGCCTCAGCGGGAGATAGCGGAATGGATTTGTTCCGTGGAGAGACACCGGACTAATCGAAGCCGGCATCTCCGGGCGATACCGGAGGGTCTCCCGGTGATACCTCACCAATCAAGTACTAGCGAACCGGGAGTCTAGCCGAGTCCGGGAAGCCCGTTTGGGCATGGCTCCCCAGGTCATGTGCCGCTGCAAGGGGTGTCGCCCAAGTCATCCTCTATGATCAAACAAGACACGCCACCCTGCGCCTTCGACCGTGGCAATCTCCTTCCCGCACACTTGGCCTACCTTATTCCTGCCTGGTCGTACAGAGGGGTTCGGAGTACGGTCAGAACACTCACTGGAGAGCGGGATGTCCGATTGGGATGTTCTACTGTTTACACCTGATGTTAGACAGTAAGACACAACAGGCAACAACCTTGCAACCCACAATGCCCCGTACGGAGTCGAGTGGAAAACAGAAGGAGCCAAGAATAACTGAAGAATAGGTTACGTACTCAAAACTCGATATAGGCTAACTGCCTTCGGGTAGTGTGCTGCGAATATCATGAGCATGCCCGTGTGATTGGATCGCTGAGATTCAATATCAGTCTTCCACGCCATCCTACGGTGTCGCCGGCTTTCGTTAGTGTCGACGCACTACCCCGCGTCCACCGTTTAGCCTCCTTCTAAAGCGTCGTCCCGTGGATTCGATGTGTCATAGATATTCCACTCCGTCCCATCAGGCGATGCCCTTCTTCGCATGATGTCAAAATCCCACCCAAAAATTTGGTGTCGGATTGCCCTTCTGGCCCAAAACCAGTTACCCCAGAGTGTCTCTCCGCATTTCCCCCATACCCCGTCCTCCGTAAACCATGAGGCCATTCAGGACCGTCGACCCACCGTCCCGTATCGACTCCGGTGGTCTCGCGCAGATCCCACGGACGGTTAGTGTTATCACCACCGTCCCCTATCAGTGGGGCCACCTTCTGTGCGACCGCTTCTCTACGGGGGCCTATTATCGACACGTTGCCATTGGATCGCTGTCAGACACCCTGGGCGTCCTGCTGTCGCTTGATTCTGGACTTGGACTCCGTGACGCCCGCCATCCTTCTGTAGATATGGCATACCGGATGAGGCCTAGCCTGAGGGGTTTCTTTTCCCTGGTTCTTTCTTAAATCTGCCCCTTTCCCCGCATGAGTCTGCTATACAGTCAATCTACCCACTGCACTTTATTTCGGCATCATGTTAAAAAAAGAAAAATCCCATTTCGACCCCGAGGCCATTGCCCCGGCTCAATTCCCCGAGGACCCCGTTCTGGCGGAGAAGGCCATTGAACACGATGCTGTCTTCGGTGAAATCACAGAGTCCGGCCCGAACTATCGAAATGTGCGCGTGCCCTATTTGTCAATTTCCGTTGGTTAGTTGTTAACCCGTCGCAGGTCGGATGGCTCGGGACGATGGTACTCATGATGAAGACCCAGATGGGTCTGGGTATTCTCTCGTTACCCATGGCTTTCCACTCGCTGGGTCTCATCCCTGGAATTATTATTCTCTTGACCATTGCGACCATCACCACCTGGTCGGACTGGATGATCGGTGTCTTCAAGCTGCGCCACCCTCACGTGTACGGTATCGACGACGTGGGACACATGCTGTTTGGTCGCATTGGGTATGAGGTGTTTGGCGCGACATTCTGTCTCTGTGAGTGCGCCCCGTGTCGTTGGATCTGGTCATTATTCTCATGCCATCTAGTTTTGATCTTTGTCGCCGGATCCGCCATCCTCAGCATCTCGATCGCGTTCAATGCTCTCTCGACCCATGCGGTGTGCACCGCCATTTTCGTGGTTGTCGCCGCCATCATCGGTTTCATCGGCTGCAGCATTGAAACTCTGGGCCGTATCAGTTGGCTCGCTTGGGTCGGAGCCGCGTCCATCATTGTATCAGGTATGTCTTCTTTTGGCCGTTCCATGTCTCCATCTAACATCGAACAGTATTCATCGTCACCATCGGCGTCGGCGTCCAAGGACACCCTCCTGCCCAAAAAGACGGCATCATCCCCACCTCCGACTACAAACTCTTCAACAACCCCAGTTTCACCGAAGCCATCTCCGCCGTCTCCACCATCGTCTTCGCCTACTGCGGCACTCCGGCCTTCTTCAATATCGTCTCCGAAATGCGCGAACCCAAGAAATACTCGCGCGCTCTGTTCCTCAGCCAGGGGATCGTCACCACCGTGTACATCATCATCGGTGTTGTTATTTACTACTACTGTGGTTCGTACGTTGCCTCGCCGGCTCTGGGGTCCGCTGGTCGGCTTCTCGAGAAAGTGGCGTATGGCATTGCGCTGCCTGGGTTGATCGCTTCGATGGTTATTTATCTTCATGTATGCCTCCATTGCCCCCTCTGTCCATTCCCCTTGTTCAAGTATCGCAATAAAGCTGACACAAAACAAAACAGCTCTCCGCCAAACACGTCTTCATCCGCTTCCTCCGAGGAACCGAGCACCTGTCCACACATACCCCCCTCCACTGGATCGCGTGGTTCGCCTGTACATTCGGCGCCACAGTAGTCGCCTACGTCATTGCCAGTGGCATTCCCGTGTTCAGCAGCCTGGTCTCCCTGATCGGGGCCCTACTTGGCACGTTCCTCTGCTTCCAGCCGATGGGCTGTATGTGGTTGTATGATAACTGGAAGGTGGGGCAGGGTCAGCGCAGTGTGAAGTGGAAAATGGCGCTGGGGTGGGCTTTGTTTGTTATTATTTCTGGCACGTTCTTGATGATTGCGGGCACGTATGGGTCTATTGTCGCTATTATCGATTCTTATAATGAGGACGGGGGGTCGGGCGCTTGGTCGTGTGCGGATAATTCGGGGTCCAGTTGAGGTATGGGCTTTCTAGAGTCTTACTAGAAGCTATACATACTCTATAATCAATATACACGATTGATATGAACATAAGGATTTCAGCCTATTCTTATCGCCGTGAAGATGGGTAGGAAGAAGCTCAGCCGCATGTTGTTTTTGGACTACCCCGCAGCGCTTAGCGCTCTACCTCACTTGATCTATTGTCTATTTTCTCTTCAACTCACTGGTATCTCGAATAAGAATGCAAAACGCAGAAATAACCTCCAGAAAGGTATGGAGCTCCAACAAATATCAACATATCCAAATAACTGATAGAACCGTATCCTAGACGTCTCTATGCCGTCTCGCCATGACTATCGAATTGGGTGGATATGCGCGCTCCCGGTGGAACTGGCCGCTGCACAAGCTATGCTAGACACAACCCACCCATCGCTGCCAAACATTCCAGGGGATAATAACTCTTACGTCCTTGGAAGCATTGGCGGCCATAATATTGTCATTGCATGCCTACCAGCGGGAACATATGGCACCACCTCGGCGACAGCGACAGCGACACAAATGAGGTTTAATTACCAATCAATCCAGTGCTGCCTTTTGGTTGGTATCGGAGGAGGTGTTCCAGGTCTCGAACCGGACATTCGATTGGGTGATGTGGTTGTTAGTGAACCCATGATGCGCCATGGCGGTGTGATCCAATACGACTACGATTATGACAAGGCCATCGAGAGAGGTCAGTTTATGGTAACCGGGATACTGGATAAGCCTCCAGAGGTGCTCCTCAGACCTCTTGCACGATTGAAAGCTGAGCACCTCGTGCATGGTAGTAGAACAAATGATATTTATGCGCAGGCTCTGGACAGCTATCCACGCCTACGGGAAAGAGTCTTCGACCCCGGTGAGCTGGATGATCGCCTGTTCGTTGCAGATTACAGTCACTCAGGCTCTGCTCCCCATTGTGATCAATGCGATCAGACGATGTTGCATGATCGACCGAGTCGAGCGAATCGTGAACCGCGGGTGTTCTACGGCCTGATCGCCTCTGCGAACAAGGTTGTCCGAGATGCAAAAATGCGGGATCAGCTTGCACAAGATCACGGTATTATCTGCTTCGAAATGGAAGCTGCTGGTTTGATGAATATATTTCCAAGTCTCGTTATCCGAGGAATATGCGATTACTCTGACTCGCACAAAAACAAACAGTGGCAGGGGTATGCAGCCATGATGGCCGCTGCGTATGCTAAGGAGTTGATTATCTTCCTCCCCTTGGATGAGTTAAACGCTCCTGATGAAGTTATTCAAACCACCCGTAACCGGGCCGACCGCCAGGATGTTTGGGGTTCCATCGCAACCGTTCCTCCCGATTCCTGCCTCGTCCTGCCGAATGACATTCCGGACTCGATCCAAAAAACATCGCCCGAACCAAGCACCTCTGATACATCCACGACGAAAGCATGCCCTAACTGGGAAGGCCATCATGAACCCGTCCGATTGTATGAGTCAAGCAAGTGCAGTAAATTCCAGGCAGAACCTGACCTCACGCGTGATCCGATCAGTGCGTATCTCAATGATTCCGACAACTCGAATAGTAGCGACCTTACTCTCCAGCCCAGATATATAAAGCAGAATCCAATGCGAACAGAAACACCTAATAACAGTTCTCGTTGCGACAGCTATGCGGAAAAGGATCATCACTATGTCATTTTCTACCACGTCACATGTTCCACAGAGGGACTACACGAAAGCCACCAGGAGCGGGCCTTCTACCTCGATCATCCGCGACTGTTCAAGGGCGATAGCAAGATGAGTGCTCTGCGGGGCCAGAGGGAGGTCGAGGATGTTGATGAGTATCTCAGGCGGCACAACAAGATTGTCTTCGCAGTCAACAAATGGTTTAAATGTACCGATCATCTCGACACGATCCAAGAATTCTTTCATCCCTTACCAGCGCCAGATGACCCCGAAATTCCCGAGTCAGTCCAACCATACTTTTTCGTTCTTCCAAAGCACAGTCCGCTTGCCGAGATGTCTTCGGAAACTATCGAACTAGTTTCCGAGTCACTCCAGCACGCAGTCGCTGAAACGGGAATGGATTACGATGAACTTGAGCATCGCGGTCGATTTCCCGATATGAAAATGATGAAGCAGCTTATGTACTATGTCAGCCGGTCGAGAGATCATTTGAGTAAACTCTCAGATGACCAGCGGCCTCTTTTTAACATCCTACTAGGGTACATAGAATTAGCTAATGCAGACGAGTACGAAGAGGTGGATAGATTAACTGCAGATGGGCTTATTCCGAAGGAATATCTGTTTAGTCTGTACGGTCCCGAGCAACTCCTGGTAGCCGACTTGGATATCCACCCTCGGGCTTATATTGTGGAACGTTCGCTATCTAATACACGATCAATCTCTTTGAAGCTATGGTCCTGGCAGTTCGATGGGGTATTTTCAAAAAAGAGAATAGACTGGCACCTAGAATGCCCGTTTTCCGTGACGAGAGATCGACTGATTCGCATAACTAGTCTGGAGATCTATCCTCTGAAATATGCTTCGTCTCAGACGATCAACCTCCTGAGGACCAGAGGTCATACATTTTGGAACTGTCGTCGTGGACAATTTGTATCCTACGATTGCCCAAGCGCCGTTCATGCGGTAAGTTTACTCTAAGCAGGCTTGATTAACTTTGCTAATGCCCGTCTCTCAGCGTGATTCACGGTATATGGTCGATGCAAAAACCTATCAAGAGATGCATGGAACTCCTTCTTTCCCGGAGTTGCATGATCTAGGTCCTGATTTAAACGATGAACCCCCTCATATTTTTGTTCTACTGCTTCCACACGAAATACATGCGTTTGGGATTCATGACAAGAAGTGGAGTTCGTTCACCTTTTTTCTACTCGCTCATTCTTTCCCGATAACACGTATTGACTTGGCATAGGAGCTCTCCTCGTGCAGCACATCAAAGAGATAAAATGGAATCAAAGTGCATTCGACCGACTGGTTATGCAACATGAAAAGAAAGAACTCATCGAGGCCTTGGTAACCGCCCGCACACGGTCCACCAGATCGTCTGATATTATCGAGGGCAAAGGAAATGCCCTTGTCGTGCTCCTTCACGGCGACGCTGGAACGGGAAAGACATTAACCGCTGAGGCTGTGGCCGAACTGATAAGAAAACCGTTATACCGATTGACGTGCAAAGACATTGGATCGAATGCAGAGGAAGTTGAGAGACATCTCGAATCTGCTCTATTGATGTGCAGTTCGTGGGGTTGCGTTGTGCTTCTTGACGAGGCAGATGTATTCCTCGAAGAGCGTCGCGAGACTGATATACAACGAAACGCGTTGGTATCTGTCTTTCTACGTGTTCTCGAGTACTACGATGGCATTCTTATTCTCACGTCGAATCGTGTCGCGACCTTGGAAAGTACGTTCAAATCGCGAATCCAATTGGCAGTTCATTACCCGACACTCGACTTCCAAGGTCGATATGAGATCTGGCTGAACTTCATCAATGGTCTCAAGAAAACAAATCCCGATGTTAATATTGATGACCTCAAACGCCACATTCAAGACCTTGCCGCAGTTAAACTCAATGGACGACAAATCCGCAACACCGTTAGCACATCCTTGCAGCTGGCGCAGTCTTGCCAGAGACCCCTCAACTATGAGCATTTCAAACAGGTCATTGGGGTGGCAGAGGAGTTCGAAAAGCATTCTGAGTCTACCCGTGGATACTCGGGTCTAGACTGGGCTGGAGATCGTGAGATTCGACCTGGGTGATACGAATGAATATTCTTGATCTAGCTCAATATGATTTGGTTATATATTTCTGTACGGAGTACCTGGCTGTGACCCACTTGGGGGTAGCTAATAAGTGCTTGTCACCATTTGTAAAAATCCGAAGTGGATCCTCTAGGTATCATGACCGTATCAATTCCATTTTCATTGATTAAAATCACTAATTAATTAAATACAGCTTCCTTGCAGTTGACATAACAAAGTGCCCCTACAGTCAAATCATGTCGACCTAATTGGCTCGCTTTTACCTCCCGGACCCACCTGTGTTATCAGTGATCGCCGTCCATTTCCCGCCCCCGCAGTCTCCGTGTTCTCTCGCTCGTCACTGCTGAAAACACGGGCAAGGGCCTTGTTGTTGAGTGACAATTGTTACACAGTAAGTGACTGCGAACCATATGGTTCATCTGGACACCATTTCAATTCTAAATGTTATCTCCCTCACGGAGATACAAACCCCGGAAACGCAGCAAGACACTCACAGGGTGCTGGACCTGCCGCGCGAAGAGAGTGAAATGTGACGAACGCAAACCGGCCTGCTTGCAATGCAGGACAAAAAGCCTCGATTGCGCAGGATATGGCGTCCGACTCCACTGGTTGCCTCCAGAGCATGGAGTCTCCAAATACTCTCGGGACCCGCCCGACCTGTCCAGCTCTAGGCAACAGAGAAGCCAGATCCCATTCGGTATGCGTGTTTTTATCCCCTTTCCTCGGGTGAGACACTTTACTAAGCCATGTAGAAGTGCGCCACTGTGGTCTGAATGAAGAGGATCTCGACAGGATCCTGAATGTCATCGATGACTTGGCATTAGAATGGGAGCGTGGTGTCCCAAGCAACCGGGATACTCTAGTTGTGGACGGATTTGGTGTCTTCGAGATCCCTCTCTCGGTTCATACTTTACCATCGTCGGTTGCGGCATGTTCAGCCCGACCTTCCCTGTCCAATCTGAACTCTGACCCTGACTAGAACCCCCTTAGAGAGCAGCACGAATCTCTCCCCAGTGCGAGTCACTCGGAACCAATATAGCCTTCCTCCCCTGTTGCATCAGAAAACATCACTCCTTTTGCCCTTCCAGGAGACGACCGAACGGCACTACGTGGAGACTTCGATTTCCACCGGGTGCTGGATACCTTCCCAAGTTACCAGACCAGTTATTCAATATTCAACGAAGCAGAGGACAGTGAGCCCCAGCAAAAAGATGTCCTACGAGTTAATGCTAGAGATATGCACTGGGTAGGGCTAGGTGGAGCCATCATACGCAATCCTTACCCAGCTTATCTCTCGCCATTGGAGCAGTTCCCAATGCATCATTACATATACAAGGCCGTACGGCCGTTCTGCATCTTCGATAACAAAAAATCACTTTGGCAGAAAAAAAAGATCCGTCTAAAGCGGGCTCTTCAAAGCACGGGCCGGATGAGCGTTGAAGGATCAACATCCCGCATCCAAGCTGCGTTGCGTAATGCCCTGTTGTCGATAAGCGCATTTGTTCTTTCAAATGATAATAGATCACGCGGGCACGAAGATGAGGCTGTCAGATGGGTCAATGAAGCGATCGTATTGCGTGGAAAGACCATCAAACTTCTGAAGGACTCTGTGGAGAATGGGTTTGCATGTGGGTCAGCAACCAAGTATAAAGATTACCTGGCTACGGTGCTATCGATAATATCGATTAATGTAAGATATCCAATGATTGCTTCTGTTTGCCAAAGAAGCTTAGCTGTAATCGTTCTAGGTTATGTCTGGTGATACCAACACCTGCGGTGTCCATCTAGACGGTGCTTTACATTTCATAAAGATGGCTCGAACATGGAAGGTCAGGTATTCCCCAAAGGCACGCTCACTTCATCGAACATATATCTACCTACGTACTATTTATGAATGCACATCGTTAAGCCGCAAGGACGTCTTATCACGAACAGCGTCCACTAGCCTCAACATTCCGGAGTTTCTAGATTTCAATGCTGCAGATAAACAATGTATTAATCAAAAACAGCAGCCATGGTGCATTCTGGACACTGATAACCGCATGATCACATTCGAATGTATAGTCTCACCTGGCCCGAATGACCATTTCCTTCCAATTCATGTTGTCACTCATATTCGAACACTGCCTAGAATAAAGCCATATTTTACCATGATCGTCGAGCACATACTTGTCAACCCGCCCGGACTTAGTTCCGATGTATAAAACATCTTCATGGCAAGTCCAGGTACCGCGGTGTTCTGGAGGTAGCCACAAGTAGGTCTCGGTATCTTTGACAATCCAGTTATCCCGTACGGCAAGAAAGTGAGGGCATTCTGACCAGCTCGTTGGAGGATCGCTACCCATGAACCTTTCATCCTCGATCAGTAAGGCGTTCCGTTCTGTGATTATCCGACTACCTTCCTCTGAGAACCGTAGTAAATGTATTGGAGCAAAGGTATTTATCTCATGCAGATGCTCCCCTGTGATAGAATCCCATACTGATATCGTGCAGTTGGTCGAACTTGTAGCTACATACCGATCGTCGGGTGACCATGCAACCCCAAGCGGCTCACTTGAGTGTCCCTGGAGTTCAAGTGGCCGGTCGGACAGGTCCTTGTCTAAATGCCATATCTGGTAGTAATCGCGCCGCTCTTCATCGTTTGAACTGCTTATGATAGCCCGAGAGTCGGACGAGAAACACAATGACCAAATAATAAAGTCATTGTTTGGTCGCCTGAGTTTGTGTATATATTCCTTGAGCTCAAATCCCAAATTGAGATTGTACCAGTCCTGTGAGAGGCAGTCGCCAAAAACTGACCGTCTGGAGAGAAAACCATACTTGTTGCATAGGAACGATCATCATTTGGTAATGTGTACATCATCGTGTCCGAGCCATTTGTCTCAACAGCCCAAATACTGAGATCATTATCCTCGTTGCTGACAGCCAGCTTTAGGCCATCGGCGGAGATAGCAATGCTTCCGACGGATACCGGCGAGGACATCCATCCTTGCCAAAGGCTGTCTGATGCTATCTGGTGGACGTCCCATTGTTGAACGATTCCGTTTGCAAAGCCGAATGCCAATCGACAGCTATCATGCGAGAAGGAAACGGTGGAGCAGCGTGAGATAAGATTATTAAGAGACATTGGCCGCAACTCTGAGTCTGTGGAGTGGAGGTCGAAGAGCTCAATGCTATGGATAAACAAACATACCAGCCACCGGTCATCTGGTGATAGTCGAATCCTCAGTGGTCGGTTCGATAGACTGATCACCCTCTGGGGTTTCCAATCGTCCTCCGTTGTCATTGTATCTAAATCATAAATCTTGGCGTCGTCTTTCCAATCACTGCATACCATTCGTTTGCTATACCGAGAGTAGTTCACTGCATCTCCAGAGACCGAGGGAGACATGGATGTGATGTTGATTGTTTCCGAGCAGCATAGGCTGTCTTTATCTATTCTGCATCCTTTGAGCCCACGAGTCGTAGACCAAATGAGGTAACCGTCATCATCTAGGAACCCTACTGAGTTTGTTACTCCTGGGAACGCACGACAAAGCATGCGTGGGACCTTCTCGGTCAAATCCCATAACCGTAGGTCCCCTCGCCAGGTCAGTGTTGCCACCAACTGACTGTTGGAAGAGAAGGTTATATCTCGGATTCCCACAAGTTTGGCTGAAGTCTCTAGACGATCAGAGTCCGTTGTCTCGTCTTTCTGGGATACCAGCGTAAGTGATTCCCTGCTGTCTATCTGCCAGATATGCACGGAACCATCGTCGAAGCCGCACGCCAGTAATTTGCCATCCGGTGAAAATGCAGAAGTGCACACCTCCAAGTCTAAACTGGATATGGTCTGCAACTTTATCGCTGATCCCATTCCTTCGTCATCCCAGTGCTTGATTATGTCCTTGTTGTAGCTGCAAGCAAGCAAACGGCCGTCAGAGGAGATTTCAAGTCCTCTGATTGCTTCTGGTGGGCCTTGGGACGACTGCAGTAGTGCACCCCAATCTCTTTCTAAATCTCGTCGCATCACGAAATCTTGAGCGAATTGGTCTTTGAACATTTCCCGCACGATACTGTTCTCCGGTAGAAATATAAGCGCCGAAGAATATATCTGAAGAGGGACCAAGTTTATTGTATCCCTGGCTCTTTGCACAAATCGAAGGGCATCAGAAAGAAATCGCGTTAACCGGGTTTGGTGCGTTTCCTGTAACAGCCGTCAGTACACCAACAGCCTTTGCTATTTGGAAGACGACTTGTCAACCAATGATCACTTACAAGTAACAGTTTTTGCATATTCACGAGGTGCTTTGGAATCTCTGGGACCAGATCAAAAATGCTCATCGCTTCCAACCAATGCAAAAAGTGCTTCGTGAAAAATAGGTATATACGGTCCTGGTCAAGCACTACTTTTCCATCCACAAGATGCTTTACCCAGTATCTACAAGCATATCTAATCTCGGGGGTCAAGGCTATCCCAATATTGTCATTTCCACTCCTGAATGATACGGCATCCAGAAGATTGCGCATGTTTCTTCGGAGACCCGTATCATGGTCGGACATGACTCCAAGGCATTGATGAGCCAAATATTGATTTTGCTCAACTGGATCTATCCGGAATGGAATCATGCCAGTAATGCTCTGGTCGATAAGAATGTCTCTCAGTGAAAGGTGCAAAGGGGTGATTGGCATATCATCATACTTGGGTACGACAAGAAGGGAGCGCAGGAGTCTCAATCTCCTCTTAATGGCATCTTGTCGCACTCTGAGAAGATTTGCCAACGATGTTGTTGATAGAGGATTATGGAGAAGAATGATGGACCCGACGATGCGTCGGACATCGCCAAGTATTTCTCGCTTGTCGTTTCCACTTTTGTCTAATATCAATTGGTCCAAAACTGTGCGGTAGGTTTGAACGAGCTTATTATCGGAATGAGGTTGCTGCAGAATCATCTCGACACGTTCTTTGGGGTCGAAATCCTCGTCTCCAACAAATCTACATATTGTTGCAGCGACGATAAACAATGGATTCGCTTTCTCTGTCAGTTTTCGCATGGTCGTTTCAGGCCACCTCGCCGGGACCCCGGGCTGTGCTCCTATTTCGCTAAACTTGGCGTACATATATTTGGAGATGTCACGCTCGACGCCTTCAATATCTTGAAGGACTCTTTCTCGGTATTGACCGTTCTCCAGGTTTTGAAAGCTATTGATAATAGCTGGCTCAGGCCTTCCTGTGATGAAAAACCGCAAGTCCAACTCTTTCACACTCCCTGTTCTCGGTAGGAGTCGGAAAATTTGCATTATGTCCTGGCGATTCTGACACTCGTCGACCGCATCGAAGATGAGAACCAGTATCTGACGCTGAGGCATCCATACATTGCAAAGTGGGTTCATAAACAACTCATCGAATTGCTCTTCCAAGCCCAGGTCAAAGATCAACTCATTCCTTTCAATGACATCCTGAATGTCTTTTTTCAGGCTCGGGAGTAGTTTTGTCAGCTGGTAAATGATTGTCGGTACAAATCTCTTTGCCGAGTCACAGTCCTCTTGGCCTTTCTTAAAGAAGAAAGTTGCTCCAAGGCTTCCTCGGTCTTGGAAGAATTTGGCGAGCGTACGTGAGATTGTCGACTTTCCTGTCCCCGCCATACCATTCAGCCAAAAGAATTGCGTGCCATGAGGATCGTCCACCCAATCTACAATTTCTTGCAAGAGCCCTTCCCTAGTGTCCTTGAAGCAGAGCTCTTCGTGACGGTCTTCCCAGGCGCCATTTATCGCCTTGGCGGCACGAGGCAATTTCGAAAGTTGGAAATTCTGATCAATCTTTTGAATGAGTGCCGAATTCTCTTCAATTCGAGCAAGAAGTATCTCCCCCTGTTGGCTGCTTCGAATGTTTTGGTCAAGGTTGACGAGACTATGGAGATTCTTATCTTCATTTTGGATACTTGTTCGGAGCGTGGATAGTTGCTGACTCGCAAGATCAGGCACCGAAAGACTAATCCAAATTCGTTTGCCCACGCCCATTTCTCGAACGAGAGTCATCTCTAAAGCATATCGCATGATGTTTGCATAGAGCTTAACAACGCTCTCCTCCAACATTACGCGAGCATCTTTGTCACTTTTATGGAGTAGCTTCTCCACTAGAGTATAGCGGGCCAGTATATCTGTGAGAAACTCCGAGGCCTCGAACAACGCATCCTGGAGCGTGCGGTCATTCTGGGTCATCTGCACCCCTGGATCAGTGCAAACAGACGTTTTAAATGGGTCATTAGACATACCGTTAACCCAAGCGATACTACCGCCCAAGCACTTGCTGCATGGCCCGTGGGGTCTGCGGCAGCGATGCTCCCGACTACACTCTGCAATGAACATGCAGTATCGAGGATGCCTTTGGCAGCTCTCCTGACTTTCGATGCGTCATCCTTTGCTTTTCGAACCTCAAACTGAGTCTCAACTGTCTTGATCGTATCTTTCAGCCATATGGAAATGACTGGGTCTTCCGAATATTGGTTGTCGCGATGTTTCTCAGGGATGTCATGACGGATTGAATCTAGTCGCGATCTCTCGTCTGGGTCCAGCGATTCGTACGCAATTTTCCAGAGATTCTTAGGAGTAAGGACTGGCTTCTCCTCGCCTTCCTCTGCAACTGCGAACTTGTCTGACTCGGCGACGACTTTATTCGCGTTGCTAAGATCTGCGTTTGTCGCGTTCTCTCTCTCATCATCTTTCTTCTTGGAACTCCATCTTTTGGGCCAGTGAATCCTGCCTTTTCCGAAAGGCATTGTTTCTCTACCAATCGATGACAGTAGAGCCTCTGGTGTTTAGCAAAAATTCGAAGGGAAGCCGCCGAGTGCAACGCCGGGTGTCCATGATTTAAACATCATCAATTCGTTACGTGTGTTTTTTTTCCGGGCTCCGGTCTTCCGCCTGGACATCGGTAAGCGCCGTCCCCAAGCCACAAGAGCTGAACCCCTCATTCTTGGCCAATAATTATAAGACACGCAGACGCACATAAGCAAGTGCTTTTGGGTAAACATGACAAACTGTACTAGCCAGTCACTGTGCTTCACGGGAGTCTAGGAGTCAGTGTGGTCCAATACTTTCCATCCCGGAGGGAGTTTGCACCACGATATACCGGAGACATAACTTGCTCCCTGGACTAACTAGGCAGAAGACTTACCAGGAAAGCCAGATCAATGGTCGAATGAAAATAGGCAAGAGGTAAACCACTGTTTAAAAAACTTTATTCCCAATCACTCAACACATAAACTGTGAAATAACAGAAGTAAGACCAACCACAGTCAACTGACGCTTTACACTAAGAACATCTCTTTTTATATATGCTCACAGCGCAAAATCTCATCTGCTTTTTGCAAAACCCGCCTCTCGCCAAGGGTCGACGCCGCGTCATTCGCATTCCATTTTCCAAGCCCGACTGACCGCAATCCCTCTTCGCTAGTAAATTCCTTCATATCATTGACCGTCGTACGGCCCACGTGTTCACTTTCGCCCTTTCCTCCAGGGAAGTCAGGTGGAGGAGCACCAACCAGGAAGTCGTTCTTCTGCCGTTTGACATATTCTGCGTTGGCTTCGGTCACCGGGCAGGCAGGAATGTACATGACGCTGGAGTCTCCAGATCCATTATGGAGCTTGTCGACGGCGTGGATTGCTAAGATTGGTTAGTTAAGCCGTTGTATAGGGGTACGGATGGGGCAGAATCTTACTGTCACAATGCCAGGCAACGTAGTCTCCCGGGGCGATCTTGGGAACATGAACCATCGTCTTCTCGAGTTGGAGGTGAGGATGCAGAGCGATGTTCAGTTCCTGGGCGTATCCCGGCGTGGCGCCTTCTAGTTTGCTGGACGTCTCCCGTTCCAGCCTCCAATTACTTGCGTCAAAGAAAGTGTCTAGAGCAAGCTGCGAGCAGTCCTGAGGAGGTGAGTAGACAGGCTCGAAGAACGGTCGGAGCAGGAAGTATGCCGTCGCCATCGAGAGAAGCGGATTCACGAGCAATGTTCCCCCGTTTGGTCCCGTGTGTGACATGCTCAGCCAAGCCTGAAACATTCGGAACATGGAACATGCGCCCGCTCCGTTATAGAGGTCGGCTTCGGCTGAAATCCGACAGCTGGCCTCCCATGGATCGTATTCTTCCCATTTGCCCTCCCAGATGCTTTTATATACGTTTCCTCGGCCGTAGCCGTTGTCTTACCATCGCTCACAGCTTCCTCCATCGACGTGTGGTCCAAGAGCAAATCCGGCGTCTCCTGGTTGGCGAATTCGTAGTCGATCGGCATAGCTGAGCGGCTGGAGAGGGGATATCATGGCATCGGGGCCGTTGGAATGCCAGAAGCTCATAAGGAACCGCTGTGCCTTGAGCATATTGGGGTGCGCTCGTGCACGCATTTGGGGCTTGGACCAGTAGAGCTCGTATACCTGGGGGTCATGAGGTGGGAATGCTAGGAACTATCAGCACACAAGAGCGGAGTATTATGCAAGAACGCAATGTCTACCTTTCGTTTGGGGATTCGCTCTGACATAGTCCTCGATCTCTTCTTTGTAACCTCTAGCTTCATTTTCTGGTATCACTCCTCGGATCACCGCAACTCCCCGCTTCCTTAGTTCATCTTGAAATGTCTTTGGGGCGTTGTGGATGTTCTTGAAATCGATTGATGGGATGATATCCGATCCCCGATCTTGAATGAGGCGGACTTCTTCTTGCATTGATGAGAGAAGGCGCTCCCAACTTCTCTGTACTGGTTCTTCTCGATCAGCAATGAGTCTTCTCTTCTGATCTGCGAATCTTCTCGGGAGAGGAGACTTCTTGTTCCCGGACAAGGACACAAACACCGAGGAGATGTCGCCCTCTTTCCGGGCTTCTTGCGCTGTGGACATGAATTTGAGTCTGTACTGTGGACTTAGGGACTTGAGTGCCCGCCGCGTAAGGGCAACACGTGTCGAAGAATGAAATTGCATCATGAAGGAACTTAAAGCTTGTGGTATAGACAAGCTTGTCGCGTTATGTAATTATGTATAACAAAGGGCAGAGAAAGACATCGGATGCCGTGTAGCTGTGAATGTAAGATCAAAGAACGCTAGACTGGAGGTATTTATATACCTGCAGACGCGAAATCTGTGGTAGGATTAATCAGGAGGCAATATTCTGCGGCATTTCTGTTCGGGCTGTTCTTCGTCGTTCTCATACTGGGGCGGGTAGGTTTCCATATTAGGAAGTGTACCCGCCATCCACAGAAGATCGAGTTGACATCATGGGCGAGATTTTAGCACACGGAAGACAACCGGGGTGGAGAATGATACGAAAGCCATGGACACATTGCTTTGTCTTCAGCTTCCTGATTTCTGGATACTATTGGACATTTAATTCCGAACGCGGCAAAATAGTCGGCTTACAAGGGTGGCCGAACCAGCGACACTATTGCGGTTTGAATTCTTCCATGTCATTCCGTGTCTTCTGGGCTTTTTTGGTGAGACGATTGGATCTCCCAGGTATATTTCGCAGTCTATCGGTCAATAAGTTTGAGATATAGCTTCAAGAGTTTTCGGTGAACACCATCTACATTCTCTTGACCACAAATGTTGTATCTTCTTTCCCTCCCATCCCCTTCGCCGTAACAGCATACTGACCATTCACCAAATCTTTCATCGTCAGTTCCGTGGTCCGCCCAAGACCTTCCAGCTCATCCAACCGCTCGGTCGTCGCCTCCAAATGTTCCTCGAACGCCGGATCACCAACTACCGCCCGGAAGGCATTCTGCATCGGAACCGAGTCGGCCTTGACTACTCCATTGGCGTCAATGGCAAATATATTCATCTGATCCAGCTTGTGGAGGAAGTCGGCTCGTGTCATCAACTCTTGCACTTTGTGGATGGGCATCCCTGGGATCTCGGCACCGCCTTTAGGATTGACACCCTTGTTTTCTAGTTCAACGAGAGCTTTGGCGAGGAGCATTGCGGCGTGCTATCCTGCTGTTAGTGCTACCCTGTTTTGGATGGTTTGGGATAGGTACAGATCACGTACACAGTAGTCCTGTTGGTCCTCGGCCTTGTCGTCCATCTCCGCGCCTAGTATCCAACACTGGGACAGGAGCCATCGCTTTTCCTTTTCGCAGATCGATTCACACATCCTGAATAGATCTCTGGATCTCGCGACTTGTTCCAAGAATATCAAACGCCCGCCTACTCTGTCATAGGCCTGTGATAGAATGTCCACCGACATTGTCTCATTGAATTTCTCTTTTCGGTACGTCTGCATGGCCGGGATGGCAGTTTCCTTTGGTACGTCCCGCACGTTCAGTACTTGCATGCGAGTAGCGTGTGGTCGCAGTGTTTCCGTCGTGCGGTACTCATCACTTGTGAAAATGAGGGTGACAAGCTCACTTGCTGCCCATAGCTCAGCGCGCTGCTGCAGCAGAGTGAGGAGGTGTTGTCCGTCTGCGCTATCTGGGAGAAAATGGATATTGTTTACGATGAGCGTGAGCGGCCTGTTTAATTTCGACTTGCGCTTCAGCGCCACCTTTTCCAGCTTGTTCAAGGCGCGCTCGATATCAAGTAGCGGTGTGGCTTCACGAGGTCCTCGGATGTTAAACAGCCCTCCGACGTAGTCTTCGTGATATTCATAGTCCAATGCTTTACCCAGTCGTAGTCGGAAGACCTCCAGATCGCTATGCGCCTCTAGCATAGCCACTCCGCTCCCTTGAACCTTTCTCATGGCGTCAAGCAGCATGGTCGTTTTTCCAGTTCCCTTTTCCCCGAAGAGTAGGTAGTAATTTCCTCTGATTTTGCCGGACACGATGGAATCTATCGTCGACTGTTCCGGTCGCAGCACTTTAAACCGCAGTTCATCATCTTGGACCGGCTCTTCGCCTGGCTCTGGCGGAACTCCGTGTTGAGCTAGGGCGGCTAATTCCAGCGTGGAGAACCCGCTGGAGAACGCGTTGTTGATCTTGTGCAGTACTAGACTCTTGTAGTAGATATGATACGTATATCCACCCAGTGCTAGAATCATGAGAGACCCGAGCGTAGTGATAGAGGTCTCGAGGAATTTTCGAGGCATACTCTCATTCTTCTCACCTTTTTGCCAAGATTTGCGGGGCTTCTGCCTAGGGTTGGCGCCCAAATGCTGTGATTCCTGAGTTTGCCATGCTCGCTGGCGAGAGAGATCTTGTCGTCTCACATGGCGGAGCAGAAGTCCTGCTTAGACGCGTTAGCAGAGTTGAACATGTAAGAACAAGTGGAGTCGTTACCAAGCTCAGCTTGGGAGATTCTGCGAGGCATCTTAGATGCGCGGTTCAGACTCCTTTATGGCGACTGTTTATGACACCATTACTCATCCAGACATGGTGCAATCAGTTACATATGCGATGTTCGAGGAGACCAGGTTAGAGGAGCTTTTTTTAGGCATCAGGCCGGGGACGATGCCTCGTATTTGCGTTGATATTAGGTTGTTGATGCCAGATCGGAGATGCGCTGCTGACGGCGAAGGTAAACAATGCAAACAACGCAAACCCTGTGCATGCACCGCCATGTCTCCAGCCACACTCTATGCCTCAGGCAGCATTATCATTGTGGCTTGCTTCACCAAGAGGAATTTAGACGATCTCAATTGGGGGCATGTTAACTCCATCTGTGGTTGGATTTATATCAACTTTGGCTGGCCTTAGAGCCGGAGAACTCAGCCGGCAAATTCGTTGTTGATCAAGGATGATCCCTGGGCGAAGTATATGCTTCAAGCGACCAACCGAAATTCTTGATTCTTACCACACATGAAAGTAATTCACCATAGGGTCTTTTTCTTCGCGCCCAGAATATTTAGAGACACACTTATTATAACAATTCAATTAATTCGTAGCTAGATCGAAGGCATGAGTAGTAAACACCGAACAACAATTTGTCGACAACGCCATCGGAGCTATCCGACGGCGGATGCATCCGACCGTGCTGCCTCGGCTTCACCAATCAATTGGCCTTGAAAGACTTATGTTCTGGCTTTCTGGACTAATACGTACAGTGGCACGATCGATTGGTTCACTATGTTGACAAAATATCTCACCTCACGCTGCTCACAGCGGTGGAGGCTACCTCTTCCTTCTGTGTCAAGACGCCTAACATCCTATGCAACACCCGCCACGGCATCACTAAGTCGACTAGAACCCCATCACCGAGTAGATCTGAGTCAATTCACGAAGAAAGTTGAGCAACTTCGAGACAGGTACCGAGCTACCTTCTACCCCTTCTTCAAGGCAAATCTAACAGACTCAAAGACTGAAACGGCCTCTCTCCTACGCCGAAAAAGTCCTCTACAGTCATCTAGACGACAGTTTCGACGAACGCATCACCCGCGGATCCTCGCAATTGAAGCTCCGACCTCTACGAATTGCGTGTCAAGATGCGACGGCTCAAATGGCTCTTATCCAATTCATGTCAGCCGGGCTCGAATCTACCGCTGTGCCGACCACCGTGCACTGTGATCATTTGATTGTTAGTCGTGATGGAGAAGCGGAGGATTTGCCTCGTGCGCTGGATGCTCATCGCGAGGTATACGATTTCATGGAGAGTGCGTGTCGGAAATATAATATGGGGTTCTGGAGGCCTGGAGCTGGTATTATTCATCAGATTGTTTTGGAGAATTATGCGTTCCCCGGGGGCATGATTGTTGGAACGGATTCTCACACGCCGAACGCTGGTGGACTAGGTATGGTGGCTATCGGGGTTGGAGGTGCTGATGCGGTAGATATTATGGCTGGATTGCCGTTTGAGATGATCGCGCCGAAGCTGCTGGGCGTGAGGCTGACAGGGTCGCTTTCTGGATGGGCTTCACCGAAAGATGTCATTAACACCGTGGCGGGGAGGATCACCGTGAAAGGAGGGACTGGGTATATTATTGAATACTTTGGCCCTGGTGCGCAGACTCTCTCGGCTACTGGAATGGCGACGGTGTGCAATATGGGAGCTGAGACGGGAGCCACGACGTCGATCTTCCCATATGCGCCGCAGATGTCGGACTATCTGCGTGCAAATAACCGTTCGGACATGGCTGCTGCTATGGAGAGCGTATCGTGTGAGCTTTCTGCCGACACGGGTGTGGAATATGATCAGGTCATCGACATCGACCTATCCACGCTGGAACCATGTATTAATGGTCCCTTCACCCCTGATCTTTCGACTCCGCTGTCCAGGTTCGGTTCTGCGGTCAGAGAGAACGAATGGCCTGAACAGCTTACTGCTGGTCTGATCGGGTCCTGCACGAATTCCTCGTTCGAAGACATGAGCAAAGCGGCCAACATTGCGCAACAGGCGTTAAACGCAGGACTCAAACCAGCTATGCCCCTGCTCATCTCGCCAGGCAGTCTTCAAACCCGCGAGACTCTCCAGCAGGCGGACATCCTGCAAGTATTTGAGAAGCTTGGAGCGACAATGCTACCTAACGCATGTGGCCCTTGTTGCGGGTCGTGGGATAGAGCTAATATGCCCAAGGTACGTTCCACTCTCTTATCCCCCCTCAACACGAACATAACATAGTCTAGGGGACCAAAAACTCTATCATCACCTCCTATAACCGCAACTTCTCCGGCCGTCTGGACTCCAACCCTGCAACCAACGTCTTCCTCGCCTCTCCCGAAGTCGTCATGAGCAAGGTCTTCTCATCAGGTCTATCCTTCAACCCTCACCTCGACCCCTTGACCACCCCTTCAGGCGAGAAATTTTACTTCACGCCACCAACAGGCGAAGCCCTACCATCATCAGGCTACCAGAACTCCGACACAGCCTACCAATCCCCACCATCGGGAGACCGCAGTAATCTCGAGGTTCAAATCCATCCATCCTCGCAGCGTCTCCAAAAGCTAGCTCCGTTCCCCCCATGGTCCAGACAAGACTTCGAAAACTGTCTCATCCTCATCAAAACAGTCGGGAAATGCACAACAGATCACATCACCCCGGCAGGTCCGTGGTTCCGCTATCGCGGACACTTAGAAAACATCTCGAACAACACGCTCATCAGCGCCGTGAACGCCGAAACACAAAAGGTGAATACCGTACGCAACCAGCTCACAGGCCAAGATGGAGACGTGCCAGCCACAGCCCGCTACTATCAATCTGAATCGATCCCCTGGTTTGTCATTGCAGATCATAATTATGGGGAGGGATCGTCGCGGGAACACGCTGCCTTGCAGCTGAGGTATCTTGGTGGAGTGGCTATTGTTGCGAAGAGTTTTGCGAGGATTCATGAAGCGAATTTGAAGAAGCAGGGGATGTTGGCGTTGACTTTTGTCGATGAGTTGGATTATGACAGGATTAGGGCTTCTGATCGCGTGAGTATTCTTGGATTGAAGGGGTTGGAGCCGGGGAGGAATTTGGGTCTTAGGATCAGTCCGAAGGAGGGAGAGGTGTGGGAAACGGAGGTGAGGCATTCGTTTACGGAGCAGATTCGGTATTTCAGGGCGGGAAGTGCGTTGAATTTGATCTCCAGGAATAAGACGTGATTGATATAAATACAGAATATAGTATCTTGTTGTTAATTGTATTGATTGGGTAAAATAGTTTTGTATGATAGGGGTGTTGAGGATAAGATTTTGATAGGTATTATCTCTTGACTAAATTGTTGATTATATGGAACTTTTTTCGTCAGCCACGATGTTATCTTCTCTTCTTTCAACGACATGTCAACGAGGTACATATTGATTCAAGTGAGCACCTTCTAACAGAAATAACTACAGTATTGATCCCCAATTCCCTACTCAGAAACTCCATCATCTTTCCAGAAGATCCGACCTTCAAAAAGCCTCCTCGCCGTGCGGAAAACTGTAGCAAAGCTCAACTGCCCTTCTTCATTGAAATCGGCCCCGACAAGAAGATTCCCACTCGCATGGCCGATCGTGATACCGGCCGGATCAACAACCTCCTTATTCGATACCTGAGCAACCGTACTCCCTGGCACGCGAGCGGCAGCAGCTAATGCCAGCGCTACGGTAATCGGGACAGCTTTATGTGGTTGACCGACTGAAAGAGCTCGAGCGACGAGGTCGACGTCACTAGGTGTTTGTTTCTGTTCGGTGCTTCGTGCGTTCGACTGAGGGGATGAAACAAGACAAATCTTGGGGATGCTTCCTGGGACTGAGGCGGTGTTGTCTGAGATTCCCATTGCTACGCCTGCTTGGCGGCGGATGGAGTTGAGTCGTTGTAAGAGCTTTGCGTCGGCGGTGATTTCGTCTGGGGTTAGATTGCCCTCAACACCTAAGTCGCTGGCCTGTACGAAAACGCATGGGTTGCCGACATCAATGCATGTAGCTGTGACGCCGTCGAAAACGTTCGTGACGCTTCCCGTGGGAAGTAGTTTTCCCGTCACAGATCCGGCCGGGTCGATGAAGTCGAGTTGGATACGTGCTGCCGTTCCAGCTACACCGTCGATCGAGAAATCGCCACTAGCTGCTGCCTCTCCGTCAATGCCAGGGAAGGAGGCCCGTATGATCTTTCCGGTGTTGGTGTTGTGAATCCGAATCGAGGCCGAGTCGGCCGAGTCGGGCTTGACTAGCTCTGCGTCAATCGCAAACGGACCGACCGCGCTGATCATATTGCCACAGTTGCTAGAGTAATCGACATCGGTGTTCTTTATGCCGAGAGAGACAAATGTATAGTCGACATCCGCGTCATGGTGCGTGGACTTTCCGACCACACAGACTTTGGACAGACTGGAGATCCCGCCTCCCAGTCCATCCAGTTGGCGACCGTGAGGATCAGGGCTGCCGATGACGCTGCGGAAGATATGATCCCATTGAGCGCGACTCGTAGGTAGGTCTTGCTCGTTGAAGAAAACGGCGCGAGATGTGCCTCCGCGGTAATAGGCTGCTGGAAGGGATCGTTGCTTCCGGCTCGCCGCGACGCTGGTCGAAATCAATCGATTCTCTGAAGGGGCATAAAGCCGAGACGCAGGGCGTGAGATAGCACTCGAGGCTGTTCGTAGCATTCCCAACATGATTTTTGATATGTGTTGTCAGCAGAATTAAACGGAGCTTGATCGTTCCAGACTAAGGAAGGTTAAAGACTAAAAGGCCGGCGATTCCGGGGAATGACGATCTCCGGTTATCGGCAAAACACTCCCTTCGGATGCATCCGACCTCTACCATACGTCAGGCGGAATCGGACCATTCTGAGATCAACCTCATGGGTATCTCCGTTCATTAGACTGCAGACTTGGTGCTTTCAGTATGCTACATCAATTCGAGGCCTGTCCTTTGGTCCACTTTTGGAATGTTTCCGTGGCTGTTGTATTCTGACATCACCGAGGCAACTTCGGCAATAACGGATAACACGGATCATTGAATGTTATCGTCTTGTTGGAATCGTCCGGTCGCTATGATGCACACGTACATCTTGGTCCCGAAAACCAGCTTTGAGTCTCGAGTAGATTCACCGGGTATTTGAAGGCCATTGATGTTGGCTGCATAAAATTCTTGAACGGCACCAAGACCACGAATATTTGTGCGTTTCCGAGCTTAATCGAGCTCATGTACCATTACCAGTTGCAATTGTTCCTCTAGGACAATATATTCCAAAAATCTGTGGAACCAATATCAATCCCTTCGACAAACAAATCAGACCACGGAACATCGACCCGGACATCAGGGAAATGTGGAGACATGCCCTGAGGATCTTCGCTAAGCACTGGATGCGGCGCTGCTATATGAGTCTGAAGGCCAAACCATGATTGGAACTCGGTGTCCACCTCGGAATCCACGGCATTATTAGAGGTTGATACATCGTCAAACAGGGTGAGGATGGAATTTCCTAGTCGTTCGACAATGTTGGAGCATTTTTCGCCAACTATGCGGCCATTGGATATCCCTCGGAACAGAGTCAGGAATGTAAGAACGTTGGTTTGTACGACAGGTTTAGTGAGTTCTTGTCGGAGTGGTGGCGAGGCTCGCAAGGCGTAGAGCATGGTGACGGCCGCCATGAACAGCGAGTGGATAGCAACAAACGTATATTTTATTTTGTTTCTCGCGTAGAGCGAGCTATACGAGCTGATCAAGCCAATTGCAGACTCGGTGCACACCCGCAGGTCACTAGATGATGGCATTGGAACAGCGCGGGAAGGTCGATATAGCGACAGGACGGCGTGATGGAAGGCTATTTGAAACCATTCCATGGACTGGAATGTGCACGCAGTGCCGATGTACCTAGGTGCGGTGATCAACCAGTGATTGAGCTCTGCAAAGTACGAGTCCCGCCGCTTACGGGGCTCCTCTTGCTGGGTGGCAGTGCTACCGATTGAATGGAACTCTTGGTAAATAGCTGCATTCAGTCGACGCAACTTGATGATATGAATGAATGTTGACGTGTCGGTGGACTGTGCTATTAAAGTCTCTACCGGTGTAGGAACTGCCTGGAGGAAGTTCAACTGGTCGTCAGTCAGTTGAAGTGGTAAGGGGGTTGTGATATCAGAGTCTTGTATCCCCAATGGTCGACCCATGTTCACAGCCATGCTACAGTTCATCACGTATGTGCTCCAAAACACCCGTTTAATCATTTCTGCTTGCAGACTGTCAAGACCTGACAAACTCTCTTTGCGGTGTAGGTCGATCCCGATGGCCAACTGAAGTGCCATGCCGATAGTGTACCATATGTTGACGGACTGCGGCTCGTTATGGCCATACATGCAAAGGAGCAGTAGGCACTGGACGCATTCAAAGTCGTCGGTTGACATAATGGCGGACAGATGCCTGACTGTTGCTTCGAAAAACAGTCGATGAATTTGGTCATGCCCTGGTCTGACTCCGGACCTTTCGGCCGCTGCAATAGCGCAAACGATGTTGACCATGAATGTGGACACTGGGTTAACGTCGGGGCCTTCAAGGAACGGAGACAAATGTTTAGTAACAAAGCTTTGTCGATGTAGAACTGGCAAATAAGGCCATCTGTAGGTGAAGAAGACATCCACGAGGTCCTCGTATACAGCTTGATCGAAATCTGCCAGGTTGACCGGTTGTGGTGTGGCATTGAACGGCGTCATATCATCTCCCCATAGCTCCCATGCACTACTAAGCGCACTTCGATTCATGCCTTTTGCTTGAGGTCGCTGGGAGAAGGTGGGTCGAAGAATCCGGCTAGAGGATCGAGAATCCGGGCCTGCCGGGAAGTCATCATCCATATGCAGTCTGACATCAGCATGGTTATTGTTCGGCGGATTCGGCGCCAAGATGGGTAAATCGGAGACAGTGGTGCTGTGCTGCATGCGCATCTGTTCGAATTCTCGGAGTAGGTCATCATAGCGATACTGCAGTGCATCTAAACGCGCCCGAAGCACGTCACACTCGCGAGTATCGCTGACCTGCTGGACCACCAAGCGCTCCGACGGAACGCATTCGGCACCCGCCGACGCGCAGGGACTGCATATCGGGGCCTTGCCGTCACACTGCCGACTCATTAGCGGGCGAGCCCATCTCCAGCCACGATCGGGCGGCGTGGACATGCCTTTTGCTTCCGCCTCCTACATCGTTGACAGGCTGCGGCATTACGCGTCAATCCGCGCCGATGGCGCCGAGCTACTGACCTGGGAGACTCTTCGCTCATGTTTCGATGTCAGAAAGCGCAAAGAAAGGATGGAGAAGAGAGAAATCGAGAGACGCGACTACTCAGTGAGAGGGCACGTGATACTGCTGACTCATGCCCCAGGTCGACTTGTGATTGGCTGCAGGAGAAGTGTAACTAGGCCTGCGTTTTAAGGCACCCATTTGGGTATTGGAGTAGAAAGTCTGGAATAGATTGCGCTTGCCTACTCATATAATCTCTCAGGATTATCCTTTAGCATCTGTCGCATCATCTCATCTCCCAGCCAGTCCATCAGACTCTGCAAAATCCCCCGGTCATCGATCTCTCGAAACGGTTCCTTTACATCTAGATTTCTCCGTGCTCGATTGCTTCCCTCGCCTGTATGTGGCCAGTCACTGCCCCAGATAATCTGATCGGGTACCTCACTTGCGAGCATCTGTATAATTGGCCGCAGATCACTATAGTTGCTCCCTGAATCGTCCGAAACACGGTACAACCCAGACACTTTGACCACAACGCGGGATTGACGTGCCAGTGATACAAGCGATTTGAATCCCGGCTGTGATAATGCGTCGCCATCAGAGCCAGTCCCTAGCTTAGATGTCCCCAGCATGCCTCCCAGGTGGTCGGCAATGACCACTACTGGAAGGGACTGGATAGTGTCATGCAGAACTTGCATCCCACGTCAGCACACTAGAAGTTTCGCTCTTAAGGTGGTACTGACCATCCCATGTCCAACCCGGAACAAATAGCTGAATCAAGCATCCCGGTAGGTGGTGGATTCTCTCTGCGGCTTGGCGTAAGACAGATATCAATCTCGTTGTATCAACCTCCTTCCCGTCAGCTTGAAAATTCAACCTGATCCCTCTGGCTCCTAGCCGATGCATTTCGTCCAGTTTGTCGTCAGTCACGCGCTCCAGATCGACAACCACGATTCCATAGGCCGTGATTTCTCGCCGCTTTAGCTCCTGTAGGCATTTCATGAGAACTGTGCAGTCTGTCTTATAAGGTGATGGTTGAACGAGCACGAGTCTCGTGGGTTGCTGCTCGGTTGATAACGCTTGATTGAATGCGAGAAGCTTCGAGAGGGGTGCATCTTCTGGGGTGTATGCTCGTCCAGAGGCGTATGGGCCTAGTAGAGGATTGAATACGTGGACGTGCGTGTCAAATGATCCTGCCGGTAACAAGAGGGGTCTTGATCGCTTCATCATATTAGACGCACAGTGGAGGTGTCGCATTGAGCTTGTTTCTTGGCTGTTCGGCTGGTCGAGATACGTGGGGGCCATTGAAAATCTCATAAGATCGCTTTCTGCATGCTTTCTGGGCGATTTTTACGCATAGCATCCGGGCGACCTGGAGACAATATCCCAATTGTATCCTAGGCCTTTGCTACTGATCGGATGAGTCCGACATCTCCACTCTCGGATGCTTCCGACCGGAGACAACACGAGATTCGCAGCTTTTTATTTGATGAGCCGTAAGAACCAATAAATTTAGTTATTACTCTGTGATAATTTCAAACTTCAGTATCCAATTTACTAGAAGTTATCCCGGTCGCAAAGGCATAATGGCGCTTCATGCTTCACCAACCGCGCAACCTCACGACGCGCAGGCTTCCGACGCGCAAGAACGACGCCCAATTCCATTTCGATATCTAGCCGTGGGCGCGTTTATGAATATATTCCAAGGTATGTATCCTTGCTGCCATTATCACGATATCCTCTAACGCAAAACTAGTCACCTCCCTCGGTCAACCCATGGAGGTTCTCAAAACACATGTAAACGACCGTAGCATATTTAATTTCAAGATCGGATGTTTAACAAGTACGAAAATATCTAGCTGGCAGCTAATAGACATGATACTTTACGTGACGCTATTTCAAAGACCTGGGCTCGTGGGGGAGTGTCTGCATACTATCAAGGACTAATTCCGTGGGTATGTTGTTTACCTGGCCTCCCAAATATATACTCCCGAATCTCGGCAGAACACCGACTAAACGCATCCAGGCCTGGCTTGAAGCCTCCACCAAAGGCGCCATCCTCGTTCTCACATCTAGCGAGATCGAATACCATGCGCGAACAAAATTCAGCGCCTCGCCTACGATGTGCGGTGTGTTGGGTGGTATCGGCGGTGGCATCGCCCAATCCTACTTGACGATGGGGATGACGACATGTATGAAAACCGTCGAGGTGACGCGGTCTAAGCTCAGTGTGCAAGGCGCGAAAGTGCCCGGCGCGATGGAAACGTTCTTTAGTACTCTTCGTGAAAAGGGACTCCGTGGTGTTAATAAGGGGGTGAATGCGGTGGCCCTGAGACAGGTGACCGGGTGGTCGTCACGTATTGGGATCTCGCGGTTCGCGGAGGAGAGTATCCGCTCCGCTACAGAGAAGAGGGAAGGCGAGAAATTGTTGTTTGGGGAGAAGATACTGGCGTCGACGATTGGGGGTGCGTTGAGTTGTTGGAATCAGCCTTTTGAGGTGAGTTGGTCTCATTGCTGTTGGCAGGTAGGAGGTATTGATGTTCGATAGGTTCTTCGCGTGGAGATGCAATCGGTGAAGCAGGACTCTTCACGTCCGATCTCTCCGACGATGGTCTCGACGTTCCAACACATTCTTCGGACGTCCGGTGTACGAGGCCTCTTTCGAGGCGTCGTGCCTCGAATCGGCGTCGCAGCGTGGGCTACGATCTGTATGGTGGGATTCGGCGATACCTTGAAAGAGATGATTCAGAAGCGATAGTTTGAGAGTGTACAGCCTGCACTTTCAGCTGCACTGATACCCTCATATCACTTCGCCGCAATCTAAAAATACGGATAGTCCAATAACCCCGCTTAACGGATCCATATCATCCCACGTCGACTGGGAGTGGGGGAGAACCAGCTTCGTTTCTTGGGTTACATTGAAAGCAGGCTGGAGACCACGACCAGATCCCAATCAAACCGCGAAAATATTGTTCCCCAGAATTAATCTACCCAGTGACGCCAGGAAGAACAAGACCGGCCTCTTACGATAAGCTACGCACATCACCCGAGATAGACCAGACTATTCTCTGACACAGCCTCGTCCGTGTGGGTCTGCTGTGATCGCTTAATTTTATTAATTTCAGTAATCCAGCCTTATGCATCTCGCATAGCCCCCAAACTTGACCAGGGGCTGTCCAAGCCAGGGGTTCGTGATACAACATCTTGGCAGGAGAATTTCTTTGCTCCTTCGCGTAGTTGTGAGAGCTTGTGCGGAAGGATTTGACGTAGGGGTTGCGCAACAGCGCAGAGGAAGGAGAGAAAATTTGGCAAGAGCAGAGCGATCGCTAAAAATTTCATCAAATCCTCTTTGGTGTGTCATTGGTAGACACCCATAATGCCTAATGGCTCATTCATCTCCGTTTCGTTTACGGAATAATCCCTGCGTTTCTAGTTTCTAGCCGCGATGGGTAAAGCACGTATCAGATTGAGTCATTTGATCCCTCCTGGGCTCATTTCGGAATTAAATTTGCCCTGCTGGGCTGCCAAGTTCTCGAATTCGCCAATGCCAGCACCATGTGCGGGGACCACACGTTGAGGTTCGATGACATCGATGGCGGTGCGGGTTAAAAATACGACAAACGGCCATATCTCGGAGCCTCACAACGTAGTTTGAGACTTGGGAGTGGGCAAAGAAGGCAAAGAAACGGTTCACTCCGCCAGTTAGATGACCATCTCAACCGGGATCAAGGTGCCAAGGGTCGTTGCCATTGGGCATCGCCGCTCGGATGAAGGCTGTCCCTTGCATCCGAAGTATCCTGGAACCTTGGCGGTTACAGCATAGGGCTGTGGCTGCCACGCCGTCCTGTGATTTGGATGTTATTCGCGCACAGTCCTGCGTCAGCCGAGGTCTTGAGTGCATTCCTTGCGCGATATATTTGGATGCCTGGTCAATAACCAGGATGAATGGAACCAGCCACTGTCGGCGCAGTCATTCTTTGGACACCGATGACAGGCTGAAAGGACCGTTACAAGGACCGAAGCACTGCCAGCGCACTGTAAGGGGCGCGTAGCCGCGCGAGTCAGCAACCGGAACTGGCTCACCAACCAGAATACCCCTGTCAGCAACAGGGATATTTGCTTTCGTAGTATCTTCCATAGTCCGCAGCGAGCGACAAATCTTGCCAGTGGGATCTCCGCTGTGCGATCATCGGTGGGTCAGCTTGAGAGGTTTGTGGGTCTTGATGGATCCCCGGAAGTGCTGTTTATCATGTTCTTTGTTTGCTGGCAGACAAAGAAACCAAGTCAGGCATTACCGCCTAGAATGCAGTGCCATGCACGTGCATGGATTGGGCAGAGGGTAGTGGTGGTGGTGGATGAGTGAGATCATGAGATAGCTGTTCATTGTCGCCCGATTCCGGTCACATTAGGCTGGACGCTGTCGAGGCTGTCGAGTCTGTTCGAGACAAACATGTTCGAGTTTCATCGACGCAGGGATTTTGGTCGAGCTTAGTTGACCAACACGAAGGGCGAGAGCCGCCAGGAATGAATTCAGGGGGAACGGTATGCCGAATAGCAGGGCAGCCAGCCCCAATGGCAGAGAGCCAGGGGGTGTTTCGCCCCCGACACTACTGGGAATGGCCCCCAAGGGCAGGTTGGGAGATGAAGCCGTAGTGCCTCTCAGGGCTGACGGGTGGCCATCCAGCGGCCAATGACGGCCTCAGGCGTCCTGCACGTGACCACCGGGCGCACCGTTGACGGCGTCAACGACCCGAACGGGACTGGCGTCAGGGGCCATACGAGCTTAGCGCCGGCGCCAAGGAGGCGCTAGCCCCTTTGGCCCCGGTAGATCCCGCTGATTGGCTGGGCTTTGCCTCTCAGCCTCAGGCCGCTTAGGCGGGCTTCTCCCGGTCACGCAGATTGACGCCCGGGTTGCTTATAACCCGCCTGGTCAGCTCTTTGCCGTCTGGAACTGATCTTCCCTTCGCTCTTTTGGTTTTTCTTTTTAAATTGATTACTTCATTCCTTCAACCCGTCCTTTCGTCAACGTCACGTTAGGTCATCTACAACCCATCATGCGTGTCTCCACTAGTGTTCTGCTCGGTCTGCTGGCCGCCAATGTCTCGATAGCCGCCAAGGTGGGCAAGTTCGATGCCGACAAATGTGCCGATCCGTCCGGTATGAAGACCTGTTACGACAAGGCAAAGTCAACCTACGACAGCTGCGTCAAGAAGAACTGCGACAAGAAGGAGGACGGCAAGACCACCAGTGATCCCGACTGTCTGAACAAGTGCAGCTGCCCCCAGTACCAGGCTCAGATCGACTGCGCGACCAGCTCTTGCTGGAACCAAGTATGTGGAATACTTCCGCCCGTTCCTGTAATGCATGCCCTGTAATGCATGCCTGCTAACCGCCGTTTCGATAGGTCTACAGCTGCGAGTACGACCTGACCGTCGGCGCCCTGCTCGAGTCCTGCGAGGACAAGCAGTCGGTCGATGACATCCCCTTCTGGCCCGCCCCCGACAATGCCAAGGGTGCCTGCTCTTGCAACGTTGGCAAGGTCGACCAGATCTCTTACGGCGCCATGGCAAAGGTACAGAAGCAGTGTGGTCTCAAGGCCTCCTCGGACGGCAGCAAGATTCAGGAGTGTGCCTGCTGTGGTTTGAGTGCCGCGCTTTCTGCGTTAGTACCCTGTTTTGTCTTCGTCGGCTTTCCTGTAACTTCGACTGACCGTTTCACAGCCTGCCCAACACCTGCCCCAAGGTCAACCCCGCCGACCTGAAGCTCGCCGACATGGAGGAGGAGTTCGGCGACATGTGGGAGCAGTGCGCCGACACCCTCAAAGACCTCGACTGCGCCAAGGAGTTCGATTTCCCCAAGCTCGACACCTACTACGGGCCCGGCAAGATCCCCAAGGGCGGTAACGAGACCCTCTCCAACGCCAGCGGCTCCCTCACTGCCCCCGTTAGCGCCACCATCACCTGGTCCGCCGGCTCGTCTGCCCACACCGTCACCGCCGTGTCCACCGACGCCGTCAAGGCCTCCGGTACCGGTTCCAGCGCCAGCGCTACCTCCGGCGACAAGGCCTCCGGCACTGCTTCTGCCTCTGCCACCGCCACCACCGGCGCTGCCGTGCGCGCGGGTATGGACTCGTACCTGTGGGCCGGTCTGGCTGTTGCCGCCGTCTTCGTTCAGGCTTAGGCGTTGGTTAAAAGAGTAGTCTAAACCTGCCTGGAGTGTGCTTCAGTATCGTCCGTCGGGTTGGACCGGCTAGGGGGTGGGGATTTCGTTCGATTCACTAGACTGTAACATTAGCACTTCCCTGCTAGTTTTATTTCGTTTTGTTTCTTATACATACTTTATCAGGCCTGACTGGGCGCAATTTATTCCTTTTATTTCAATATTCTGATGAATGTAAGACTAGAATACGACTCGTCCTGAAGGTAGCGGGGCATAGGGGTGATCGAGGGTCCATGAACTCGCTGCTTCGAAGACCGGGATTCTAGCGAGCTTAAGGTACCGGTATGCGCATTTATGTATCTCAAGGCACATTTTCCCAAAGATATTCATCATCGGAGGGAATTCCGCAGTCTTTGAATACGAAATTTTCCAGGCAAATGAGTCAATCGGTAGATCATGCATAGACGGACATTTGCAGTTGCTCAATATATCGACCGCATACATACTCCATCACTCGGCGCAGAGATTTGACCAGTGAGTAACATGTCCCTTCGTTTGAAGTTCGTCCGGCAAGCTCAGACAAAGGTCCCCACACGCGGACCTCCCCAAGCTTTGGTAGCTGGCCGCCGTCTGTCTCCTCTTGAACTGCATAGATGATATAGAAGTCCCAGCACTGGCCTATGGGGATGAAGCCGACCATCGGCGGTGGATTCTGGAAGGCCCATGAGTAGAACCCTGCCGCCCACACACCAAGTTGAACCTGGGCTTCAACCAAGTCCCCATCTGGAGGTTTAATTTCGCAACCACAGCCTAGCACTTGTGTTCCGGTATGGGGATGATCGACATGATTGATGAACGCGCTTCGAAATTTGGCAGCGGCGCTGGCATACAAAGACTCCCATCGCTCTTTGGGGAATCCGACGACCCAGTCTATTTTGCGATTGCAGCGATCTCAGGCTGTGTAGAGCGGTTGGTATTCTGAACTGACCGATTCCGTTAGGCTTGAGAGTTTTCTATCAGTAAGATACTTTCAAGACCGGAGAGAAGAGTTTAGAACATACACGCCCCAGGATTCGAAAGGTAGATCACCAATTGCGGCTTGAAGGAAGTATAGGCCGAGTGGCTTCGGTCACCCAGGAAGTCTCACTCCGCTGCTGGGTCACGCACTTCCGAGAGCCGATTAACACTTCTTGGATCTTATCGGGCTTCGGCTCCCAATAATAAGGCCTCTCTGGTAGAAAATCCCGCAAGCTCTGGGCAGCGCTATCCTCGGGATTATCCCACTCGTTCAGATAGCGGACTCTTGGGGTGGCATACTCCAGGAGCCTCTTGTGCCGGGCTGGACTGATTGACCGCCGACGTTCAGACTGGCTAGCTGTGGACGCAGATGGAGAGTGTGTGAGTTCATCACGCAGAGGAAGGATAGAGGAAGACGTCGCTGAGTTGGTCTCCGAGTCCCTGGCTTCGCGTCGTGTTCTTTTGGGGGGTTCTATCACCGCTAGTTGCGATTCATTTTTCCCCTTTGCAGCGGTTCCTGAGGGGTGAAGCGACGTCGATGGCGGGGTAGGCATCTCCAGGTGCCTGGGCCTATGATCATCTCGACTATCGCTCTGAGAAGCGCGCGGGGATTCAACTTGGTCAGCCACCGCTGCACGCTGTCAAATGAGATGGTTTCCCCGCAAAAGTCTAGACCAGTGCATGTTGGGACATATTATTAATAGGGGTGTAACGAATACGAATATTCGACTTCTTCGAACTATACGAGGCGTCGAATATCGTATTCGAAAACTTATTCGATTGAATATCGTCGAATATATCGGCCGATGTTGAATATTCGTTACACCCCTAGACATATACAAGATAAGAATTGAGGTCTCAATGATGAAGGGGGTTTTCGAGGTTGGTCAAATGGGATAAATCCCGGAGAGGAAGTTGTCCTACTGTCAGCGCATTATCGACACAGTCACGTGAAAAGGTTGCTTTGTCAGCGCCCCTTTTCTGCCATCTTTTGAAAGAATTATTTGATGATTCGGGATACAACTCCCTTCTACTAGGATGCCTGGATCATCAACTTGCGCAGCAAGTAGGCGTTTTGCGGGCGTTCAAGGTCTGCAACAGTGACGCTAGCGCATCGTGTCTCTAGATCGACTGATCGAGACTCCGGACTGCATACTGGTGCACAAATTCACAATTCTGCCTACATCAGGCCCACTTGAGTATCTCCACGGGGCGCTCAGCGAGGACCCTGGTTGGACTGCACCACACCGGTCCAGCTGGATGTACGCTGGAGTAGCGAAGGGATCATTGCGCAATCTTCCGGGGAATGGATCGTGACACCGATCGGCCCTACGGTTGGGTGACTTCGGGGACCTTTTGCATGGATGCCAAGCCAGAATGGCGCGATGAATTACCCCTCTGGAGCTGAACGGAGCTAAATCGAGCTGCAAGCGTCTTGGAAAAGCCGTCGCCCATAAATTGCTCCGCTGGCCCTTTTCTGCTCTTCTGACTGTCTTTCTTGCTTTGATTTTCTCTCCCTCCTCTCCTGTGATCCTCCGCTCATCCGAACCGTTCAACGCACTCTCCAGCCATCGTAATCATGTCTTACAACAGAGATACCGTATGCATCCTGATTCCTTGTGAACCCGAGCAGACCCCGTCTGCTAACTGTGCACTAGAAAGCCGGCCGTTACGGCGAGTACAGCAGCAACGATAGCTACGGAGTAAGTCTCTCGGAAATTCCTCCTTGCATATGTTTAATCAATGGATTATAGTCGTCCAACCGGACCGGGGGTTCCGATTCCTATGGCTCCTCGAATCGCTCCGGCAATGACTCGTATGGTTCGTCCGGCTCTCAGAATGACACCTACCAATCGTCGTCGGGCAACACGTACGGCTCCTCGAACTCTGGTTCCAACCGTCGTGATTACAACTCGTATGGATCTTCCGATCGCTACGGCTCCGGTAACACTACCTATGGGTCGTCGAACAACGACTCGTATGGCTCTCGGGGTGGAAGCCGATATGACTAGGAAAGTGGTTGAACATGTGGCGATGATCTGTGTTGAGGAGTCGCTCTCAGCATACAAATGAGGGTCGCTTGAGTGTGCACGGGACACCGGTCTATAGGTCATTTTGAATATTAAACCCATGATGCTCATATGAAACACGTAACTTCTAGCGGCAAACACCAGTGAATTACACCAGAGCGTCATATTCATAGTGTGGGATGTAAGACCTAGAGTTTTGACTGAATAGCAAGACCCCGATTCTCGCTCAAGTTGAAGAAGCGATCCTAAAAGACGAAGTCACGTCACAAACAAGCGATTATCACCATGTCCAAATTTACTGATCTCATAGCTGTTCTTATCAAAGATCTACAATGAAATCATCAGCGGACGCACATTCGCCCTGGCCCCATCAACTCGACTCATGTGGGAGGATTCGAAGGATTTCAGGCTATTTTCAATGGTTTGTCGATTAATTTTGACGAAAGTCATACCTGGGAACTACCGAACGAATTGCAAGTAGTTGGACCATGAATGTGCTCTCCCTTACGGGTTGTTGCAGGGTAGAGATGCTATACTACGCTAATTTCTACGCGATGGAACATTATCGATCGCAAAGCCTTGTCATTGTTGTAGATCACCATCATGATCTACTACAATCTGTCAGGGCAAGATCTCGCCGCGTAGTTGCCGGTTTTGTCGGTGCTATATGCCCCAAGTGAAGATATCTTGCTCCTAAAATAGGGGGCTGACGTTGAATAGACCCTATGGTTATCTTCTTTTACGAGTCATAGAATACTTTTCTGTTTAGCAATTAAGATATATCGACAAAGCTCACGCTAAATTCCAATGTCATTCACTCCATGTGTCTCCATCAGAGCTAAGTGGTACCATAACCAATTAATCTATTCGGAAGTCTTAACAGAGACATGAGCGCTTATCAGCACAAACTGCAAAAAATCAAATAGCCAAACCAATAAATCATGAATTAAAAAGGGTATATAACGTCCGCCATATCGAACCAATCGCTGAACCGTAATCCACCCAATGTCGTACAAACGATCTAGGCTTTTTGACGCAAAGCCACAGGATATGTTACAATTCCATTATCATCCTCCACCGGTGGAAGCGGCGCTGTCCGTTGATACGTCGCCTCCACAACCAAATCGCCCTGGTTTCCACCGTAATTGCCATCGCGGGGAAGAAGTCGCAAATTATCGTTCAGGGCGGCGCCGCCGTCAGGAGTGTCAATTCTTCGGGAATACGAGTCCCGGTGTTGCTGCGAGTCAACGACACAGTCGTCGATCGTGGTGTTCGTCTGCACGACGCCGATCAGGCGGTTCAACATGCTGAATTCCATCTTCAGTTTGACGCTGTAGACGACGGTTTTGTAGGTGGTTTGTACGTCGAAGTTGTTCGTGTATTCGGTTGCGAGGAGCGAGGCGTCGAGTAGAATGATGAGACAGTTGACTACGATGAGGTGCAGCCAGACGTAATGACCCTTCCGGCCCTTGGCGGCTAACACGGGGCGGAGGACTGCCGTCGCTTCCCAGATGTAGATGGCGCTAATGAGGATCTCCTGGACGCAGAATCCAGCCAGCTGGACCTTCTCGTAGATGTTGAATGGTTTGACCATGCGGTCGTCGCCGGCGTTGCTGCCGATGAAGAGAATGCTCACGGGAATATGAAAAATGCAGAAATTTGCGATGATCATGTACAGAATCCAGCGATATCGTCGTGTATCGCCGGTGACGAGGTAGAGCCGAGAATAGAGCACCACAGATTGCCCTGTAACCATGGCGTACCAGCCCAGCACGGTCAGGACGCACATGGGCAGGTTAGGGGCTAGGCCGAAGAATCGGAGAAAGACGACGATGGCATGTAGCAGGATGCCCCAATTAGCTACCAGCATGCTCCAGAAGTAGAGCCCTCGGCGTCGCTTGAATGTCGTGAAGATGGTGATGGTGATCTCCAGCACGTTGTAGCAGGAGATGGCAAAGAAGGCGGCGATGAGCATCGACATCGCCCGCGAGAGGGCCAGAGGCCCCGTTTCGCCTGCCATTGCAAGGTGGTAGGAAGAGAAGAAAGAAAAAGCAAAAGAATGATGCGGCTCACAGCGCGATCGAGATCATTTGCGATATCGTGGGGAAGGGCTGCAGAGCATTATTGGCAGATCTCCGGCGAGGAGTAGGTGACAAGAAGAAAAAATCAAACACGCCGGGGCAAACCATGCGATATAATGGCGGACTCATGGACATGCAGGGGCCGTCGATCTAGGTCCCGCCAAACATTGCCAGATCTCGTATTTTCAAGCAAATGGGGGGGGGCGCAGTTCAAAGCATTGGGGATCGACATGGGCAGGACGTCACGGCGCGGCGCCGTTAAGCTCGGCAGGACCCATTCTTGGGCACAAACCTCTTTCGAAAGATCCAGTCTGGATAGGAGGCACTCCGTACTTTGGAATTTTGGTGGCGAAACCATAACCAGCTTTCGTGCGGCAATAAAAAAGGAGCCAGACTTTTAGGGTTTGGCCGATCCACGCCGCTGATGTTGGTCCATCTATTAAGCTTCACCCAGTCGCCTCTTCGGCGCTTCACTCTGGCTCTAGTCGGAAACTAATTGCGCCGGTCCGCCTACTCCGGTGTACAGTATACAGTGCTAGGCCTAGTCTACACAGCGCCATTGTCTATCCGGCCGGACCCCTTTATTTGTTTGGAACACACCTTCGATTTCTCATGCCAAGTGGAGGGGACTATTGACGCCTCCCGTCTGTCGCCCCTGCTGTCACTGTCTAAACCACCTCCATTCCGTGGACCCCTGGACGTTAAGGGTTGTCTTGTCTATATCAGAATTGTTTTCAGTTCCCCGTAGTTATTCTCAGAACTCAGAAGGCAACAGGGGGTGGTCAGGTCTCTGAGACACGTCGGAGTAGGCCGTACGGAGTGGGGATCTCGACGAACCCCCTATTTCAGGGAATCACCACTCAGCTTTCAGTATTCAGCACTTAAACTTAGACCCACAGTTACTCCCAACCTCTCGAGCGCACATGCAGCACCTGCGAGTTTACTGGCCTGTGACTGCGAATCAGATGTGGGTAGTGAACAGTCGGAAAATAGCTATACACGAGCTCATCCCCCGAAGGAGCAGCAAATTCACTTACACGGGCCATCATATTCAATCCACTGATATGGCATGTCACTCTCATCTCCCGGATCCTGCCGGCTTCAATGCGACCTCTGCCGTAATGATCGCACGCTTGCAGGGTTGCATGCGCTTATGCAGCGGAACTTTTTCTAGTCCGTATTCTCGTCCGACCGAAGAAAAACGGGCTTCTTGTTATCCTGCTCCGTCCTCTGCAGAGTTGGCCAGTCTCTCCTTTCGTTTTTAGCTCAGACTAAGGGTGTTGTGGCTCAGACACTTCTATTTTGATCCTGCAGTCCTGTAGCACTGGTCTCATTCTTAGGTTACTTTCGCCGCTCTAGGGTGCGACGTTTCATAAACGCAAGATTTTTGTAACGCCATTATTCTTGAGTCTTCTCAAACTTCGAATGTTTGTTTTGAAGAGCAATATTTTCAAGACCCTCCCAAGTGGAGCATCCAAGGGTAGCCCAGCATTTCATGGAAATAACACGGCTCGCGGCTCCACTGGTGGGTATTCCGCCAGTCTCCAGGGAAATGGCATTTGGGCAGCCAGCTCTCATTGCGGTGAATGTTGATCCATGCACCAGTTCTCTCAGTGATCATCCATAAATGACGAGCATCCGTATCTAGACAGCCAAAATTATGCTGATGGTTTCGCTCAATTTGTCTCTTTGGGCAACTAGCTCGGTTTAACTAGAAGTTTCTACCGGAGCTCAACTATTGAGGATTGCCGGATTTCCTAGCGTGCTAAGAGACTATTACGTGTGATCTGTCCAGATGATAAAAAACCGTTGCCTGTATGTCGATATTGGCATGTATACCCAGCAGACAAGCGACCGTCGGGTCTTTTCGGTGCTGGCATTAGCAGCTGAAAATCGCCGAGATGTACTTCTGGCGAAGTTTCTACATGTTTATTATCAAGTAGCTATCCCATCCCATCATCAACGCTTTTTCTAATGCCACAGTGATGGCCTGCCATTCCATATAAACATTGGACATTCCTTGAAAACCTATGTCAAGTCTTGAATATACTCCACATCTGGCAAAGGCCTCGTCATATGAGAAGACATTCTATCTGTGGAACTACGTGGGATTGAATGCGTGCTAAACTGTCCTACTGGTTGATGCATGTGTAACTATCAACGATTAATTTGAAGACACATGATGCTCCCATAGTCTCGGGCTTAAGGTAGTCTTTTGCAACCGTATGATCTTTCCAGCGACAGGACATATCTGAGAAAGACGGTCGCTTGTATTTATGTTGATTGACTCTGTTTTGGATATAGCTGCGGGTTTTACTAAGACATTTGTCTTTTTACATTATGTCTAATATCAAGCAGGCCCTCCTTCGGGAGTCTAGCATTAGCACAAACATCAACAGACGCTCGCTATACAAACTCAGCGCCACTCGTTTTCAGCTCTTATGCTGGCCCATATCAGTCCTCTTTCTCCTCGCCATTCTACCTGCGTCAGCAAATCTGCCTCCGGTTCACCCGGCCCTTGGACACGACGCCGTGGCTCAGCATTACCGAGATCACTATCAAGGCTTCCGAGCCGGCGTCGCCTTTGTGTTTCTAGCCTCGGTTTTCTATCCGTTTTATTCAATCGGCATAAGCACGGTCCTATTACGCATTCCGGAAGTCAACCAGGTTCTCGTCATGGCTCAAGCTACCACGGGGATAGTAATCGGACTCGCGTTCATGACTTTAGGCGTCCTCTTTGGCACAATCACTTTTCGACTTGACCGTGATCCCGCACTCGTTCAACTCATCAGTGATGCCGCCTGGCTATATTTCACATTGTTGAACTCGATGTTGATTCTTCAGAGTGTTATAATCGGGATCTTGATTCGTTCGGACCGTCGAGAAAGACCTCTCCTTCCC